TCTTATTCAACTTAATCATAGAGGCATCTATGGAGGTCTCGGTCTCGCCATCTGACTTTACAGGGATTGATTGATCTTATCATAGGGTAATCTTTATTTGATCTGGAGTACACAGATGACGTAGTCCTGTTATGTGAAGACGCTGAGTTTTCTGGATACATTGAGTGGCAATTTGAGAATGATTGGGATGCGTTTCTCCCTACCCAAACGCAAGTTGTTGCTTCTGGACTGCTTTTTGTTGGTGCCTTGTTTAACTGTAGTGAGTGAAGTGGTCAAGTGCTTTACTTACATTAGGCGTGGTATGTCATTGATGGAATAGGTCTTTGCACCGATACAAAACGCCTGATTGATCTATGCCGACTTACGCAATATGCCACCGTGATATCCAATTGCTAATTGAGGGCTGAGTGTACTGCGCGGCAGTTCACTCAGTCTCAATGCATAGTTGTTAAACGTGACCATTAAAGACGGAAGAGGATATGAGGCGGCTTCAGGTGTTCGACCACTGTCACCGTAGCACAGGCGTATGTCGTAGTGTCATCATATGAGCAACGTAGAAGTTCGCTGCAGAGTTTTAGGAAGAAGCAGAAAGTCAGTGGATAAAGTTGTGAAGATTCGTCGACTGAGGTGGCTGGGACAGGTATTACGCATGCTTAGTCGTTATCCACCTTGTTGCGCAATGCTAGCTGAAGTATACTTAGACTGGGAAAAGGTGAGATGAACAGACAAAAACGTGGCATCAGTACATGAAGTCCTTGACTGTTGATCTGAGCCGTCTAGGCGAATGTAGACTTTGCGGTGGATGTCCGTGTAATAGCAGAAAGTCTTGGTGACATGTCTCAGACTGGATCTCAGTGGCGTGGATGTCTCCCCCTCCCCCCCCCCCCCATTATCCTCATACTTAATCATCATAGTTAATTCAGCATTCTCTTATTCCTATTTGGTCACTTTTGATGACTTCATCACTTCCGACTACTTTTTTCGTTTATTCCTTTATCTATAATCTTAATGCATTTTCGCTTAATATGCTGACGTGAGATTTTGTTTGTCTCTCTATCTAGTATCACCGTATTTGAGTGTTTTGCTTGATCTAGTAAAACTGATAACTTTTTGCATCTTTCAAACTGCCTGTGGTGCGCCGTGAAGACAAGGCTATAAATAGGCGTCGCTGATTATCACTGTCCTGTAGAATAGGTTAATGTTAGTAATGCTGTGCACTCACTAAATATTCTATCAAATTCTACTAGGTTCGTGATATGGGTTATAGAGAGAAACAACTAAGCTGGAGAGCGACCAATCAAAGTGAACCTTATGTTATCACTTCTATAGTTGGACAGACAGTGGATCAACCAATCAATATGATTATTTTAAACACTGATCTATCTATGAGATATATTTGTCCTTCTTGTCTTTGATCTTTTCAACCCCCAATACACGTTTCTACAGGACCATCGTGTCTTCTTCATTAATTAGTCGGGTCAGGAATCAACTAGAAATTTGTTAATTTGTTGAACACTGATATCCGTGCATCGTTAGTGGCTATAGCACATAGCAGTTTTCCGGAACATTACAGTTTAGTTGATGTTGGCATCTGTCTAGTGAAAAGCTTCATGGTTCTACCTTCAAACAGCGTAATACATCCATTCGATCATAGGGAAAGATAAGACGTGATTTCAGCGAACAAAAATGTTTCTTTTCGACGAAGTCATCTACTAAATTGTACATTCGTTAAGATATGTTACAGTGGGCAGAACGTTCCAAGGTTATTTCCGGTTTGAGGGGCAAAATATATTGAGTAACTAAAGGAAGTTATTAATTAATACACATTTAGGTTTTGGGTGAGGAAATAGACAAGGGATTATGAAATTAAATGTAGTTACGCAATACAGGATGAATGTATGGCAAAGCAGAAAACTGGACGAGGGGTTATGAAAGTAAGACTACGATTATGTAGTACCGGATAAACCTATGACAGAGTATGAAAATAAACAGGGGTTCTACCTTCGTAGAAGCATTCCGTCGTTAGACTGTCATTCTGTCTTTCTTAAACTGTATGCTTTCATGTTCTAGACTGTTTTCTAAATGACATCATAGCGTCTGTCTGTCTTCCAGTCTATGCGTTCTTGAGTTTGTCTTGGACTGTGAACCAGAAATCCATCAGGAATATCCTATGCTTTACAGCAATGAAATAACTTCAACTTATTTTTCTGTTTACTGTATTATAATAAGTTGAAGAAAAAATACATTTCATATCTTAAAGGAACAAGTCTAATTACTGCACTGAGTGGCGCGTTTTCGAACCGCTGATGGAACATCAGTTTCCTCTTACTGATGAGTTTCAGCAGGCACGAGACTGAGGTCAAGCAGGTCATTCTTCCAACTGACTCTTAGCATCTATTATAAAAATGCAGCTTTTATTGGTCATATTGTAAACTTGGTGGATAGATGTCAGCCGACCCTCAGCACATAGAACTTGACATTTACTTCAGTCACTTTCCTGTAACCAGCTTACATACCTGACCCAGTCCTACAGAGAGGTCAGCTACAGCCTTCTTAGTTTGATGACGGAGTCTATGATTCTAGCACCATATGATTCAGTCTTTAAACTACTTGGTCAGTACAGTAGACTTCAGATGTTTCTGAAAGTTATCTTGCTGGAAAAGGGACACGGAAAGAAACATACTATTTTCAGCCACAAACGACATTTAATGAGGACGTTATACTAGAGGGCAGAAGGATCATGCTTCCAAGAAAATGTGTAGGAAGGATTTCAACCAACCGAACAATGTCTACACGATAATGGTTATCCTATGAAGTTTTTTCAGAAGTACTGCAAAAGCAAGCAGAAGAGTGGGATGTAGTACTATTGAAAAGGAACCAGTGTTTCTTACTTTGGCTTTCATGGAAGATGATGTTGCGACAAGAATCAATAGACAAATTAGGAGTATACTGTTCAAGATGTATCCGGTTGCGAAACTTATCTCACGAAATCAAACAACGTCTACAATTGAACAATCCAGATCGGATAAATTTCTAATTCTTGTTAACTCTAACTGTATTTATCAATTCCTTCACATGTATATGCGGTGACAAGTGCGTAGGAAGAACAGAAAGACGGTTGTCTACCAGGTTAGCTGAGCGCTTGCGAAAGAGTCTACGTCTCAGAGGTTCACCCTCATTCGGTAGTGCAATAACTCGTCAAATAGATGTGATGTCAACAGACAGAAAAGTTTGTACTCACTTCGAATTGCGGAAGCCGTCACTATTCGACGAGTTTAACCGCAACTTTATTCAAAAGGAGGCAGTGACTAATTTATTATTACTCCGATGCTTATTGACTTTTCACTATCTCAACTTACCCAAAAATATTTGTCATACATTCATTATTCATATCCATGTTCATATTGATTAGCGTTTGATTACTACTGTGTTTGTTCTGATTACGATAGTTTTATCTCAGTCACTTACCATTTTATACTGGGTAATGATTGAAGGTACAATGAAAATTTGGACCGTGGCCGGATTCGAACCAGTAGGGTATAACTCCATATTAGATTGGGATCTTGTAGCTCAGTTGGAAGAGTATCGGGCAGGAAACCCGGTGGTCGCTGGTTCGAATCCGGTCGCAGTTCAAATTTTCATGTCACCTTCAATCATCACCCAGTATAAATACTAGCCTACCAAACTACGCCTATCTCAGATAGTCAAATAATAAAGGGGGTTTCATAAATTATTTCCAAATAAGGATGTATTCATTGAACTTCATGGTTTCACGAATAAACCATCCACCATCACAGAGAATACAACCTCACTAAAATCATTCTCCTCAGTTAAAAATATTCTCCATCATCTATCTCTCAAGGGAGTGTATATGTTAAAAAGTATTAGTTTGCTCAAAACACTGTTTATGATGGATGAAGTCATAGATTGGTCATTGACTGGTCTTCAACGGTGCCCCACTGTGGCTAACAATAGAGAGTGTAGTGGTTGAGTGTATTGACCACTTCACTTATCTGGGAAATGGGATCAGCCGTACTCTGGTGGATGAGTGGCTCAGTGGCCGATGAAATCTCTGCACGGATACAAAAGACTCAACTGGCTCTTGCTAACTTACACCACCTGTGACGCCCCCGTGATATCCCATTGTCTATTAAGAGTCGTGTGTACTACACACCACTCCACTCCACTCTCTTCTACTGTATGACTGTGAAACATGACCACTGAAGGTAGGAGACATGAGACGGCCCACCAGGTGGTTGACCATCGTTGTCTTCATAGCATAGACCGTATTCCGTGGTGTCTACACGTGAGTAACTCAGAAGTCAGGTTTCGGGTTCTAGGGAGGAAGGATAAGTCAGTTGACATGATTGTGAAACTTCATCGAGTGAGATGGTTGTCTGGCTGACTGGCTGGCTGGCTGGCTGGCTGGCTGGCTGGCTGGGACATGTGTCACATAGCCCTAGTCACCGATTGCCTCGTCACACAATGTGACCGAAATAGGTTGAGGTTGGGAGAAGGTTAGAGGTGGCCAGACTAAAATATGGTATGAAGTGTTTGACTGTTGGTTTGAGGTATGTGTGACGATGCAGACTATGTGGCTGGGGTCTGGGGGCTGAGGGCTGTGGGCTTAGAGGAACGAGTGATTGGAGACTGTAGGTGATGGTATGGCTGGGAACGGATGTCAGTGGTGCAGATGTATCCCCCTACACACATTATCCTCATGTTTCGAATAAACTACGTTAGAAACATTCAACGTATGAAAAACTTTTAAACTGTAGTTAGCGACAGACCACATTAATCTACAAAAGTCTTTGTCAGCTCATCTATACTACTCACTAATCTGCTGTATCCTGAGTGGTTAGATGTCTTTGTGCGTGCGTTGGTATGGGAGAAGACGGGGGTGCGGAAAAGGGGATTAACAACAGTGTGACACACTCAAAATTCCTGCAAACATTCTTTTTTCTGTTTTATCTTTTCTCTCTTTTTCCATTCATTTACAGGATTGTGTGGAACAAGCCAGTTGTTTACAGAAAAGACTTCAGAATGTGGAAGAACTAGCCAGTCATTGTTTATTGTATACAGATTCAAAGACAAGTGAAGAGTTTAGAACTTGTATTGGGTAAGTAAGTTTATGCATACATAGTTATTCGATTACTTCAAATAGCAGTACTTTGTCGTTATGATGCTTGTAATTCCCCGTTGCTATATAGGGCTACATTGTTCCCACTGAGGGAACGTCACTCACAGGGGTACAGGTACATCGAGCTGACGAGCCCCGAATTGGACGAAACACACCTCCTAGATTCTTCTGCTAGTCACCGAGATCAATATAACAATACTTTGGTTTGGTTTTAAAAATCTAATTAAACATGGAATGGAAACGTGATGTTTTTTCGAGCTTACTGTCTGTTGTTAACTGTGCTCACGCTGCGTATAATCTATACAAATAGAATTTCAATCATTCACTATTTATTCTACTAGTCACTAAATGTAGATACAGTTTGCTGAAGAACGGCAGCGAAAATGAGAATCACAGTAAAGAGTTGTCTGCTTAATTTCTTTCACCCACTTCGTAATAGCATATACAAAGAGCATTACTTACTGTAGTGTACCGTTCAGAATATAATCCCATATTAGATTGGGACTCGAATCCGGTCGAGGTCTGAATTTTCATTTCACCTTCAATCACCACCAAATACTAGTTTGCCTAACTACATCTGTTTCAGCCAAAATGATCATATTAGCTTTGTTTATCTGATTTATAACACACACTGATGCGCTGTGATGTACTTGATGACGACGGTTTCAGCAGAAATTATCATTGCTCATAATCATATCAGTGTGATCACACTACTTTCAGCATCTGATTTTTATAGTCCACTCACCTCTTATTCTTTGTTTTTGTTGGTAGTTAAGTTTACCATATCTGTGGTATAGTTGTTGCGTCATTTCTACTATATGTGTTGCGTGTTGATTCGATGAAGAAAGATTCAGTGATCAATCACTGTCTCCCTCTCTCTCCACCTAATTATATTGAACTTGAGTTAGTGGTTTTATCCTAGCCATCCTTTTGTGTGGTAGTGTGTTAATGGTTGCCTTGCAATAGCCGAGTCTCTCTCTAGATCATTGCTCCTATTGAGGTGTATCATTCTATATTTAGGTAGATCCCTCCTATGTTCGGCTATTGTGAGTAGTGACGGTGACTGACTAGTTTCACGTATGTATTTGATCTCACTTACAGTCATTGTATGGAATTCGATAGATAAGATTTTTTTTGGTTAATTGGTTGTATGGGATCGTTAATCGAGTCGACAAAGGTTATCTGTGATTGAGTTTGTGGATGTTGATGTCACTGTAATTCCGGGTTTGTTGAGAATCCCACGTAAGGCAAGTGAGGCTGTGAACTCTTTTCTCCTCATGTTACTGTAATTATTTCGTTTTTTGTGTGTTCGTATGAATTTCTTAATCAAGTGACTGTAGAGGATAATTATTTGGTATTAGTGCTTGTTCAGTTGTGTGGTTTAATTGCTTGTTTAAGTTGTTGTAGTGGTGTGAGTAGTGAGTTAGTTATCTATGTGTGTATCACTTGGATATTTGAGTGGACCTGCGTTAACTGACATAGACTGGATGATGGATGATGAGATGATTTGAGAGAGAGAGAGAGAGAGGCTGGGCTAGGTGTTAGAATGTGTTGGTTTTGTGTGTGTTATGGTAGTATGCAAACCAGTGTCTGTTCTTTGTTTTATTCTGCAATTGATTTTCTATGTGGTAAGTGAATTGTATTGAGTGTGCTACTGAAATTATCTGTGTGAGGAATACTGTAATCACTGTGTATTATAAATCAGATGAACAAATGTAATGTGAGAATTAAATTCAACCACAGCGTCGAAGTTTTACACTTATATTAATAAAGTATGGTACATATTTTTGTAAAAGAATATGGATTTCTATCTGAGGAGACTTTGCAATGCACATAACTGCACAGTAAAACACTATTACCAGGAATACTGTATGAAATCTGTCAAGTCAGAAACATAAAATACTACTTGAGTTTGAGTTTGGTGAGTTCTATTCTGTGACCTGTTTAGAAACATATAGTGATAAAGTTACGCGCCAAGTTTTACCATCAACGATGTATTGGTTTATTGTTTAACTTGGAAGCCCCACCTCAGCTGTAAAATGTATTCGCAGAATGATATGCACGTCATTTATACCAATATATTTGTCCCCAATCGGCCTTCTGAGTGTATGCCCAATTCATCTCCACTTCCTTCTGCATATTTACTGGGTGATAGTTTCTCGGTTGGTTCGTTCGGAGAGTTCCTTGTTGCTTATTCTTATTATTCTGGCTATCTGATCTTCACTGTCAGTATCGAGTGAGCGTGGGCGGCAGCTGTTGATGAATGTCTGTAGTTTGTCGGAAGTGCTTTTCGTGACGCGCCAAGTTTCTGAACCTTATAGCAGCACTCACTTGACATTGGCGTTAAAAATCCGGATCTTGTTCACGCTTTGTGCTGAGTGGAGTGCAGTAGATCTCCACACTGACCTCAGAGTGGTGAAAGCCTATCTTGCTTTTCCGATCCTGTCTGCTTTGACATCCTCGTCTGTGCCACTGTCTGTAGTTGAAACGATACTGCTCTGCCTAGGTAGGTGAAAGAGACTACTTCCTTTAGGTTTCTCCCGTCCATAGTGATTAGTGCCTCTTGTTGTTGATGCTGTTGTTCGTTGGGTATCTTCATCACCTCTGTCTTCTCTACATTCACTTGAAGTTCCGTCTTCGCTGCCTCGCCTCGTCTGTCAACTTGTTAGTTTTTGCCTGTAGATCTTCTAGTTTGTGCGACATTAGACACAAGTCATCGGTGAAATCTAAATCTAAACTCTTTTCATCGGTCCAGCGTATGACCATCAAAATCCCATTGAAGAAGTGAAATAAATCTCTGACATTTTGCAACCTCATAGAAGTCACTTCATCACAGAATAAAACCTTTACAGGTTGACATGTTTCAACAGTACTTATTATTATTTTTTCCTCTTGGGTTCCTAGGAAAATATAGGGCTTCAGTAGCACGTCACCATTTCACTCTCTTCTCTACAGTCTTTTCAACCTGGCTCCACCACTGCCCATAAGCTTTCATTTCTTACTAGTACGATTTCCTCCATGTCACCCTGCGACATTCAACTCACTGCTTCCCATCTGGGTTTCACTCGAGGACCTGGCCTGGCGCGTGATTTCCCCAAACGGTCTTTCCCACTGCATGAGAGCCTTCGGTGCTGTTGGGAACATCATGATAGCCACTCCAAAACTCTATGTGCTCGTGTTTGTCATCTGGGTGACAATATCGGAGTAGATTATTGACTGTTCAGTTAACAGTTTGCAGAGTCCACTTCCATTCCACCTGCTCTCGCATATTCCTAACATTTCTTTCCATATCTTCTAATTTCTTTTGCAATATGGGCAGCATTGCTAGGTCCAAACATCGTGGGGACATTCCGTGTCCCTATGTTTACTTTTGATTTCATCGAGAGAAGAGAATCACATAGGTCAATTAGCTTCCTGAATGTCTTTCACCAGCTGGCGTCATTTCATCTCCCCGATTCCTCTGGGTCTTGAAGTTCCTTTAGCGATTGGATTGGTTTTCCGGGGCAGGGTCACTAGCCCTACATCCAACCTTTCCTCTTTATACAGGCTAAGGACCGGCTAATAAACTAGGCGATGTTATGTTTAAATAGTAAGTGGCGAAAAATCAGATTACACTGTAGCGGTTTTATTCTCAGAAGAAGCGGTTTTTACCTCATCAGGAGTTTACAAATATATCTCACTTATAATAAATTTACTCAATGCTCAACTTATTAAACTTTATCAGGTCAAATTTTGATCCGAAAGTCTATAAAAACCAATGATTATTCCACTGGGTGGGTGTGTATGGGTGTGTTAGGAAGCAGTTGATATGAAATTCTGTCCAGTCTAGTTTTCGTGATTCTTTTCATTCACCAACAAAACGGATCTTCAGTCTTGAGGAGATTCATATTCACTCAGAGATTCCAACTCACTTCATATAGTTCTGAAGTCAGCGACAGTAACACTAAGTTAACTATTCAGAAGATGAATTATCTATGTAGTAGTTAATGCATCAGGATTCGCACACTAATCACCGGCGGGATGACTAATCTAGCTGACAACTTTTGCGTGCTGTCAGCTAACTGAAGTCCATGTACCAAGTTTAAAATGTAGCTAGAAGGTTGTATAACATGAAACTGCACTAATCTATATTTTGATGTTAAATGCCTGTTGATATTCTCTAGCAAAATGTGTTTGATGAAACTATGAGGAAACTGGTCTTCCATTACAGATTCAAACTGAAGATCATTTAACAGGTGTCTGTTTATCATTTCAATGTTATATTCAAATAAAATCTGTTTCCTTTTACTTAATAGATTAGAACAAGATGAACTGTATGGTGTATATGAAGTTCTGCATACAAAATTGGATCATTTTAATGCTCATTCAATAAACTTTAATATTTGTTTAAAACAACTGTCGAATATTTTGGATAAATTGTCTAGTGCACATCAAATCATGCTTGAACCTTTAAGAATTGATCTCATGAACGAGAATTCCAACAATATTGTTTCACTTATCAATATTCATGATGTAAGTTAACCTTTTTCTTGAATATTGAACATATTGTTCAACATGGTTCAGTTTTATTGTGTAATCCAAATGTAGCATATGATGATAATTGAAATCTTTTTCTGATTTACCAAACCATTCCACATCCGATGACACACTTTTCCCATAAAGCTTAACTTCTTTTTCACGCTTGTAGGATCACCATTCTCACCGGAGTTGTAGATATATGGCCTTCTGAGGATCGTTACTAAGCAAGAGACTTTAGTCGATCACAGCTCGCCGACTATTTAGAATTGATCAAGGAGCGTTGTGACAGCCAGACTCCTAGCTTGGTGAATACACGGAAACAATAATAATAGTAATAATAATAACACTGTCTAGATTGATAGTAGACCATTTTCTAGGCAAAGCTTAGTGCAGCCTTGATATTATAATAGTATAATATGTATAATATAAAAATATATTAAATTCACCTTTGAGGGCAAACATTTCCGCCAGGTTGATGGTGTCGCTATGGAAAGTCCTTTAGGTCCCCTCCTAGCCGACATATTCATGTCACACGTCGGAAACTTAGCCGAGAGCTTAATAGACCAAGCCCATCTGTATCGAAGATATGTTGATGATATCCTGATTATTTGTGAAAACTCAAATCAGGCTACTTCAATTCTGAACGAAGTACAGAACAGCATATCCTTGACATGTGTAAAAGAGGAAGATAACTGCTTGCCGTTCCTGGATATATTAATTAGTCGAAGGCAGGATGGATCCATAAAACGACCTATCTACAGAAAACCTACATGGACAGGGAAATATCTGAATTACTATAGCTTCTGCCCAGTTCAGTACAAGCGAACGTTATTAAGGTGCTTATTCAGCAGAATTCAACGAATATGCACCGAGGATACTTTAGAAGATGAAAGAGGAACACTGACCGATATTTTGTTGGCAGAACAGGCAGAACAAAATTACCAGAGCGCCAAAACTAGAACTGCAGTCAGTCCCAAAGAAGGATGTCTTCATCAGCCTTTCGTAATCCTTAAGCAGAGACTTAACGCTGCTGTTAGAAGGACTTACTATGCAGCCAGGGTTCGAGTAATCGAAACCACGAAGCCCGTATATTCCCCCAACCCCCCACAGCATGTGAATGATAATGTCACATCCCATTGTATCTACCAATTCAAATGTACGTGTGGCGACACATACATAGGGAGGATCAATAGATCCATGCAAGTAAGGGCCTCGGAACATATTCCAAAGTGGCTTCAGAAGCAAATTTAAATCACCTGAACCCATAAATGTTGGTAGCAGACGTCCAAGTTCTTCGATCGTCAAACATACCGTTGAGACAGGTCACAGGATTGTTGTGGCTACTTCCTTTACATCTATTTACAAAATATGTTGGGGAGGTATCCTGAAATTTGTTGAAGCCTTAGCTATTAGGAAGTTGAAACCACCTTTATGTGTTCATAAACAATTTGTTGTCACATTAAATCTTCCTCGGTAAATTCAACTATTGAAAACCAAGTTCGATGTACTATTATTTTTTCGCTCTGTTGATTTTCATTGTTATTCGGCCTTAATGTCAGCCTTCCTACTTGACCTCTTTTTATTTTCTTACCCCTTATCTTCATGAGTTTTTATATAAATACCTATGACAAGTACGTGTGTGATCACATAGTTCGAAATGTGTTGCGCTAATGCATTACATGGTTCAGACAGTTTACGTCTTCTTATTGTTTTGTCGAAGTTTATAAAGGGAACTAATTGTTTTAATTATATACACATATATTAAGCTATTTGTATTAAAGTAAAGCCTGAAGAGGATTTGAATTGAAAACAATTTTGTTCGCTTATACATGTCTTGTTCTAATTTATATGATGGAAATTTTGTTATTGGTAGATGATTGTGTGTATTTCAAGCATTCAGGTCAGTCAACAATCTAGATATGTATGTAGACATAGACCCAATCTATCGACCAATAAAAAAATGATGAACGTCAGAAAGGTCAGAGGAACAGCTAACAGGATAGTCAATGACGCAACAATCAAAAGAAACAACCAATCACAAAGTAGTTGGTCGGGGCAAGCTACTAAGTCGCTCACGAAAAGATACTGATAGCTCACTTCACAGTGCAGTTAGTGCTGTTGATGTCGTTTAGCTAGACGATGAAAGCTTCACGATTAAACAACCCAGTTCAGAGAACACAATACAACCAAGACCATCTACCTGAGCTATAAATATTCTCCACTATTTCAAAATCTTACGAGCAGCCTAAATGTTTATAAACCTGTGAACTGTATTGCAGAAGTTTATCAGGAATATGTACAACTTATGTTCATAAGAGTGGTTGACTCAAGGTTAAAATCACATCAGTACGATGAAGAAACAGTCTACCAATGTGGTTCATTTATTGCAAGCCTAATGTTTTTATATTTTCGCGCTAACTTCCATACATAATTGTTAGGTCTGGTAAACAATTTCACGCAATAATTGAGTAACTCTGACGGTCACCCTATCAACTACTGAGATAACCAACTATAGTTCTGTGTTTGCTGAAAAGTTGCCCGTACAGTCAATATATATCGAATTAATCATTTCAATAGTTGTTAGGGTTTGGAAATGGAAGTGAACAGGATTAACGGAGTGGTTTCGAAAAATTGACTTCGACTTAAAATTACAAGAGAAGAAACTATCTTGGTTGTATTGTGTTCTCTGAGCTGGGTTGTTTAATCATGAAGCTTTCATTGCCTTGCTAGACGACATCAGCGCTAACTTCAGTATGAAGTGAGCTGTCAATATCTCTCCGTGAGTGATTTAGTAGCTTGCTCTGACGATGTGGTCTGTGATTGGTTGTTTCCTTCGATTGTTGTGTCATTGATGATGTCGTCTAGCAAGACGATGAAAGCTTCACGATTAAACAACCCAGCTCAGAGAACACAATACAACCAAGACTATCCACCTGAGCTACAAATATTCTCCATCATTTCAAGAAGAAACTATCTTCTGTGTACATAGGTCACGATTTTCCGTAAGGATGGATAAGGCCTCTGCGATGCAAACAATACTTACAGTCTTTTGAATATTGATTTCTACTTCGAATGCAAAGTCTCTTGGAATTGAGTCACTGGTGTTGACTGAAATATTTTTAATAATGGCGCTTCGTCATCTCTTTGAAACCATGCAGGATTATGCCTTTGGATTCTTTTCGGTAAAACTCACAACATATATACCTTGTTCCACAACAGCTGACACATACACATAGAATTGATTCAACTCGACAGTTTGTTCTTAGCGTTGTTATGAAACGATGAGTGACAGGTGAGTACTAGTCTTAATACTGATGCAAGCAATGTTTTCGTAAGAGTTACATATCCTCTCCCGTAGAATCTCAGTTACATGACCACCGTTGAAGTCTAGTTTCACGAAGAGCATCTTTTTCATAACAGGGATGAGGTTGGGTGTTATCCTTTTGTCGATAGAATTTGGAGGGTACTCGTTTTCAATCAGGATTTTTCTTAGGAGAGAAATATGATCTAATCTATCTGATCGTTCGATGCTAGTGGCAAGCGATACAGTTCGACTCCTCTTACGAAATAACGCAGCCAGTTGTATAAGTTTATCAACTAGTTATTTCAGATAGGCGCTTTATAATAATAATAGTGATGGTAATAATAGTAATAATAATGGCTTTATTCTGAGAGCTATTTCGAGAATACTCTACAGAATTTTCAACATATTGTATGGCGCCTTTATCAACCTCATTCAACAGCCATATGCTATATGATGCTAAATACCAAGTGATTCACAATGGAAAGCTCAGTGATGCCTTTGAAGTGAAGACAGGAGTAAGACAAGGTTGCCTATTATCGCCGATGACCTTTCTGATTGTGGTCGACTAGACTGGACGGGGTCATGCAAAAAACTGTGATGGGCGAGAAGAGAGACATACGCTGGCTGGACCGATGAAAAGAGCCTAGAAGATTTGGATTTCGCCGATGATGATTTATGCCTAATGTCTAATGTTGCACAAACTCGAATATCTACGGACGGAAACTGACAAGTTGGCAGAAAAAGCAGTGTAGGAAGACAGGACTTCCTTCAGATGAACGTAGAGAAGACAGGTGGTGAAGATTCCCAACCAACAACAACAAGCATCAATCACCATCAACGGGAGAAACCTAAACGAAGTTGTGTCTTTCGCTTACCTAACCAAGGCAGCATCGTTTCAACTACAGGTGGCGGCGGCAGCACGGATGACGATGTCAAAGTCAGGATCGGAAAAGTAAGACAGGCCTTCAACAACCTGTAATGAGTGTGGAGATCTACTGCACTACACTGCACTGGACTGCACTCAACACAAAGCGTGAACAAGATTCGAATTTGCCAAGTAAGTTAGTCCTGCTATGTGATGGTTGGGAGACTTGGCGCGTTACGAAAAGCATTTCGGTCAAACTGCGAACATATATCACATTAATAGCTTCCGCTTACGCGCACTGGATACTGTAGACCGATCAGATGGCCAAAAAGAATAAACAACAAGGAACTCACTCTGGCAACGAACCAATGAAGGAAGAACCCATCGTCCAACGAATATGCAGAAGAAAGATTGGATTGGATCGGAAATACACTTAGAAGACCATTTGAGGACATCACACGCCAGGGAAACGATGGATTGGGTGTCCAAAGTTGATATGGAGGAGATCCTGTGAGGGAGAAATGAAAGCTTATGCGCAGTCGTGAAGCCAGGTTAACAAGACTGCAGAGAAGAGAGTGAAATGGTGACGTGCTACTGAAGCCCTATGTTAGACTAGGGACGTAAAGGAAAAATAACAAATAATAATAATATATCAATTGGACAGAGGCAGTGTGCATGTATACATATCAAAATGGAATAGATAGAAAGTACATAATAAGAAAAAGATAAGAATATTCACTCCATCTACAACTTTCTTGAAAATGTGCATTCAATTTAAGTGGACAATCACATTAGCAATTAGACTCATAATACGTAAAAAGTAACATGCTGTGTACTCATAAATCAGTTTGTTTTCAAAAACATAAGTTGATTAGTCAGTTAGTTTATTTCTAATCTTTTCTTCATCATACAGCAGACCAGCTAAATACGATATCGTAGAGTTTTTATATTTTGTAGTACATGCATAAAGTCTTATGTACTTGCTCCTTGTCTTTCTAGATGACCGACACGTAAAATTCTTTCAGTGAAGAGGATGCTAGTCATCCTAAGAAATAACTCCTACCAGATGTTTACATGAGTTAATATTTTTATCCACAACTTTCTGAACTAGAAGGTTTAGAGGTACACCACTAACTAGTTCTGCTGATAATCTGCAAAGTTCTACACAATATAGCACAGTCTTTTCTCAGCAAACCGCGGAAAAATAAAGGGGGACAATAGAGGAAAATAGGTAAGATCCATGAGGTTATAAAATACCAGAGGAGAGGCTGACTTACACCAGATATTCTCAGCTTCCTAATATAGAAAGTTAGGTGGAAAATTCTTTTGGAAATGAGTAAGGTGTATGGGAGGACCAGGAAAGGTTCGAACAATAACACCCCGAGATAAATCACACTTGTAACATTTTCTAATGCATAGTTATCAATATAACAGGAATCATGAGAACTAGGCAGCTTACATAGGTTATGTCCACGTCTGGGACTGGTTTATGATCTGACATTTTGAAGAATTAAGCATAAGACCATTCACGCAGGACCGTCATTGAACCATTCTGTTGGGACCAATCTGTTGAAGAGGAGACAGGTATAAGAACTGTTAGGCCATCAGCATATTTGATGAAATTGATAGCATCTGAAGATGGTAAGTTATGCAAAAAGAAAGAGAAAAGACGGGGGAAAGGATGGCTCCTTAGGGAACACTAGTCCAAAGTATGTAATGAGTTGGAGCGCTTTCCTCTGTGAACAACATGTTGTTTCCATTCAGAGAAATAGGAATGCAACCAACTGATTATCCAGGACTCAGTATTAGTCCCAGTTAGCTTGTCCAGCGGAAAATGTCTCGGGACAGAATCAATAGTTTGATCTCCTTAACATCCTTTCAGACGTTTTTGTGAATTGTAAATCAAATAAAAAGAGAATTCCCGATCCATTATCCTCCAATACAATAAGTGTATTTGGTAAGCGTTTCCAGTGAACACTAGTTATGTATAAAGCGTATTACTCAATCAATCAGTGTGTGGTTTGTTGATAAGAAGATGAACATATTGTTAATTCACACTTTTTTGTTTTGTTTTATATCCTACTTTCTTATTTTTATTTCAAGATAAATACGTCAAAAATCTATAAACTCCGAGAACAGGCTGTTGAGTTGATTATTCACCTTACTTCACTTTCATCTGCAACATCAAAGTCGTCATCATCGTTATCACCAGTGTTGTTGAATAAAATGCAACAGTATGCTAGTTTAATAGGTCAATTGAAATGGAGATTTCAAGTGTTGAATAATTTAGAGTTATATACTGAAGGATTTCAATTGATAGATCAATTACTATCAGTATTCTTATTATCTGGAAATGTTAAGACAAAGCACATTATTGGTTCCAGTTTTAATAATCATTTAGCTTTTAAACGAAGAGAATATTTAGTTCAATATGATATAATAAGTAAAAGATTTTTTAAAAGTTGAATATTATCAAATTACACCTTGACAATTGTACTATAGAATTATCTACCTATTCTACTAAATTTGATAATATAAGTATTGACAATTATGATGCAAATACACAATTAACCTGTTCATCATATATCAATGTTCAGATATGTTTGAATACGATGAAAATTTACTTGAAATCACGTTTTAAACTTCTGAAAGTAAGTTAACAGTTGAAAATTACTTGAATATAATGCATAAAGTTCATATCAACTTCAACCAAGATGCTTTATAGTTGTGTAGATGCATCAGAATGAGAATCGAAGACTTTATCAATACAAATTGTTACACCAGGATTGGTCTTCAACGGTGCACCACTTCACTTACCTGGGAAGTGGGATCAGCCCTACTCTGGTGGGTGGGTGGCTCACTGGCCGATGAACTCTCTGCACGGATACAAAAGGCTCGATTGGCTTTTGCCAATTTGCGCCACCTATGGCGCCGCCGTGATATCCGATTATCTACTAAGGGTCGCGTGTACTGCACAGTATTCCACTCTCTTCTACTGTATGGCTATGAAACATGGCTATTGAAGGTGGAAGAGATCAGAAGACTTCAAGTGTTTGACCATCGTTGTCTTCGTAGTATAGACCGTATTCCACGGTTTCACCATCTGAGTAATGCATAAGTCAGGTATAGGGTTTTAGGGAGTAAAGGTAAATCACTTGACGAGATTATGAACCTTCATTGATTGAGATAACTGGGACACGTACTACGTATTCCTAGTCACTGATTACCTCGTCACACAATGTTGGCTGAGGTGGGCCCAGGCTGGAAAAATGCTCTAGGTGGCCAGACTAAAACATGGCATCAACATGGTATGAAGTGTTTGACTGTTGGTTTGAGCCATGTGAGACGATGCAGACTAGGTGGTTGTGGTCCGTGGGACAAGAGGAACCAGTGGTTGGAGACTCTAGGTGATGGCATGGTTGTGGACCGATGTCAGTGACGTAGGTCTATACACATATTATCCTCATCTTAACACTACCGATTCTCACCATTTTGTCATTCTTCCTTTCTTTCTTCTCATACTTTATATTTCTCTTTGCTGGATTTTCTTACCTTCATCTTGCTCCTCACTGCCTTTTTACTTGATGTACTGATATGAAGTGTGGCAACTGGGAGCGTTACGCAGTAATGCCTGATCGTATGTTGATGATGATGATAATCAGAATGAAGAATGCGACTAAAATTAGTGATAAGCAGAGATCTTATACATACCATATATTCTATCACCTTTGGGACTTCGTTAACTGTTTCTCCTCAGTAATATACACTTAACATGAACATTTTGTACTGGGTTATCATTCTTTAGTGGTATATGGGGTCAGATACTGCAACTCCAATGACTCTGTTTCATAGTCTCATAGATGAAGAAAGTGAACTGTTATGTAATATCTTTAGTGAAGTGGAAATGCAACTTACCAAGTCTCTTCTATCGTAGGTAACAATTTAATCAGGATTAAACGAATCATGTATAACTCTGTCTGGAATTTTTTTCTATTACTAATTTATTGAAGTTGATACAACTCTACAGATAGATTCGAAATATTTCTTAAAAGTATTATTACTATTTATTATTTGTCTCTTGGGTTCCTAGTGAAACATAGGGCTTCAGTAGCACGCCTCCATTACCCTCTGTTCTCTGCAATCTTTTGAACCTCACTCCACCACAAGTATAACTAAGGTTTAATTAGTGTAATTATAAAGATGCCTAGAATGAAATTAATGAGAATGGATTCCTCTTGAAAATTTGAATTTTAAGCGTAATAAAACGATTATATTATCCATGAGACTGTATTTTCTAAACACAGTTTTCTATTCATATAGTTAGTCTCTATTATCTTTCTAGATATCATCGTCAGGAGAAAACTTCAAAATGGAGTGAAATTTGAGGATTTCTGTGCAATAATTGGCTTAAGAAATGGTTCTAATGACCTTAAGGTTGTGATTGGTTGCTTCCTCAAATCTTCAAATTCCACTCGATTTTGAAGTTTTCCCCTGATGATAGTATCTAAAAGGATAATAGAGATTATATGAATAAGAAATTGTGCTATCATCAATTGAATACATAATATGATATTTGTTCCTTTGATATAGTGTAGTTGCTGCTCCTTTTCATTAACATCTAGTGATAAATTGAGTTTATTTTATGCATTTATTGACTGTTAGCTAACCTGAACCTCAGGTTTCCAAAATCTCTCTAACATTCTCTTTGCGTTTCCTGAATCCAAGAAATCTACACTAGCGAATTTGAATTTCGGTTATGGATTGAAGTTGGTTCACTTGTATATTGTTCAAGTGAAACATATACTCCGATAGTGCATGAAGTATTTATTGTAAGTGTAAAACTTAAGCACTGTGATAGGATGTAATTCTATATTGGATTTGTTTATTTGATATATAGTATTACTTACTTGATTACTGTGAGCGATATATCAAGCAAACAAATCTAATATGGGAAAATATCTCTTGTTTTAATAGGTTGCAATGAGTATAAAGTCTGAATCCAAGATTCCTCATATCTACTGATACCTAACATCCAACAGCAAAACGCAGTCTACTGGAGTGTCATATGACTTAACTCAGTAGCCAACGCATAGAACTGAACAGCTGAATCGATTACTGTTAATTAGGCAGTTCTTTCATCCAGATCATATTTGTCTTAGTTTATCTAAATAAAAAAAAACATTTGTCTCTAGAAGCATTTGAGAACACAATTTTAAACCATACAGTATTATCGTGCACGCTACCACATACGTCGTGATGTCTCTGAGAAAAGCAAGTGGAGTTATTCACTAATGTTTAGACGTTCCGATAGAGGAAATGGGAAACATACGGACGGAAATATAGAAGGTAAGAGAAGAGGTAGCAAAAACTGAAGAACTACTCACATTAACTGAACAATATGAAGATTATTTGCATGAATTATGATGAACGTAAAGTTTCTCAATTTTAACATGACTAAGTGTAATTTGTGAATAAGCAATTTGAGAAACTCTCAGTTTTGTGCTTACAATATTATCACTCATCCTCATGTGATCTCTGTAGCCCATTGGTTGGCAAATGTATAAAACCCTAAGTTGAAACTCAACTACTAACATCTATAGTTCAAATTTCTTGTTTTAAGTAGTGTACTTGAGATATAATTAAGAGTGACTTTAAAGGCCACCCTAGCAACTGCTGAGATAACCAATCATATTTCTTCATTTTGAAAATAACTACCTTCCAAGCCGAAATATTTAGGGCTGGGGATGCTGTGCTTTGAAAAAACAAACTATTTTGGACTCGTCAGCTGGATGTACCTCCACCCTAGTAATGTTGTTCCCACTGAGACTCGAACTCCGTACCCATCACCGATTTTCCTTCATAATCTAGATGGTATGACTCAAAGTTGATCGCAGTCATACACATGCATATTATATACATCCTAACTATCACATTGAATTTAGTCATTTATCTTAGCCTCTCCTTTTCTCTTCCTTATTACTTCCTACGACTTTTGATGGCACTATTTCTGTTAGTCGATTTTTTCCTTTCTTGTGTCTTGATGAGAGTTGTAGCAACTTCTACCGTTACAAAGTAATACCAACTTCCCTGATATGAGTGACTGACTACAGAACCATGTGAAGCTAGGTGTACTACATGAGACCTACACTGTTGTATGAAGAATGTCCAGCTCCAATCTAATAAAAAAATTTACCGTAAAATAGGATCTTTAGCGATAGGCTCTTAACTGAATCTCTTTCTATGCTCTAAACGAGGATAGATGAGTATGTCATTTCAATTTCTTTATGGGATGACGTACGTGATCATAAATCTACTGTTAGTCACTAATAAAATTCTAATCTCAGTGTATTTAATTCATAAACTTATTCATTTATAGAAGATTGAATTGTCTTTTGAAAATATTGAATTCGATTCCATCTTATTAATGGGAAATGCAATGCAACTTGTGCTTACAAAGGAATCTAAACAATTTGTAAATAATGAATTACGCAGTAAGTTCACTTTTTAATGTAAAATGTTGAAACTATTTGTTGGAAGGTCCCAGTTTACACTATCGTTTTCACCCCAATTTTTATCGCATGCCTAGTAGTTCATTTTCTGCCCTCATTTGCAACGTAATTCATTGATTGGTCAATTCTTACTCTTACTATGTTAATGACTCAATTTACGGACAACGTCATATCTCATATGCGTACTCAGGTGTTTTTGGGTTAGTTGATTCTTATTCTTGGAGCAGTAAACTCTTCTATCCATCTTTGGTCTTCTCTATTCGTCTCGGGTTAGAGTCGATGGCTCTTGGGTACGAAGTTGGATGTCATTTAAGCGTGCGCATTATATCCCCTCGGAATAAACAACACTATTATATCTGTCTAGTTAGCCTAATGTTGTGATTGGAATTCAATCATTCTGCATCATAAAGTACAATCATTGTTGAGTTTGATTAAGAAGACTTTTGAATCGTATGGCAAGTGGGTTCAGGAAGAGCAAGAGAGTTCTTGAAAACCTCAGTATTGGAATAGATTGATGATCAAGTAAAATTCATACGTAGAAATCATTTAGGAAGCAATAGAGCTTGAATTGATGAAAATGAGGGGTAAAATGAAGACCGAAAGCGTGGATGAAACTTTTGAAATGCAACACAGCTCAGATGGGAGAATGATCAGAAGTCCGGAATGACAAGAACCGTGCCTATGAAAAGATTCCGAAATGTCAGAAGTGACTATTCCAGCAAACAAAATTGATGATGAATGTCTTCTGAAATAGTAATAGAAACGAAGTTGCTGATCCAACATTAATTTGATCATCTTGTGCAAAACAAATAGTCATACTACAGTGTACCCGTCGCACGAGGAGTGGTTATCGTGACTCAGCTATCTAGCGGATAACGCTCTGACCTTCAGAGCGGTCAGTCTTGGGTTTGAGCCTTAGTGGGAATGAAATCACTCACTGCGAGGGAGGTGGGAGGAGTCCCGAGTGGGACGAAACGCACGTACTGAACTGTACTACTAGCCAGTATCCATCATCAGTAATCAAAACACACATGTCGATTAAAGTCAATTCCAAAATATGGATGAACTCAACCGTAGTAATGAATGATGTTACGCATGATGGCTCATTAGGATGGGATAAAGGGACAGTCTTAAAAATTAACTCAGATTGATGGGGCGGGAGAGAGGTTGACAGCTGAAATAGTACTTTTCTAGCCGAAACCCTACGCCTGTACTGTGAGTAACGCAGCATCAATATTAAATATTTGGGAAATTCTACTATCAGTAGGGTTAAAGAATAGAATAAAGTAGGAATATTTATACTAAATCAGAAAGTTGTTTTATCTCCTTGATATGATTTCGAGAAATAAATTAGGATTAAGAAATCATCTGGTAAATTATAATCTATCATTATATGGTACTAAAGTGACTGGGTGTATAATGATAACTACGCGAACGGTAATACCATAATGAGACAGTGGACCGGATACGTACAGGGACTGTTCTCCCTCAGAACCGTATAGTACACGGAGCCACGAAAATCAGAAGGCAAGAACCACCTTGTGAACGTAAGGAAGACACTTAACTGGACAAAAAAACATCATTTATGTGGTTTCCATGGGCGTAAAACCATTAGGTCAAAAGTTAAATACTTTATTTTGATTGGTCAGCTGTAGAGTAAATCGTCCACTAAGATTTTCCCTAACATTATGGTGACATGAAACAAAGGTTGGAATCTAAAACTTTCTAGATGACTTAAAGAGCTGATTTCTATTTGGGCCGCTTCCTATTAGATACATCTTATAAACGAATTGAAATAAAATGGAGCCAAACAATAAGTGCACGATTGCCAGTTGGTCAGCACAATAGATGTAGCTTTGTACAAACGGATAAGTATACCATCCATGTTGATCGATACTCAATCTAAGATACTGCGAAGGCTCATTGAATATGTGCCTTTCTTCCCTCTTCCTCCTCTTCAGCTCCATCTTGACCATCCTTGATGAAGGAGAACAGCTTTTCCTTCGATAATAATAATAATAATAATAATAATAATAATAATAATAATAATAATAATCCATTTCAGGTACAATAAATGTAACATTCTTGGATAAATGTTTATGAGCGCACCGCGATGGTTAGTCTACTAGCTTAGTGGCTACATTACGAAATGGTAGATAGGATTTATTCAAGACTAGACAACGTGAAATTGGTTGTCCTCCAGAGACCAGTCAATGATTAGGGTTAAGGTACATAAAACCTTAGCGCTGACGTCTAAGACTCCAATGAAACTGATTATTCCTTATAAATTCAAACATGATGTAGTCACCTTACAAATGATTTCAATGAGCTTTTGACGGTCAGCTTATCATTATTATTATTATTATTATTATTATTATTATTATTATTATTATTTGTTCCTTGGATTCCTAGCTGAACATACGGCTTCGGTAGCACGTCACCACTTCACCCTATTCTGTGCAGTCTTTTTAACCTGGCTCCATGACTGCCCATGAGCTTTCATTTCTTCCTCACACAATCTTCTCCGTGTCACCCCTGGACACCTAACTCGTCGTTTCCCCTTTTGGGTTCCACTCGAGGGCCTAGTCTGGCCTTGACCTGGCGCGTGATTTCCCCTAACGGTCTTCTCAGTCTATGTCCAATTCAATCCAATCTGCAGGTACCTCTCTTTTCTTCCTTCCTTACAAACCTTCCTCAATAGTGGTGTGAGCATGTCCGCTGTTGTCTCTGCATCTGTTTTTAGTGCTTCTAGAGGAATTCTATGTGATCCTGCTGCTTTTCCTGCTTTCAGCAACTCTATCGGGTTCAGGACTTCTGCTTTTGTCGGAGGGTTTGTGTTCACTGATAGTTCTGTGACTGGGCTGCTGGTGGTATTTATTGATGAGTTGCAGATGGTGGTGGTCGATTCAAGAGTTTTTTTGAAGTGATCAACCCATTGTTTCCTCTGTTTCTTCTCTCTGGTAACTAAGTTTCTTTCACTATCTTTCATTGGCCAGCTTATTAGATAATATGAATTTCCCTTGAGATTTCAAATATCCCCTATTGATGTGTACTAACAATTATGAAACCGAGATCAACTATGACTTTCTGTTGAGCGCTTAGTAGTGTTGGACGAATAAAACATTTTTATATTGGTAGGATCAAGTTCTATGCAGTTCTTGCAGTTGAGTCGTTCCGACGAATAACAGTAAGCATGTAGTTGTGGTTCACAGCTTCATGCTGATCGCCTCCAACCATCTAACAATGAAGTGTACATACACTTTAAATCCATTTTGACTATGCAGAGTGTTGATTGAAGGAGAAAATGTTTTGCAGCAGGATTTGAACCAGCAGCTTCTACTTCTACGTTTTTGATTCGACGACCTACCAACTGAACTACGAGATCCAGCTACTGACAGACTCTTAACCTCACTTTAATCACCTAGGTTTTCTTTCGTCCAACTTTCATATGAATGCATGATAATTAACTGTCTGTTCATCGTCGTCCCACTAGTTGTTCCATTCAGTTCAACTCATTTCAGTCCAAATTAAGGTGAGTTAAAGAATGAAAGCGATGGAGAAATCATTGGGGAGACTATCTGAGATAACTAAGGTATTCCTGACGCAAGGTAATGATTGGAAGCCATTGGTTGGAATCCTTTTGAGGCCCAAATTTTCATTTCATTTTCAATCGTCAGCCGGTATAAATACCAGTTTACCAAACTACAGCTGTTACAGATGGTTTCATCAGTAATTGTGTTGGTTAGATAAAAGTGGGATTTATTTATTGATTTCAGGTTGGTATTCATCGTGGACTGACATCAGTTGGAGAAAGATTAGAAACTTGTGAGCATTAGACAGCTGTTTACTTCTATCATGGGACTCCCTGGCAGTGTACACCCACGACCATGGCAGGAGTCGAACTTAAAACTGTTGGGTTTGATCCATGACGGGGCAGGGCCATGGGCTTCCACTGCTGAGGAGTCCTATTCTAGGACGAAACAGCTGCCCACTGCTCCCAGACTTGCAGTGGTTCTCAAACTGATATCAGTCCACAATGAATACCAACCTGAGAAGTTATACTTTTTGAGTATAGGCTAATCCATGACCTAATTAAGACGATTATTTCCTGCAGTCTGTTGAAAATGACTTATAGGGATAACTTTGAATGTCATTCGTCGAAATAGTGGTTTGTTTTTTCATACTACTTATGCTTTTGCTTATATAGTTTCCTCTTTTCGTTGCTGAATCATCATTTCTACAGGTATTTATGTTGATCTTGTTAGCAATGTGGTTTCTTGTGAACAAGAACTCAATGGAATTATGTACTTAACAAAACGAGTTGAACAACTTCTTAATGAGTATAACCCATTTTATCACTTTTGGATCGATTCTACTTCAAAACAGTTTTACACAGAAAACGAGATAAAGGTATGCCTTTTAATAAATGCTTTCTAAGGAAAAGCGATCGTGTTCCATGTTTATTTTTTGTTTGTCTGTCCCTTGGGTCCCTAGCAGAATATAGGGCTTCAGTAGTACGTCACCATTTCACTCTCTTCTCTGCAGTCTTTTCAACCTGGCTCTACCACTGCCCACAACCTTTCATTTATTCCTCACTTGATCTCCTTCATATCACCCTCGGACGCCCAACTCGTCGTTTCCCATCCGGGTTCCACTCGACGGTCTGGTCTGATCTTGTCTGGTCTGATGCGTGGTGTTTCCAAACAGTCTTCTCAGTGTATCTCCAATCCAATCCAATTCAATCCAATCCATCTCCACTTTCTACTACATATTTGTTGGGTAATAGGTTCTTGGTTGGTTCGTTGTCAGCCAGCCAGTCAGCCAGCCAACCAGCCAGAGTTCCTCCTTGCTTATTCTTTCTGGTCATCTGATCGATCTTCAGTATCGAGTGAGCGTAGGCGGCAGCTGTTGTTGTGATGTAAGTCTGAAATTTGTTGGGAATGCTTTTCGTAAGTTGCCAAGTCTCTCAACCATCACACAGAAGGACTGACTACTTGACATTAATGTTGAAAATCCGGATGTTGTTCACGCTTTGTGCTGAGTGGAATGCAGTAGATCTCCACAATGATTATTTCAGATGAATGAAGGAAGGTCTGTCTTACTGTCTTTCCGATCCTGGATGCTTTGACATCCTCGTCTGTGCCACCGCCTGTAGTTGAAACGATGCTGCCTAGGTAAGTGTAGGTGAAAGAGACCACTTCCTTTAGATTTCTCCCGTTGGTGGTGATTGGTGTTTGTTGTTTCATAATTACATGATTTTTATATTTTTTTTGAGTTCCACTTTATCTCTAAATGAAATATTCTAACTAATTTCTTCAATGGGTTAGGGAGATGACCAACCATTGGGTCACGGGTTCGAAACCCGCTCCACCTACCTAGGTGGTTTGGGAAACTTGGCAGTATCACTAGACCTCACACAATAGATGTATCTGATTGCCTACTGCACGGATGTGCATTTCAATTTCGATTGGATTGCTACATTTTTGGAAGTGAACTTTAAAGTCTTCTATTTACTCATCACAAATCACCAATAGTACTGTATTTTTTTGCCTACTGGACAAATAGAATTCACTTATTCAAGCTGTGGAACAATATTAGTCTATGTTTTTGAATTGGGATTGTGGACACTGCATATATACGTCATCAAAGAGATTTGGATTAGTTTATTGTGAAGTATGAGACAATTTGAAAGTTAGGTGAATGGCTACCGCTGCCGCTACTGCTGCTGTTACTACGTCTTCTGACCTACATTAGACAATTCACTCGAAATACACTACATTGAAGTGCCGCGTCACTTTGCTGATTGGCTACCTTGTAAGACTTGATAAATGGGCTTCGATCAGTGCTAAGCACTATGAAATAGACATTGGTTACCTACTAGTGCTCGATTTGTGTACATAGTTCACTCCTATAGGGATTAGTGGTTAGGCTTCTGATTTCATCACTGAATAATGCAGAGTCAAATCACCGACGTAACATTAGTCTACCCATGCTTGCAAGCACACCTTCTTGATGAATACCGAAAAGCATGGAACCTATGTGAGAAAATCTTCCTGCTGATCAAATCAAGTCACTGAAGACCAAATTTTATCGGATAATTTTCAAGCCGTAATGTTTCCATTTATCGTAGCAAATGGACTGGCTTTATGATTACGTCACTGTGTAACTGTTAAACTTTATTGTTTTACGCCTTGCACACCTAGGCAATCGAATTTAAGGATAAATAGAGTTGTACAAGCAGCGATGTATCCAGCAGTACAGGGGGATAAACCTTTGTTGTCTTGAAGTGTGAAACTGTACAGTGATTGAATGTAATCTTGGCTAGATAACTATATCTCCAAACCTCTGTACTACCAGATCCCACATTGTATATGTATTTGACTTGTGTGGTGTGTATGATACCCAGCCGTTATTCTCTGTTAAACAAACTAGAGCAACTTGATTTCTATGTATGAAATGACCCGATAAATAAGCCACATGAACAGCATCACATACGCCTACAAAAAAAGCTTCTCAAAACATTGTAACAGGTTTTCATGGTCAGTATCAAATATGGATGGTCAATGTACAAATTATTTGCACATTGGATGGTTTATGTGGATATTTTTCACACCTGGATAGTTTTTCAACTGTGGTGTCAATAGGCAGCCAAGATCACAAGGTGTGATCTCTGACATAAAAGTATCACGAACCAATGAAATATACTGTTGAAAAAACTACTATATCTATAGATTTCACCAGCTAGATAAGAGTGATCTAAACACCAGGTAGCCGTTCTACTCGTTTGGGTTTGGGCTCATCGTTGTGAATACTTTCTAACTACTCGCGTCGCTCGGCAGCGCAAGTAGCAGTGAAACTCTTGTCAGCTTTTCAACATTTTTGTACTGTTGTGTGGAGGAGTTGACCAAGTCAAATATGAGAACAGTTACTCAACGACGACATTGGATATAGATTGCGCTATATTGCGAACTGACAGAAGTAGGAAATATGGACAATTAGGTTCCAACCCAGTGGCTCACTGATAACGTCCTGGTCACGGAACCTGAAGATCTTGGGTTCGACCCCTGGCTGGGGTGGTTCATGGGTGCGCACTGCTGAGGAGTCACATACTGGGACGAATTAACTGTTCAGTGCCTCCAGGTTGCCAATGCTCCTCCAATTGATGTAAGTACATGATGAATACCAACCCAAAATCAATTAATAAATCTCCAAAACCTACAGATAAGAGTAATTTTGACTCGTATTTTTGATCCACAATGGAAAGCTCACTGACGTCTTTGAAGTGAAGACAGGAGCAAGACAAGGCTGCCACCTACTGTCACCCATGATCTTCCTGATTGTGGTCGACTGGATCATGCAACAAACAGTGAGGAGCTGTGGGAAGAGGGGCATACGCTGGACCGATGAAAAGAGTTTAGAAGATTTCGATTTCACCGATGATTTATGTCTAATGTCACACAAACTAGAAGATCTACGAGCGAAAACCAACGAGTTGACAGACAAGGCGAGGCAGCGAAGACGGGATTTCAAGTGAATGTAGGGAAGACAGAGGTGATGAAGATACCCAACGAACAACAGCATCAACAACAAGAGGCACCAATCACCATGAACTAGAGAAATCTAAAGGAAGTAGTCTCTTTCACCTATCTAGGCAGGGCAGCTCGTTTCAACTACAGGCAGTGACACAGACGAGGATGTCAAAGCAGCCAGGATCAGAAAAGCAAAACAGGCTTTCATTAATTTGAAATAAACAGTGTGGAGATCTACTGCATTCCACTCAGCACAAAGCGTGAACAAGATCCGGATTTTCAACACCAACGTCAGTCAAGTCAGTGCTTCCATGTGATGGTTGAGAGACTTGGCGCGTTACAAAAAGCATTTCCAACAAACTACAGATATTCATCAACAACTGCCTACGCTGACTCAATACTGAAGATCAGATAGCCAGAATAATAAGAATAAGCAACAAGGAACTCTAGGAACGAACCAATCAAGAAACTATCGTTCAACAAATATGCAGAAGGAAGTGGAGATGAATTGGGCATGGACTGAGAAGACCGACTGGGGACGTAACGCGTCAGGCCAGTCCCTCGAGTGGAACCCCGATGGGAAGCGACGAGCTGGGCATCTGAGGGTGACATGGAGGAGATCGTGTGAGGAGGAAATGAGGGCTTCTGGGCTGTCGTGGAGCCGGGTTCAAAAGAGTGCAGAGAAGACAGTGAAATGGTGACGTGTTACTGAAGCCCTATGTTTCACTAGGAACCCAAGGGAAAAATAATAATAGTAATAATTTCTGAAATGGATACAATTTTGAGAAAACGCATCTTTAGTAGCAATGGAATATGCTAATAAACAACAGACTACCAGAAAATTCTGTCATCCATACAAGACTGATCCTAACATTTGATGAACTTTTCTACTGTTTCATAGGTCATTTCAATCAGCAATACATCTTAAAGATTCAGATAAAATTAATTAATTGTTCAAATCTAACCAACTGACTTGTTGGAGTACATATACTAGAATTACGGTGAGTAATTTACTGATTATTTACAAGCAACATGAGTCATATCGACCAACGAATGTCTTTCAACTACACTCATGTCACTAGCCAAACAGTGAAAGTATTCACACGAAGACCAACTCTCTTGCCAGAGGATTTTGTTAACACCCTTTTAAACTGATCAGTGTTTTCCCAGAATCTTCCCAACTGTTAGGCTTCACTGGATCCACATTCACCGATCAATTGGTTCGTTGACCGTACTCACCTCCGTATGAGCAGACATGTATGTCTGAAGTCTCCACAACCTCGCAAAATGTGTGCAACTCACTTTCTCGAAAAAACATTCCTCTAGGAGGCCTGACCCATGAACCCGTAATGCCGACTGATTTACAGTGATGGTTCCCTTCAGGCCATTGATATATAACCATCGCTAGGGCTAACAATACCGGAATTCCGGGTGGAATATTTCTGGCCTTTGCAACGTAAACTGTATCCAGTCTCTTAGGATTGCTTCACCTTACTTTTCAGTAGCACTGCTCCCAACGCAGTGAATAGAATCTTGACCACTTAAAAAAGAATATGTGCTTTGGAGATTCACACCACTGATCTTTTGCATATGTATCTCGTCGATCGCGGTTTTCTCTAGGTGTCAACTTAGTGGGGTGTTAGATAGATATCCAGCGGGGCCGCGAGTAGGCTCACCGTCGTACACAACTAGGCTGGACCCATAATCTCTGGCGCACATAACATCTTCGGTTTTTAAAAAGCCAGCAGAACAGACCCAAAGCCAATTGATCATACTGTGCAGAGCTTCTTCACCATGATGCCCTGGCACACAGATGTAGAGCTGGATTTATGCTATCTATAGAGTCATAGTTACCAGGTGCTGAAACGTTGTAACTGTCGAATCACACCGTAGAACCATCACTAATACTGGTCATAAACCCTTGGCTTAGTGAACTTTAACTAAAAAGATCAATTAACATGCATCTAGTTTTCTTATTCTGTTCACTTTCGCTCTGTTTCATTTTTAGGATCAGTGTGGACATTTGAAAGCGTTTCTTCATTGGATAGATCAAGTGAAAGAAGAATTTCATGTGATTGATGAAACTGATAATAACACTTTATCAAGTGTTTATTGTACTAAAAAACTACACATATGCATGAAACCTCTGTATGAATCACTAGTGAGACATTTGAATCAAGTGCAAACTAATGTTTTCAGGTTAGTGGTGATTGAATTTAATTAATGATCCAGATTTTCTGTTGTTAAACTGTTACACTGGTCCTAACGATACTTGTAATTTCCTGTTGCTACACAGCACTAAATTGCTTGACCTATGTTGGCATCCGCATAGGAGCCCATCTGCCAACAAAGGTCGAGCAATTTAGCGCTGTGTAGCAACGGGAAATTGCATGTATCATTACAACAACTAACACACGTTGCACAAGAGGTGGCTGTTGTGCCCAGTGGCTCAGTGGATAATGCGTCTGGCGTTTGAAGCGAAGGCTACTGGGTTCGAGCCTCGGTGGGAACAAGATCGCTCACTGGGGTGCAGATATATCCGGCTGAGAAGTCCCAAGTAGGACCAAATGCGCGTCCTGGATTCCTCTGCTAGTCGGCAAGATCAGTTTTACACTAGTACTTTTTGAAGAGAGTTTTTATCATACATGAACGCACCAACCAGATAACCATTGATAGCCTGGAAGCACTGGACAACTGTTTCGTCCTAGTTTGGGGTTCCTCAGTAGCGTGAACTAGCAACATAGGACCACAAGGTGTCATGGTGAAGACGTTAGCTTTCAGCTGTTGAGTCAGAATATATTGGTTCACGTTCTCCAACTTGTACTGATGCACGGTATAGCGTAATCATTGTCCGATACCATTTGCAAGTATTTCTCCTTATGTTGGATTTACTTGGCACGACAGACCACAAGTTCTCGCTAGAACTTCAACAAGTATATCTTGAAATCAGGGTCTAACTGGGATTGGATTATTATTCAACTGAGGCGTTCATAGGGGACTGGCTGGTTTCAACTTTCCTTTTCGTTCACGATTTTGATAGCCAATTTCGATTCATTTCAAGTTCTAGAATTCATTTCCGGCTTTTTATTCTTTACTAACTAACTAACTCATTCAAAAACTTTGTACTTCGGGTAGTCTGATTTTGAACGACTCTTTGAGTATTGCAACTATCTTGATCACTTAGCCAGCAGATAAGAATTTCGGCAATGATCTTGTTCTTAGTGTTGATCATATTCTGTGGTTCGAATTCCTTTCATCTGAGATCACTAAACAACCTATTTACAACACTTGAATATCATATAAGATGTTAGAAGTTCATTGACATTTTTACTTGTAAATTAGGTCTATTGAAGTTCTTGTCAGTTAGTTGTCCATAGATGCATATTCTCTTTCTTTTGATGATTTATTATTGATTTCATCTTAAGGTGGTATGAAACCTCACCTTTTGATTTAGTTCTCTTTATAGTTTTTAAAGACTTTTGTTATTGACTTGTTCAGAGGTGATAAACTTTGACTTTCAGTGAGTTCTTCTACTAGTTGGATAAAATATATACGATGAAGTTAACTTTATTCTACTTTTTCATTTGAGACCTTAGAGAAAGTTGTTGAATATAATTTGAAAAAAAAATATGTTGACAGCTTGATTTATAGGGTTATTTTGGTGGTATATTTCTGAAGTGGAGTTGTTCGTCAGTGATATATATATCGATACACGATCCTCTGGCAATCGCAATACAAGTTCACATTTCACTTAGATTGTGTGTGACCGAGTGATCAGATTGTTTTTTTAGCCATCAAACAATACTCATACTTCCATATTAGATTTGTTTATTTGATTTATAACACAGTGATGTGTACTATTTACTTGATGATGTTCGGGCATAAATTATCATTGCTCATAATCGTCTCAATGTAATAATCACACAACTTTCAACATTTGATATTTACAGTCCTGCCACCTCTTATTCTATGTTCCTATCGGTAGTCAACATTTCCATATCTCTAGTACAGGTGTTACGTCATTACTATTACATATGTTGCGTGTTGGGTGTTGATTCGATGAAGAAAGATTCAGTAATCAATCTCTGTCTCCCTCTATCTACACCTAGTTATATTGAACTTGAGTGTAGTGGTTTTATCCCAGCCATCCTATTGTATTATTATTATATTATTTGTCTTTTGGGTCCTTAGCGGAATATAGGGCTTCAGTAGCACGTCACCATTTCACTGTCTTCTCTGCACTCTTTTGAACCCGGCTCCATGTCACCCTCAGACGCTCCGCTCTTCGTTTCCCATCTGGGTTCCACTCGAGGGACTGGCCTGATGCGTTATGTCCCCAATCTGTCTTCTCAGTCCATGCCCAATCCATCTCCACTTCCTTCTGCATATTTGTTGAACGATAGTTTCTTGATTGTTTTGTTGCCAGCCAGCCAGCCAGCCAGCCAGCCAGCCAGCCAGCCAGCCAGCCAGCCAGCCAGCCAGCCAGCCAGCCAGCCAGCCAGCCAGCCAGCCAGCCAGCCAGCCAGCCAGCCAGCCAGCCAGCCAGCCAGCCAGCCAGCCAGCCAGCCAGCCAGCCAGCCAGCCAGCCAGCCAGAGTTTCTTGTCGCTTATTCTTATTATTCTGGCTATCTGATCTTCAGTATTGAGTCAGCGTAGGCAGTTGTTGATGAACATCTGTAGTTTGTTGAAAATGCTCTTTGTAACGCGCCAAGTCTCTCAACCATCACATGGAAGCACTGACTTGACATTAGTGTTGAAAGTCCGGATCTTGTTCCACATGCTGAGTTGAGTGCAGAAGATCTCCACACTGGTTTCAGGCTAATGAAAGCCTGTTTTGCTTTTCTGATCCTGGCTGCTTTGACATCCTCGTCTGTGCCTGTGCCGCCTGTAGTTGAAACAGTGCTTCCTAGATAGATGAAAGAGACTACTTCCTTTAAGTTTCTCCCGATGGTAGTGATTGGAACTTGTTGTTGTTGTTGGTGGCATTGGTTGGGTATTTTCATCACCTCTGTCTTCTCTACGTTCACTTGGAACCCCGTCTTTGCTGTCTCGCCTCCTTTGTCAACTCGTTGTTTGTTGTCTGTAGATCTTCGAGTTTGTGTGACATTAGACATAAGTCATCTGCGAAATCTAAATCTTCTAGGTTCTTTTCCGCGTTCCAGAGTATGCCCCTCTTCCCACAGCTCCTCACTGTTTGTTGCATGATCCAGTCGACCACAATCAGGAAGATCATGGGTGATAGTAGGTGGCAGCCTTGTCTTACTCCTGTCTTCATTTCAAAGGCGTCACTGAGCTTTCCATTGTGAATTACTTGGCATGTGGCGTCTTCATATAGTTGTTGAATGAGATCGATAAAGGTTCATGGTACTTCGTAGTTTTGAAGCAGCAGCCAAATTACTTCTCGGTCGACGCTGTCAAAGGCTTTTTCAAAGTGGATGAAGTTTGAGGTAGAGAGTTGACTGTCATTCTATACTCTGTTGTATGATGATGCGAAGCGTTGCAATTTGGTCTGCACATGATTTGTACCTCCTGAGTCCAGCCTTTTCCAGTCGTGGTTTTGAATCCAGCGCATATTTTAGTCTTTCCAGGATGATGCGGCATCCTATTGTGTGGTAGGGTGTTAATGGTTGCCTTGTAGTCGCCGAGTCTCTTTCTAGATCATTGATCCTATTGGGGCGTGTCATTCTATATTTAGGTAGATCCCTCCTATGTTCGGCTGTTGTGAGTAGTGACCGTGACTGGCTAGTTTCACGCATGTATTTGACCTCACTCACAGTCATTGTATGGAATTTGATAGATGAGATTATTTTGGTTAATTGGTTGTATGAGATCGTTAATCCAGTCGACAAAGGTTATCTGTGATTGAGTTTGTGGATGTTGATGTCACTGTAATTCCGGGTTCGTTGAGAGAATCCCACGTAAGGCAAGTGAGGCTGTGAACTCCTTTCTCCTCATGTTACTGTAATTATTTCGTTTTTGTGTGTTCGTATGAATTTCTTAATCAAGTGACTGTAGAGGATAATTATTTGGTATTAGTGCTTGTTCAGTTGTGTGGTTTAATTGCTTGTTTAAGTTGTTGTAGTGGTGTGAGTAGTGAGTTAGTTATCTATGTGTGTATCACTTGGATATTTGAGTGGACCTGCGTTAACTGACATAGACTGGATGATGGATGATGAGATGATTTGAGAGAGAGAGAGAGAGGCTGGGCTAGGTGTTAGAATGTGTTGGTTTTGTGTGTGTTATGGTAGTATGCAAACCAGTGTCTGTTCTTTGTTTTATTCTGCAATTGATTTTCTATGTGGTAAGTGAATTGTATTGAGTGTGCTACTGAAATTATCTGTGTGAGGAATACTGTAATCACTGTGTATTATAAATCAGATGAACAAATGTAATGTGAGAATTAAATTCAACCACAGCGTCGAAGTTTTACGCATATTCATAGGCATACTTCATATAGGAACAAGTAAACTAACGTGTGTGTGTGTGTTGACTTCTGAGATGCATTTTCAACTCAACCGAGTTTATTTTTTACATATCTACCTATAAGTTTAACCTATTCTCATTTTCGTAAATATTTTCATCAGTTAAACTGTGCATACTACATCCTAAGAGATCTAGTTTTATTCAGATGCTGGACACTCTGTAAGTTATTCCTTACCACTCAGTAGAGTTTGTTTTTCAGACATTTAACTTTCTAAATCTCACCAAGTTTGCTTATTTCACTCAACATATCTTATAGATCCGAACTTATAAGCAATATAACATAATTTACCAGCAATTTCACCTTAGGAAAGAACATTGGTTAGAGATTCAGTGGAAGCCAGGTGCAGGAAGAAAGTACAGTGAACAGTTGTTTCAGCTTACTGTTGTAACTAAACAGTTTACAAACTTTAAAAGAAGCTTTGAGGATCCCCGCTGGTGCTCATATGGTAATAAAGACCGATTAATTCGGTTCAGTCAACGACGGTATAGTGCAAGCAATAACACCAAAACTATACTCGTCGCACAAGAAGTGGTTATCGTGGCTCGGTGGTCTAGTACATGACGCTCTGGCGTTTGAAGCGTCGCTCCCGAGTTCGAGTCCCGTTGGAAATAACACTGACTGGGAGGCAGGCACATCCAGCTGACGAGTCCCAGATAGGACGAAATGAGCATCCTGGATTCCGCTGCTAGCCACTATCCATCATTAATTTTGAGGATAGTTTATATATAATTATCAAAATATAACTTTTATATTGAATGATGATTCAAAACGGGGATGAAAACCTGCATCTGGGCAGAATCCTAACTGGTGATGGCCTCCAGGTTATCAACTGAGCTTTCTACCGATTGACTTGCGCTACTCAGCTGCTAATGAGGTCCTAACTTCACTTTTGCTCAGTTGCTATGGGATACAACGGTTGACATCTGAAGATTCAAATTATTACATGGTTTGGATATATGCGTACAAGATAGTTTAGTGTTCTTTGAGCTGTCTTTTTTGGAAAAATACAATCAGTATACACTTTGAAAAGATATATATGTTTGAAATTTTTTCACAGGAAGTATATCAGTCTCTCCTAGTGACCTTAATTATAACTGGTTACCCTTTTTTCTTATGACCCCTTTGTAACAAAATCTTTTCTTATTTTCTGTTATTCGCAATTAATTGTTAACGTTTTAACTATGTGGTTGATAAATTGGGTGTTTAACACCATTACCGCATTGTATTAGGCTCAAAATTAATCGAATCCTCAAAGATGTTTATGTAATAAAAGCCTGTCGGCTGTTATTAATTCACTCGAAGTGGAAATTCACTCAGCTACCTTTTTTTATATTGGTTCATTAGGTAACGAGATACACCTATTTGCGAGGGTCAGTGATACTCCCTAGTTGCCCAGACCACCTCGGTAGGCGGAGCGGTGTTCGAACACGTGACCCAATGTGTTATGCTTTCGAAAGCTGCTATATGCTGTGGCCGCTAACGATGTACGGATGATATCGACTGTCAACTACCAACTTTTAACAAATTTCTATTTGGATTCCTGACTCGGCTAATTCATAGGGGAGATACGATGGCGTGTAGTAGCGTGTGTTGGGATCGAAAGACTGAAGACCAAAACAAAGGAAAATGTAGCTAATAATACATAGATAGATATTTCGCTGTTACAAATAGTAATATTGATCGACTGATCCACTGTGTGTCTGCCTAATTGTAGACGTGATGACTTAAAGTACATTTTGATTGGTCGCTGTTCAGACTAGTCATTTCTCTCCATCCTCATATCACCTCTCTCTTCATAGGAATGTTTTATATGTTGATACTGGGCCTCACTGTTTGTTTTGCATCTGTCTGAGCGATGCAGAGGGAGTTTCTGTTTGTTTACTGGGTGATGAGTAGTGTTCTCGATATTCTTTCGGGGTGCTAATACATGAACATGGAAATCAGCTATCAAGCCAAGAGACAATGATTAAAAGTCACCTCCCTAAACCACACCACAATAATTCACTCCAAAAAGGGTGTATCTTCTTAGGTTTTATCAGGAAATCAGTTATGATCTCTTCCACTCACTATGGCAACAGTTGAAAAGTTATTCTTTTGTAATATTAGGGGATGATTGAAAGTGAAATGTAAATTTGGGCCACGGCAGGATTCCAACCAGCGACCACCAGGTTTCCAGCCCGATACTCTACCAACTGGGCCATGAGGTTCGACGGTTGACCAGATTTTTATTTCACTTCAATCACCATGGATTTTGCCCGACTATCATGTGAATTTAGGATGCGTTACTACTGTTTGATCGTACTCACATTGACTGTCTAGACAGGACTTCTCATTTCAATCGAAGTGTAACTGAATAAGAATGAGAGGGGGGGAGGCATCATATTGATTATCATTTGACTATCTGGGATAGATAGCAGTAGTTTGACAGACTGGTATTGATACTGGGTAATGAGTAAAGATGAAATGAAAACTCGAACAGTAGCCGGATTCGAACAAGCGACTATCGGGTTTCCTGTAATAACGCATCGCTAATTCACATGGTAGTCGGGCAAAACCCTTGGTGAATTAGGTGAAATAAAAATCTGATCAGCAGTCAGACCTCGTAGCTCAGCTGGTAGAGTATCGGGCTGGCAAACTGGTGGTTGCTAGTTGGGATCCAACCACAGTCCAGATTTTCATTTCACCTTCAATCGTCATCCAGTATAAATCATATTAGTTTTTTATTAAAGCTATCTCCAACTTAATAAGTTTTCTGAAAGCATAATAACTGATGTCTATTTCGTTTCTAGTTACTTGAGGGATTTGCAGAGCCGCTATAGTGTACTGAACCAACTACAAGTATCTTCTTCTTCACAGCATTTCAATAATCTACAATCCACTGGTCGTTATCGTACTCGAAGTTTGTGTGAGACAACTCTGACATCTTCTTCTTTAAAGGCAAGAATTCGAAGACGATACAACTCACTATCCATAGATTTGGATTCCATGGAAAAGGTCAAAAATCCGATCAGTTTAATGTACTTCCCTGATATTTTCTCAAGGTGTTCTACTCAATTACAGAAAGATTCTTTATTGCTCTACAGAAAGGATAAAACTGTAATAGAGAAAAATCAAAATGATTCACTATCTGATGAAAGTGTTAACATCTCATGCTATCCAGAGAAACAAGTAGAATCACCGTGTTCTGAATCTACTTCGTCATCTACATTATGTAATAATACACAAAAGGAAGAAGGTGATTCAGATTATGACGGACTCCTGGAAACGTCTACACTATCGACTGTATTATCAAAAAGTGTTCAGGTGAATAGGTTACCATGTAAAAATTTATCTTCTGTAAGCACCTTTTTTCCCTCTCAGTACATCACGTTTCATGAACATACACACTGTATAATTGATTTTATATCATACCGTCGTTGATTGGACCGAATTGATCGGTCTCTATTGGCATATGGGCTCCTGTGCGGATGCCTCGATATTACCTGTTCTCTAATGATAGTAATGATGGATAATGGCTAGCAGTGGGATCCAGGATGCGCATTTCGTCCTATTTGGGTATATACCCGTCGCACAAGAAGTGGCTATCGTGGCTCGGTGGTGTAATGGGTAACGCTCTGGCGTTTGAAGCGGCGCTCCCGAGTTCGGGTCCCTGAGGGAACAACATCACGCTGGAAAGCAGGTCCACTCAGCTGACGAGTCCCAACTAGGACGAAATGCGCATCCTGGATTCCACTGCTAGCCACTATCCTTCATTATATACACACTGTGTTAACAAATACTACTAACTTTATTATCTTGTCGATATAGTATCTTTTGTGAAGTCAAAGAACATTGAAGACAAATCCTAGAAGGTATATGTTGAAAATTTGAAATGCGCTCACCTACCAATTACATTTTCGTGTAATAGACAATGAACCACACCTACTCCATATTTTCACAGATGTGAAATGGCACAAGTTAATATCCGACGCTTATAACCAGATTGGTAGATACTTAGGGTGCACCTAAGGGAGTTGGAAAATTCTGATTGCAAACTAATGGTGCTCATAGACTCCAGATTCCAGATGAAACAAATGGCGTATGAACCTATTTTGGTCACCAGCAGCCATGGAAATCCAGCTCCTGATGTTGCTCCGCAGCCTTATGGATTACACTTTAAGTCAAAGACTCAGGGAGTGGTCCCTTAAGACAACCACCTGCTTTGGTTTGGACACCCGGGCACTAGGTGGAGTGGTTTCGAATCCGTAACCTATTGACTGAAAGTTGAGTATCTAAGTGAAGGAGCTACAGGTTTTCCTGAAAACACATATAACGTCATCAAACAAACAAACCCGAAATCAATAAATAAATCCCTACAAACCCCAAAATTGAAATATCTATAATGTTTTTGCGCAAGAAATGGCTATCGTTCCCCAGTGGCTGACGTTTGAAGCGAAGGGTACTGGGTTTGAGCGTCGGTGGGCGCAACATCACTCCACGCTAGGGTGTGGCTGCATCCAACTGACGAGTCCCAAATAGGACGTGACGTGCATCCTCCATTCCTCTGCTAGTCACCAAGATCAATATAGCATCTGTAATGTTTGTTTTTTTCCACTATTTTTTAGCCATCACTAAATTCACTCAATAGAGATTTTGATACCACTAATGCAAATGATAATTCTGATCAAGAAATGAAATCCTGCTTAGATAAACAGAGAAGATTAACACAACTATTCTCCAGTTTCCTTGAAGAATATAAGTAAGATAAATCTTTCTAATTTACAACCTTTTTAAAAAAATAAAACTTATTTTCTGGTTAGTTTTTTTATATTTTGTGCTTTGAAGTTTCTTAAGCGATTGGATTGGTTTTATAGGGTAGGGCTGCTAGCCTTATGCCCAACCTTCCCTCTTTATCCGTGCTTAGGACCGGCTAGTAACTAGTGAACTGGTAAACTAGGCATAGAATGGCAATCAACTCTCTACCTCAACTCCATCCATTTTGAAAAGGCCTTCCTTCGATGGCGTCGACCGAGAAGTAATTTGGTAGCTGCTTCAACACTACGGTTTTGGTGCCACAAACCTTTATCAACCTCATTCAACAGCAGTTATATGCTATATGAAGATGATGATGCTACATGCTAAGTGATTCACAATGGAAAGCTCAGTGATGAGTTTGAAGTGAAGGCAGAAAGGAGTAAGACAAGGTTGCCGTCTACTATCACCGATGATCTTCCTGATTGTGGTCGACTGAATCATACAGGAAACTGTTAGGAGTGAGAAGAGGGGCATACGGTGTTTGACCGATGAGAAGAGGCTAGAAGATTTAAATTTCGCCGGTGATCATTTATGTCTTATGTCACACAAACTCGAAGATCTACAGGCGAAAACTAACAAGTTGACAGAAGAGGCAAGGTGATGAAGACAGGACTTCATTCAGGTGAACTTAGAGAAGACAGAGGTGATGAAGATACCCAGCCAACAACAACACGCACCAATCACTATCGACGGGAAAAATCTAAAGGAAGTAGTCTCTTTCACCTACACTTACCTAGGCAGCATCGTTTCAACTACAGGCGGTGGCACAGACGAGGATGTCAAAACACCCAGGATCGGAAAGACAGTAAGACAGACCTTCCTTCATTCATCTGAAATAATCATTGTGGAGATCTACTGCACTCCACTCAGCACAAAGCGTGAACAAGATCCGGATTTTCAACATTAATGTCAAGTAGTCAGTCCTTCTATGTGATGGTTGAGAGACTTGGCAACTTACGAAAAGCATTCCCAACAAATTTCAGACTTACATCACAACAACAGCTGCCGCCTACGCTCACTCGATACTGAAGATCGATCAGATGACCAGAAAGAATAAGCAAGGAGGAACTCTGGCTGGTTGGCTGGCTGACTGGCTGGCTGACAACGAACCAACCAAGAACCTATTACCCAACAAATATGTAGTAGAAAGTGGAGATGGGTTGGATTGGGGATACACTGAGAAGACTGTTTGGAAACACCACACATCAGACCAGACCAGACCAGACCGTCGAATGGAACCCGGATGGGAAACGACGAGTTGGGCATCCGAGGGTGATATGAAGGAGATCAAGTGAGGAATAAATGAAAGGTTGTGGGCAGTGGTAGAGCCAGGTTGGAAAGGCTACAGAGAAGAGAGTGAAATGGTGACGTACTACTGAAGCCCTATATTCTGCTACGGACCCAAAGGATAAATAATAAAATAATATAATTTTCTGGTAATCTTTCCATTGAGTTGAATATGGGTGAGACTAAAAGTTATCCTTAGATGTTGTTGCCTTCTGATTATATGCATTTTATGTGTTTTGTATGCATATATATTCTGAAGTGAAAGCCGCAATCATAAATCTTTCTTGATGTAATTTGAAGCCTGAACTAATCCATTGTGATCTATGAGTATCATTTTTTCCCTGAAAAACTGTATTTACTTTCCGCCTAGGAACTGGAAGTACAATCAACACTTTACACATGAAGAAACGTTTTGAAACATGATTCAAAGACAGATGACATTATAAAAGTTATATGAGTATGTGAAATATGCATACAGAACACAGAAATTTTCGTGGTTTCACATACAACCGTGGAAGCTATGACGAGCACGATAACACCTGGGGATAACTTTTAACCTCGCCTGTTGAACTCACTTGGCGTTTATTCAATGTGTAGAACTTTCGAAATTTTCATATAGCGTTCGATTAAATGTTCAAGCGTTTATCAACGCGTGTTAAGCTTGTAATCTCAAAGTAAAATTACAGACAATTCAAATTATCCAATCGAAGAAATTATTCATTCACTACAAATATGCCTAGTGCATCTTTTAATGGGAAACTGTTGATCAATAGTTGAAAGTTTACTTGAGTCTGGGTATTATTGGCTTAGTTGTGACTACTAGGGGAATCCAGTATGCATGTTCCTACACCCTAGTCAGTGGTGTTGTCCCTACTGAGACTCGAACCTCATACCTATCCCTTCTAGTGCTATAGCCCATTCCACTAAGCCACTGAGACGCGACAGCCATCTTTTGTACACCGGACATTAGTTATTATTACTTATTGATAGTTGTAACTCTCCCTTGTTATACTAGATTGAATTGATCGACAACTGTTGGTAGATGGGTTCGTATGTGGATGCAAAGATAGAAATTTAACCGCCTTATTTAGGAATTCAATTTTCACTATTGTAGATACAGGTTGATAAATATGCGTATCGTGTCATCTTTGGCTTTTTAACTACCAATTTACTTGTAGATGTCAAATCAGACACAGTGTACATCTCATATTTCATTCGATTCCCTCTCAGTTTTAAAGTATATCAACGTTTATTTCTCGTTTTCATATTAGTCATCATCTAACCGGATTGCAAGTGATGAAATGTGATAGATTCATTGTACTCCATGAGCGTTATGATTTATCTTATTCCATTTGGCAGGTTTATTCAACCTTAATGACAAGTTCTAAATAGGATGAGATGTGTGTCTTCGATATCTCTACTAGTCCCTATCAATCAAACTATATCAAAGTTAACAAGATGATTGGGTTGCCAGATGTCAACTGGTGCCTAGTCGCCGATTGCCTCGTCATACAATGTTGGCTGAAGTAGGTCCAGGCTGGAAAAAGGCACGAGGTGGCCAGACTAATACATGGCACCAATGTATGAAGTGTTTGACTGTTGGTTTGAGCCATATGGGACGATGCAGACTAGGTGGTTGGGGTCCGTGGGACAAGAGGAACCAGTGATTGGAAACCGTAGGTGATGGCATGGCTGGGAATGGATGTCAGTGGTGCAGATATATCCCCACACACATTATCCTCATCTTAACGACACTATACTGAATCTCAGCATTTTCTCATTCTTCGTTTCACTCTTTTTGTACCTAATATTTCTTTTGACTGCATTCTCTTATCTTCATCTTGTGCCTCACTGTCTTTTTACTTGATGTACTGATATGAGGTGTGGCAACTCGGACCGTTACACAGTAATGCCTGGTCCTAGGTTGATCTGGATGATGATGGATGAATAGTTGAATGCTGACTGACGCCTTTTGATCAAGTTTCCAATGTCACCGCTGAGCTAAGTATCATGACATTGTGGTGTGCAGTCGTTTTTCATTTCAGTTTCGTACCTTCCGGTACTCATCAAGAAAACGTATCCAAAACCCTTAAGATTAATCATATTCCTCAGGAGATCTCAACCTGCATTATTTCTTTATGAAGGTAGAGATTGTATCATTAACATATTCAGATCACAAATCATGCTTTATGCAATTAAATTATTTACAATTGGACAAAAAAGTCAATGTGAAAACCTTATTAAATGATTAGAGACATTTGAAAAATATGCGGAAATTTAAATTCATCTTCTTAAGAATAAATTATGAGTGGTAAATTCTGTGACTACTATGCTCCCAGGTGATATGAACTGTCATCTGGTTACAGATACCCTTTGTTGTGGTAGTAGATGCCAGGGAGTGCAAAACTCAAATGGAACAGTGAATCCTACCGTTTGATTCCTAACATATAACATCGAATATGTAATTAACGATTGTTAAGAACGAATGAGTAAAATTTAATATTTTTCCATTTTTCATTACAGAGCTTCTAAAAGGATGATGCCTAAGGCTAACGGCGGTGGAACAGGTCAACAATTCAACTGTTCTGTTCATCATGTTAATTCTTCTCAGAAAATATCTATCAATTCATGTTGTGTAAACAGATCAGATGACGATTGTGATGAATCAGAGTCATTCTCATCATCATCCGTATGCACTGGAAAAAACAGTGGCAATGGCGTAATGCGCGAATCGCTTTTGCGAGCGTGTACAGTAAGTTTCGTTTTTCAATTTGGTTATACTTCCTTATTCATGCACGCACTCTATTGACCAAAAGTGGAATTAAACATATCGAGTGAAGCAGTACAGAATCCTTATTAAGTTGCGCAGTATGTTCTATTGACTGTCGGCATCTTCAGTCTCATGGATTCATGTTTTGATGTAAACTCATCAGTTGTGTGTAGTCCAGTCTCAAACTGCTGTTTGAATGCAGACATCTTTGCAATAAACTGATCAATGGTACTGATTTTCAGTTTATTATGAAATAAATAGGGTTTTATCCTGAAGTAATATTTTCATTTTGAGAACGTATACATGCAAGCAGATTCTATCTTGTAGAATACTCCACATTTAAGTTTGTTTCTGTGAATATAGTGACTCTAAAGCTTCTCTAATCATCTTCTTTATACAGAAGGTATTGGGTCACGGATTAGAACCTTGCTTCGCCCACTGAGGTTTTGTCAACCAAATAGTAATATTTTAAAAGTAGTATTCATCATGGACTGATATCAGTTGGGGAACCATTGAAAATCTGGGAGTACTGGACAGCTGTTCCGTCCTAGTATGGGAGTCCCCAGCAGTACGCACCCACGACCCGACTAGGAATCGAACTCGGGACTTTCAGGTTTCACGGCGAACACGTTAATTTTTCAACCACTGAGTCAGTGAATGCTAACTGAGGACCTTGGGTGATAGTCGTGATATATCATGAATTGACAGGAGTTGGAAATTGTGAACCATCGAAAACCGACCCACTGGCTGAATGGGCGGCGTGTTTGTCGTGAAACCTGAAGGTCCTGAGTTCGATTCCTAGTCGGGCAGTGGGTGCGTACTGCTGAGGAGTCCCATACTGAGGTGAAACAGCTGTCCAGTACTCCCATATTTTCAATGGTTCCCCAACTGATATCAATGCATGATGAATACTAATTCTAAAATTAAATTCCCCATTCATCTCAAAAATACAGTAATGTTTGCGTCGCAAATAACTGATGTATTTCGTTGCCTAGTTAATGATCGTGCCCGAGGGGTTGCTTCAATGAGAAGAGAGACAGAAGGAGGGAGGGGTGATGGTGGAAAGTTCTTGTTCCTTCGTAAGATAACTTCGTTCATACAACCATGTTTTTCTCCTGATTGTATGGAAATGTATTTCTAAAACTAAGTCAACTTACAGAACATAATGAAACTGTCCAAAGAATTCACGTGATTGTCTGATATCTACTGTTATTTTTCTATTATGAATATCCTTAGGGGCATATCTGCGTAGCGAAGCTGCTAGTGGGGTATAGACATTCTAATTCAACACTCACTTTTATGTCGCATCATCCAAGATATGTATATATGTATACTCGTCAGTGGCCTGACGAGTAGGGCTCTGGCGTTGGAAGCGATGGGTGGGGGGTTCTAATGTCACTGGGGTGCAGGTACATACAATTGACGAGTCTCAAGTGGGACGAAACATACGTACTGGATTCGGTAGGCAAATAAAATGCATATTTCTTCAGTTATTTGTATTTCTCAGATCCATTATCATGTATTACATAGTATCACTGTCTCAGTATAATCTAATTAGTACTTGTTCTCATCGAAGACGCCGTTAACCTCATGTCATATCTGTGTGTGTGTGTGTGCGTGTGAAGGTCGCATTACGTGAGATGATTCTCTTATCTCATCAATTGACGTGATTTATTTTTCTCTTAGTTACGTTTGTTTGAGTATTTGATAAAGTATTACACACTGGATGACGTTTCAGGAACAATCCGTCCAGGATAATCATGTTATCCTAACATGGAATCCAACTCTACCAGTGTGTCTTTACTATGCTTCAAAAGTTCTTTAAAGCTTGTTTTAAGGCTTTCCCTCTTCTTATTTTCGCGCCAACTATCATTTTTAAAAATTTCCAATACATGGTTACATCATACATAATTTTGTGAAATCCGGCAGACGTTGACCGATTTCTTTTATTATCAAGGGTTGCTTGTACTGCACAGCAGTCTGCCCTCTTCTACTGTATAACTGTGGAACACAGCCATTGAGGGTGGAAGACATGAGAAAGCTTCAGGTGTTTGACCACTGTTGCCTTCGTAATATACGCAGTATTCCCTGGTGTCAACACATGAGTAACGCACAAGTCAGGCGTTGAGTTTCAGGGAGAAGAAGTAAGTCAGTTGACATGGTCGTGAAGCTTCATCGACTGAGATGGCTGTCTGGCTGGCTGGCTGGCTGGGACATGTGTCACATATGCCTAGTCGCCATCTGCCTCGTCACACAATGTTGACCGAAATAGGTTGAGGTTGGGAAAAGGTTAGAGGTGGCCAGACTAAAACATGGCATCAACATGGCATGAATTATGCGGCTGTTGGTTTGGGCCATGTGGGACGATGCAGACTATGTGGCCGGGGGCTGGGGGCTAAGAGGAACCCAGTGGTTGGAGACTGTAGGTGATGGTATGGCTGAGAACGGATGTCAGTGGTGCAGATGTGTATCCCCCCACACACATTATCCTCATCTTAACTACACTGTACTGAATCTCAGCACTTTCTCATTCTTCCTTTCTTTCTCCGTGTACTTTATATTTCTTTTGACTGAATCTTCTTTTCTTCATCTTCCACTTCATTGCCTTTTTTTTGATGCACTGATACGAGGTATGGCAACTTGGACCGTTACACAGTAATGCCTGATCCTTTGTTGATAGTCGATGATGATGATTATCAAGGAATTACTAATCAGTTTATTTTAGATTATGTTTCTTGAAGTAAATCGTTATGTTCATTTGTTATTTCAGAAACTACTTGAAGCTACCGAGGATTTCCATTTTAAACTAATCTCATTTAAGAGTGTTGACCTAACAGAATTGATAAACAATCAATACAATATCACTAGTCCTGTTATGAATGATGACTACGATCTCCTACAAGATGTTAGTGATGATATTCCACTTCAATTGCCGTTGATGAAACAATTGGATTATATTTTAAAGCATTTAAAGCCAAATGATAAGGATTCATCTATTACAAAAGATAACTAAAACTCATAGAGGATAGTTTAATTAACTTATGGAAGTGTTTCAGTGATCTTGTGAACAATGTGAACAAAGATTGTCAGGAATTGGGGAATATAGATGACGTTGATGATGATGTCTTAATGATGACAACTATGATGAATAAAGTAGGTTTACTGGATTCTGTTGATTTTTGTTAGAAGTCAACAAACATTATGTAAATCTGAGTTATTAAACAGCTTATTTCTGATCTCTCCACCTTTTATTTATCAAATTGTATTAAGTAATCACAATTTATGAGTTCTGTATTGACTGAAATGCGCTTCCTGCATTTCATTACTAACCTCATCAGCTAATCAGATTCATGTGATGTGATGTGATTCGACTAAGTGAAATGAATTTCTCTGGGCACACCGCTGATGAATTTATCCATAAATGGGCGAAACGACCGTCCAGTGTTAAGATATGTCTCACCTGCTTAGTTGGAGAAATTTACAGGTCTATCAGTTTGATTGACTTGTAACCATTCAAGTTGTTTTGTAGTATACAACCTTATGATAAGCTGTGAATATTCTCCATCCTTTCAAAACAGATTCCTTTCTTTACCTCCCTCAATGTAGGGAAACAAACTTAGAGTATTTACTGAAGGATAGTTTAGTTGCTTCATAATGCAGAACTTGAATGCTAAGTCACAGCTATTATATGTATACAGATGTTAGCATGTTTCTATCTTTTTCCATGTCAACATTCAAAGCATACTGATTCCCCTGAATCTTTCATGTCCATTTGATCAATTTACTCAACATATTAATATAAAAGTAAAACTTGGGCACTGTGGTCGATTGTAATTCCATTTAGTCTATTTATTGGAAATATCACACAGTGAAACAGTAGCATTTATTAGATAAGGAAGGCACCTCAGAAGCACTACGAAGAATTCTCAATAAGACTGGGACTAAAGTGGCACTCACACCAACAAACTCACTTAGAAACAAGCTTTGTAGGTTAAAAGATCCTATCGATGCAATTAAGCAAAATAATCTGGTTTACCAAACCCCTTCCCTTGCAATGATTGCGAGGTCAAGTACATAGGTGAAAGCAGTCGAGTAGCGTCGATTAGAATGACAGAGCGAAAGAACTTAGCTAAATCAAGATTAGTAGATCCTACCTAATAAGATAAGAAATGTAGGGAGAAGGTCGGCTATGACTGTGCATGCTATGACAGACAATCACACAGTAGGGTTGGTGGACTAGGGCGACAGTGTTGAAAATTGACGTAGTTGGGTGGAGGGAAGGAGAGATTGATGACGGAATTTTTGTTTATCTATGGAATCGACACCAAAGACATGCAATCGAAATGATTCTGCAGGTGTCCTAGATGTGTGGAAAATTCTACTACGTTTATCATCACAGAGAAGGAGAGAAAATTCGGAAGTTGTGGAGTTACTTGATATGAATATAGACAATAAATTGTATGCGAGACGTTATCCAATGAATGCTACTGTTTCACTGTGTGATATTTCTAATAGACATACTAAAATGGAATTACTCAAGATATTTCTCATAAGTGAAGTAATAACCTGATTACTTTTTTTATGTTATCAATATGGCAATCAATTAAAACAACTGATAACATTATGACAAACAAATTCACGGTTAACTGGTTAACCTCAGAAGGATTTTTTCACCATGAACCCTTTTCTACACAAGTGACTTTGTATGGCGCTGTATTTGTAGATATCCTGCATGATGATTGGGAATGAAATGAAAATTTGCACCGTGGCCGTATTCAAACCAGCGGCCACCGGGTTTCTGGCCCGATGCTTTACCAACTGAGCTACGAAGTCAGTTGGCGGAGCATCGTGCCTTCACCTCCAATCATCTAGTATCAATACTAATCAGCCAAATTACGGCTATCTCAGTCAAAGTGGTCATTGTAGAAATCGAGTGTTCTTATACGGATAAAATGAGGTTGCGTACACTTGAGTTTGTAACTCATAGAAGTTTTGTTATAGTAACTAAGGGCAATAAAAAACCATAACAATATTTAAGCTGGCATAGTGTGGGTTGTTGTGAAGGTATACAGTCAACGTGGAATCCATTGCGATGCATTTCTATGGATGTTAGTTGGTTGGAAGCGATCGATATCAGTTTCCTTCAAGCTTACAGAGACACCTTGCTGATGACTAACAACAACCAAGAAACCTAGGCAAAGCAGGTTTTCCTACCGATTGCTTCTAACCAACTAACAATAATAGTAACCATCCCTGACTGTTTTCTATATGAAAAATTTGAAAGTTGTTTCTGTAAGTCATTTCTATATTTTTAGCTTATCAAAGTTTCACTTACGATGGGGAAAATCTTCTTCCTCCATTGGCAAGTACATTATAGAAACTGACCACAGTATCCAAACATCTTTCAAATTTATGTGGAGACAGTTTGCGATGCATACTGAGATTTACGGAAGAGGTAGCCATACGCGAATATTTTTCGAATTATTTTTTGCAAATTTGCCCAACAAATATGCAGAAGAAAGTGGGGATGGATCGAGCATACACTGAGAAGACCAATCAGGGACATCATGCGCTAGGGCAGGGCTTTGAGTGGAACCCAAAGGGGAGGGGACGAGTTGGGCTTGTGAGGGTGACATGGAGGAGATCGTGTGAAGAAGAAATGAAAGCTTCTGAGCAATGGTGTAGACCGGTTGAAAGGACTGCAGAGGAGAGAGTGCAATGGAGGCGTGCTACTGAAGCCCTGTGTTCCACTAGGAACCCAAGGGACTAATAATAGTAATAATAACAATAATAATGGACTAACTGTTTCAAACTAATATACGCATAGACAACTATTGGTTTCGAAAGTTGATGACACCATCACCGGATGCGTAACTCAACTGCTGTTGATTTCAAGGATTCAGCGGCTTTGGTTTTTTGAAACTTCAGTGATCATCACCTATCAACTAAGATTATCTTAGTCAAGTTTACAACAATTATGATAAAGGAAATACAGTTCCCACTGGTGATCATAACTTTTGAGAACAGTCTGTCACTTTCAAAATCCTTAGCTTTTGTGGAACATCGATTATGAACAAGAAGTCTACTTAAAACAAATACCATTAACTGTTTCAAGTGACAATTTTTTTTCAGTTTGAAGTTTTGTGAGGGTTCGTTGATTTTAAGATGGTATATATCACGGACTGACATTTATTAGAGGACTATCGAAAACCTCAGAGTACTGGCCAGCTGTTTCATCCAAGTATGGGACTCGTCAGCGGTAGACACCCACGATCTCGCTAGAGATTGAACCCACGAGCTTCAGGTCTGATGGAGAATGAGTTACCTATTCAACCACTGGATTTGATTCAATGGTTTTCATTTTCCCCTACTTCTGTCAATTCGTGATATAGCATGACCATCATCCAATGTCACTGACGAGCCTATGTCTCTATAGGTCGCGGTTTTTCATTAGAAATGTGAGGAATCCATCTCGAAGCAGGTTACTAAGGAACAGTAGACAGTAATCTAGTTCGGAGGTGTATTGCTTTCAAGGCATTATTCGTCACGGACTGATAAGAGCTGGAAGGTTGCAGTATATAGCAAACTGACAGGAGTAGGAAAATATGAACCAGTGAACTGTGACCTAGTGGCTGAATGCTAAAGTGCTTTCTGCAAGTCTTTAAGTTCCTGGGTCCGCACTGCTGAGGAGTCCCATACTAGGACGAAACAGCTGTCTAATGCTCCTAGGTTTTCAGTAGTTCTCCAGTTGATGTCAATCCGTTTTGAAGGCCTTTTTTCCGTAAACCTTATACTTATCAGTGATCTACAACCAGTGAAATTCGATAGCAGGATCTGTCATCTCTGTTTATCTTTCAAGTTGTCATGACTAGAAAATTTCGTATTGATATACTTTGTGAATAATCATCTCAAAAACTATTATACATTTATCGTATCTTTTTGTTTTAATGATATTATGACTTGTTTATTTGAAGAAGCAACTTCCGTAAAATGATAAAACGTTTAGAGTTTAACCTTTTTTAGTTAACCTTTTAGTAGTTAGTCGATATCGTACTCTGTAATTGTCTAATTCTTCTCATTTTATGTTGTTGTTGTTTTATTTCCTTGTACTTGGAAGATTTCAAGCATTCATTTCAATGAACATGTCTCCATCGACTTATTTGATCAATTAATCCTATTGACAAGTGAAATTAGCTCATGTATAGAGCAATTAAATGTGTTTTTATCAAAATTCTGTTGTACTGAAGAAGATATATTTTCATCGTCAACTTTATGCGTTGATGACTTATTCTGTTCAGGGGAATTATTAACTATGGAAGCGATTTACTTACGCTGTTTGATACTGATTTTCTACGCTTCATATAAATCATTATTGTTAGTTTATGAAACTTTAAGCCTACCTGATTGGAATCGAAACAAAGTACTGGCAGTGAATGATAAAGGAACTTCTGAGAAGAAGAAGGTGAATTCATATTTACATTCAACTGATTGTCAAGAGGTAAATTTCTCTACTAACTCTATTCAGTCAATTAAAGAGTCAGGTGTAAATTAAATAATTCAATCACATAGTCGTTAATGATAGTAATGATGGATAGTGGCCAGCAGTGGAATCCAGGATGCGCAATTCGTCCTGTTTGGGACTTGGCAGTTGGATATACTTGCCTCTCAGTGAGTGATGTTGTTCCCACCAGGCTTCGGATTCGGGAGCGTCGCTTCAAACGCTAGAGCGTTATCCAATAGACCACCGAACCGCGATAACCACTTCTTGTTCGACGGGCATAGTTTTTAGTATTATTGCTTGTATTATACCTATCCATCATTACTATAATTAGAGCACAGGTAATATAGAGACATCCGCACACGAGCCCATGTGCCAATAGAGACTGATCGATTCGGTCTAATATATATATATATATATATATATATATATATATATATATATATATATATATATATATATATATATATATATATATATATAGTCTTTGACTTTAAAAGGAGTGATATAGATACTAATCTGAACAAGAATAATTTGAGTGAACAGCTGTTTTCAATAACTTCTTCCTCTTCAGGCTCTACAGTTTTAAATCTATAAGAATATGTGAAATACAATAACAAAAATAAGGCATGATATACAGTTATTATAGAAGTAGTATTCATCATGGATTGATATCAGTTGGGGAACCATTGAAAATCTGGGAGTACTGGATAGCTGTTTCTTCCTAGTATGGGACTCCTCAACAGTAAACACCCACGACCTGACTAGGAATCGAACTCAGGACCTTCAGGTTTCATGACTAACACGTTGCCCATTCAGCCAGTGGGTCGGTTTTCAGTGGTTCACAATTTTCGGAAGTGAAGCGGATGCTAACTGAGGACCTTGGGTGATAGTCGTGATATATCATGAATTGACAGGAGTTGGAAATTGTGAACCACTGAAAACCGACCCACTGGCTGAATGGGCAGCGTGTTTTTCGTGAAACCTGAAGGTCCTGAGTTCGATCCGTAGTCGGGTGATGGGTGCGTACTGCTGAGGAGTTTCATACTGAGGTGAAACAGCTGTCCAGTACTCTCAGATTTTCAATGGTTCCCCAACTGATATCAATGCATGATGAATACTAATTCTAAAATTAAATTCCCCATTCGTCTCAAAAATACAACACAGTTATTACTATATTGAAACAGTCAGTGTTTTGGGTGAATATTGACAAAACAATTACAAAATGAAAAGACAAAATCTACCGATAATGATTTCACTATTTGAAATACCCGTGGTTTGGCAGATTAGTATTGATACTGGGTGATGATTGAAGGTGAAATGAGCATCCGAACTGCGGCTGGATTCGAACCGACGATCACCGTGTTATCGGCCCGATTCTCCACCAACTGAGCTACGAGGTCCAACTGTTGACCAGATTTTTATTTCACTTCAGTAAATAAAAATCTGGTCAGCAGTTGGAGCATGTAGCTCAGTTGGTGTAGCATGGCGACGGAAAGCTAGTGGTCGTTGGTTCGAATCCGGCCACGATCCAAATTTTCACTTCATCTTCAATCATCATCCAGTAGAAATAGAGAGTAACATGTGTGAAGTGTTACGTCATGGTTGAAAATATCTACCGGTAGTGGTATGAATAAAGGAGAGTATAAAACTAATAACATAAGAAAATGAATGTTTATCAATGTAATGACAATATAAAAGAAAGTTGTGGGAGGTTAAAATGTGCAATCTGTGATAGAAAAGTTCATAAAGAACGCGTTAACCTTATTGTAGGCCATATTTGTCCCTTTGACCATTGGAATTATTCACTACTCGATAAGTAAATTCAGCTTAAAGTTACCCAGGTCGTGGATGGATAATCTACTTGATCATTTTAATCCGTTTTTTAGTTAACTGGACATCAACTGCATAATTCTGACACTCAAGCCATACATACGACAGCATGCAATATTCAGAAAAGAGGGATTTGGGATATCTTTTGCTTCTGCCTAACTCGGTAGAAAGCATAAACGTTTTGCAGAAAAAAGGAATCCTCTTCGCATTTGCCTTATTTGTAGCTCATCAGCTGTCGGTCATGAATCACTCAACAGACAGCTCTTCATGTTGATAACACAAAAAGTTCACTATCAGTTTACGAAACCCTATAAATAGCAAGTTCTTGACAGAAATGAATTATATTGAGGAATTTTCCAACTAACATTTGGGACGACCTTTGAACAAGAATGATCATTTTGAGATTTGTGTAGAGTTGATTGATTCTTGTAGAGTTCTCATTGGAGATCTGTGTCAACCAGAGAATGTTTCTAATTCGTCACACTCAACCCCAGACAATATCGAACCAGACATCATCAAGTTTCATCTACCACGTTACTACTCAACCACTGGGTCGAAATCTAATGACCCATATTTCCTCCAACTTTCGTCAATTTGTGATGTAGAACTGCTAGTGCCCTCGACTTCTCTGGTTATATGATGAATAGTTAGCTAGCTAAGTGACGATGTGAACCGGAATTTCTGTTTATTTGGGATTGGAGATCTATCTCGCACAAGATTCATATTATCCTAACATTTTCCCGTATCCATGGGTCCTCTCAACTGACTGTTGTTAACTATCTCACCAAAGTATTTTGGTTATGATGTTCAGTAACCAGATAAGGATTTCTGGTATTTTCATAATCATTATTAATTATTGTTTTGTCCATTTATCAGGAAGCAAAGTTAAAGATCAATTAATTGAAAAATTATTTCCATTTTTTATTTTGAAGTTAATGGGGATTTTAACTTTTAGGTAGTATTCATCACAGACTGACATAAGTTTGATGGGAACCAGTGTTAACTTGGGAGCACTGGACAACTGTTTTGTCCTAGCACACGACCCAGCCGCTGATGCATACCACCCTCACTACTGTATAGTGCTCACTAGTGACTTGCTTCGAGATGGGAATCCCGAAGTGGTGGCCAGTGGCGTCAACCAGTTGGAAGTGATCCGGGTGTCAACTGAAGACCTTGGTGTGAACCACTGAACTCTGACCCAGTAGCTGGATCATTAACGTGTTCGCTATGAACCTGTAGGTCCTGAGTTCGATCTTTAGTAAAGTTTTTGGTTCACACTGCTGAGGAGTCCCATACTAGAGTTTCAATAGTTCTCTAACTCATGTCAATCCATGATGAATGCCCCCTTGGAGACATTTATTGCAAATTTAATTCAATATTTCATTTCTTATCGTTGCTTATAGATGATTTTATTAGATGAATTGAACTATTTACAGTTTGTATTAAACCAATTTAATGCCTGTGAGATAGCGTCTTCAATAAGCGATCAAACGTCTAGCCAAGTATTACGACATCTTACAAAGTTTATTCTACACAAAGAGTCTTTAAGACGGAATTCTGATGCGAAATCTACCAATCTGTCTTGTTTACTCTCTACACTTGTTGATTTTCTTCACAAATCGTATAATTATTTACTGAAAATAATGAAGAAAAACCAAGATGTGTATAATACTGATCATTTGAGATCGAATCTTTCACTCTCTAATACTAATATGATATGTATCAATGAATCCATTCCTAACAAACTATCAATTACATCATGCCAAAGTCATCAAATCTTTGAGCATATATTGAATATTGCTGAAATGATTATCATGATGCCAGTTTCAACAATGGATGAACTTAGAAAGAGATATAATCAACATTTGGTAAGTGTATTCTCATTGACTAGATTGTAACATTCGTAAATCTATGAAGTGTGTGGTCTAGTCTTTATGTGAACATTTTCGACTGATTGTAGCTACGAATTATCTTGTGTTTGCACCTCATAGGTGGTGTAAATTCCTTTAATGATGAGATTTATGCCATTATTGAGTTAAAAGACGTTTCAAAGTCAGTGAGTTTTGACGCCTATCATCAAATGTTTTCAGGGTCTTCATATTCTAAGCTACTCGGAAGTATTATTGCTTGTATTATACCGTTATTAGTTGGTTTGTATTAGCATATGGGCTCCTACACGGATGCCTCGATACTACCTGTCTTTTAATTATATAACGATAGCTAGCGAATAGCAGTGGAATCCACGATGGGCATTTCGTCCTGTTTGGGACTCATAAGTTGGATGTACCAGCTTCTCAGTGAGTGATGTTGTTCTAACAGGAACTGGAACTCGGGACTGATCGCTTCAAACCCCAGAGCATTATCCTCTAAACCACCGAGCCACGTTAACCACTTCTTGTGTGACGGTGTAGTTTTTAGTATTATTGCTTGCATTATACCGTCGTTAAGTGAACCGGATTGATTTACTGGCATATCGTCTCCCGTGCGGCTGCCTCGCTATTGCCTGTTTTAATCCTATATAGTAATGATGGCTAGTGGCTAGAGACCGATCAATTCTGTCCAGTCAGCAACGGTGTAATATAAGCAATAATACTAAAAACTATACCCGTCTCACAAGAGGTGGCTATCGTGGCTCGGTGGTCTGCCGGATAACTCTTTGGCAGTTGAAGCGATCGCTCTCAAGTTCGAGTCCCGGCTGGGAGGCAGGTACATCCAGCTGACGAATCCCAAATAGAACAATTGCGCATCCCGGATTCAACTGCTAGCCACTTTCCATCGTTACTATACTCGAAAGTGTTTTTTTGATTGATGTCAAATGATTTGTTGGCTAACTTTACTTCTTTCACCTGATAATATAAATTTCCTAATCTTTGCTGAGGTATAGAACTGGAATGAGAAAACCTATAAGTTGTCAAATCATAATATGACACCAACTTATAAAGTCTTTTATGATTGTTCGTTATAAGCCTACTCTAGTGAAATGTTGACTTCTTAAGTAGAATCTGTTCGAATACTGAAATCAATTTCAGAGACTATTTGGTATGACTTATCAGATAAATCAGTAGCACAGATGCATTCGTCCTCCTTTGGATTGCTGTATCACTTAGCGTTATTCTATTTATTTGCTTTCCTCTTTATCTTATGATATTTTATGGGCACTGGATGTTAGTATTGTAGATATGTATTTTTCTCTTTTTTTTACCAACCTCATTTCCATGTGTCGATGTGATGTATAACTACTTGGATTCCGTTACACAGTAATTTTTCCGTCACATTTTGATTACCAATCATCTGTCCGAATATGAAGTGTTTGTATGTGTTTGAGATTCCTGAAGTTGGTGGTCTAACTTCAGAAGCTAAATGTTGTAAATTGGATCGGTAGACATGTGTTAACAGTCTTCTGATGTACTACTTACTACTGGTCTCTGATTCCAGTTGAAATTTTTCTGTACAATATTTCTGATTCGCAATGCCGAAATCCTTATTCTATTCATTGAAGTGCAGCTATATTTGTTGCTTTATCCGTTGAGTGCCTCTTGAATTCATACACAAGTTTCTTCTTTTACGCTTCTTCTACGTTTCTAAAAAACCAGTGAGATGTGTAAACCATCTTGTGTGTTTGTGATTAATTTAGATTCGTTGTAAAGTTTGTCCAGCTTGTTCACTAATACTTGCAATTCCCCGTTGCTATGTTGGGTCGAATTGGTTGACCTCTGTTAGAGCTTTGACGTTCGATGCTATGGGCACTGTGTTCGAGTCCCAGTTGGAACATCACTCACTGGTTTTAAGGCACGTTCGGCTGATGAGTCCTAATGAGGGCGGAACGCACGTCCTGGGTCCCAGTGCTAGCCATCAAATAGACCATAGGATAACTCCAGTTCCTTTTATGCTTATTACCGTCATATACCAACCTAATAATGACTAAACAGTGTTAGATGGAAAGACACGACGTAGTTGCTGTGATGAAAAACATTTCTTTTTGACGAAGTTATTTACTAAGTTGTACATTCGTGGATATATGTTACAGTGGGCAGAACGTTTCAGAATTATTTCTGGTTAAGGGAAAATATATTGAATAACTAAAGGGAGTGAATTAATACACATTTGGGTTTAGAGTGGGAAAATAGACTAGGGATTATGAAATTGAATGTTATTATACAATACGGGATGAATCTATCGGAAAGTAGGAAAATGAACGAAGGGCTATGAAAATAAAACTGTTATTACGTAGTGTAGGTTAAACCTTTGACAGAGTAGGGAAATAAACAGGGAATATGGAAGTACATGTGTAGTTATCTAGTACAGGATGAATCTATGGCAGTAAAGGCTTTATAATGGCCATGACAGAAATTTAGGGTTGAACGTATTTTTCTTGGGATGCATAACGCTGGTTTGAACTTCTGGATGGCTAATGTTTCAGCTATAGACAAATGCCTTGATCTCACTCCCTTCGGGTGGTTTGATCGAACCCTGTGGAGGATTTTGAATGAGGTCTCAAAAGGAGCTAAGTGGCCTGAGTTCACGAGGTGTTCTGTTATTGAACTGAAGATACATTTCCGTTCTCCCTTACCAGACAGTCTGGGTAGTGTTCGTGGGCACGTTTTGCAAGCCAACGCATTGTATGGCCGATGTACTCAGCTCTACAAGAGCAAGTAAACTGGTATACACACATTGGTGTGACCCAATATGTCGGCTTGTCTTTGACACATCGACTAGAAAATTTCTGAAAGGAGAAAATAATCCGAAGGTTGTCGGTGAAGTATGTTCTGTTTAAGGATTTTGACAGTCGTTTCCTGAGGATGTCTGCAGCAATATGATTTTTGAATTCAGAATTCAACAACATATTTGCAGTTATCCGTCCAACAGTGTCCTCGGTACGTATTTTCCTGATCCTCGAAGAAAGTGAATGAATAAGATTTCTTTTCCTGCAAAGAGGTACTAAACTTTGAAAATTCACAAATTTTCCGTTCCACGTAGGGTATCTACAGATTGATCTATGGAGTGGATTATCATCTTTTCTTTGGAGTTGAACATCAAGAAAATGGAACGTTGAGTTCGATTCTAATTCTAGAGTGAATTTAGTTAGGTAGGCTCACAGAAGAACCTAATAATCGTGAATTCAATACCGACTGAAGTTGTAGGTGCACGTCTAAAAATAAGAAAAAGCAGCTATCCAAAAAACCTTAGTTTAAATCTACTTTTTTGTTTCGATCTGTTATAGAAACTGGTTTACTATAGATCAATTCAACACAAATATCCCGATAGAATGAATGATTATCAATTTCGAATTCTAGATTTTCGCGCCAAAACCACTTTACAATAGTTCTTATCTATCGATTTTTAATTTATTTTAGTTGTCCTTAAAAGGGTTAGCCTATTTTTATTGACTGATATCTATGATTAGCAGTTTCGTGGGCTATGAAGATTTTCTGTCGATTAGCCATCCTCATTTAGTCAATACGTTACGTTATTGAATCCAGGAGTTGTTTTTTCAACTTATTCGGTCTCGAAATGTTGCATATTTTATTGTTTGGGAGTTTGTATTCCTTCATTGTCTGATAAGTGTATATTACCGTGTAATTAAATTGCCATTTACATTGATTGGTCACTTGAGGTCAACCAATCAATGTAGCTCTTCCAGTCCTGTAGGAAGTCAATTGCAAACCCAATAGCTCAGGAGTAACATCTTGAACTGCAACTCTAGGTGACATGGGTTCAAATCTCAGGCGGATGTCAGTTCCGTCCAGGTCATAGATACGCCTTGCTGGTGAGTGTTAAAGAGCGCGAAACCTTGATCAGACAGGGCTTCCTGTCGATTACCTCCATCCAGCTAAATTACCATTTATTTCAAACAACTAAAGATTCCCATGAAATTCATAAAGGGAAACAACCTCTTCAGGTTCTACAATTATAAAAGCGTATTTGTACAGCGTAAAAACACATCATATTAGACGCAGGTACAATTTCAAAACAGAGTGAGATTGTAAGGAAATCGATTTATCTTCTTTAAATCAGTCAACATTGGGATGATACATATATCGATTACTGATATGATGGTGAACAAAAAGATAACGAACAAAGTAGCAGGAGTGTGACGTTCAGTTAGCTGAAGGCTAAGGGAGTTTAGAAATGTTCTTTATGAATGTAGAGTTCAGGCTTTATCAATGTTATTGTGACAGACTCAGGTGTGTTGAGCAGGCGTTGGTGAGGTACACGTGGTGTCATTTTTGGAACCTGATGATCGATATTGTAAGTTTTATTAGCATTTATACATGATATTCTGTGTCGACTAGATGCGTTAGGACTCAGCTTTTAACCACTTTCACTTCTCCCTTTCCGAACCAAGCTACTAAATGCTTTCGTATCCGGAGACGCACCTGCTTTATCGTACGCTCTATGTAACCAGTTCCACAGAAGCAGTTAAACTGATATATGCAAGATAAAGAGCTAAGATTAGGTAGGCTTTCCTTTAGTCTCGGATTGAACATTGGCCGACTACTGAAGGATATACAAAGCCTACCTGCATAAAACGTCCTATTTACTGTCCTACCTAGGCGTTGTGATAGAATGTCATTTGCAACATCTCCCTTGAATTGTAAGCGCAGAAACAAAGGCTTCTTCCTCACTGCCATCAGTTCTCGTTTAGGACCAATGTAGTTGATGTATGTTTGATGAACTTGTCTGGATATCCGTTTTCACTTAGAATATCACGGATACACAGTAGTTCTTTTTCCATACACTCCTTAGAACAAATTGTTCTTACTCTAAAAGCCAGACACCTGATGATATTATGTTTGTACTTCAGCAGTACGAAGCTGAGAAAGTGCGTATAATATGCCTTAGACATTAGTTTTCGATATATATACTTCTCCTCAGTATAGAGTCATTTTCTTTTCTTCTCATTAGCACATCGAGAAAATGTATCAAATCATTGGCTTCACTTTTTTCTGGAAAATGAATTGATGGATGAGCACTGTTTGAAATGGTTCAGAATAGAATTAAAACAGACAACTTCTTACTAGTAATTTAATCTTTCAAAGGACCCTTTTCCAATTTAGCCATAGCCACTCTATCAACTTGTCTGTGCAGACTAGTGTTGAAGATAATGAACTGGACATTCATTTGTACATTTTAGCATGGATTTGTTTAAAACACTCAAGTTTTTTGCTTTGTCTACAAACTGGAAGTTATTCCTTACGCTGTATTTTGCTAACTGCTCATGCAAAGGTTAAAGTAGTCGTACTAACCATTTAGCGATAGCATGGTAAGGCGAGTTGGTCATGTCTAGGATAAAGCGAATAGGCACCTCAGGTTTGTGTATTTTTGGTAGACCATATATGCGTAGGATCGTACTGCACAGCGCATTTAGTTGACACAGAACACCATGTAGATGCTAATAAAACTTACAATATCGATCATCAGGTTCCAAAAACGACACCACGTGTACCTCGTCAACGACTGCTCAACACACCTGAGTCTGTCACAATAACATTGATAAAGCTTGAACTCTACATTCATAAAGAACATTTCTAAACTCCCTTAGCCTTCAGCTAACTGAACGTCACACTCCTGCTACTTTGTTCGTTATCTTTTTGTTCACCATCATATCAGTAATCGATATATGTATCATCCCAATGTTGACTGATTTAAAGAAGATAAATCGATTTCCTTACAATCTCACTCTGTTTTGAAATTGTACCTGCGTCTAATATGGTGTGTTTTTACGCTGTACAAATACGCTTTTATAATTGTAGAACCTGAGGAGAATTTATTGAAAAGAATATTCTCTGTTCAGATTATTGCTTTCTGTCATTTATTTAACTTGGTGACAGCTTTTCACTACTGTTATACTGTAATTTCTTAACATTTTTTCCGCCTAATTTTCCAAAAATATTCATTCCTCTGTAGTTTTTTGTTCAGTTACATTCTCTTCTCAGTATGTTTTATATAGTGGTAATAATGGTGACGGGTTAAGAGAGAATTCAAAGCCTCAGCTGTGTTACCATACAAGGAAGGCACCTCAGAAGCACTACGAAGAATCCTCAATAAGGCTGGGATTAAAGTGGCATTCACACCAACAAACTGGCTTAGAAACAAGCTTTGTAGGTTAAAAGATCCTATCGATGCAATTAAGCGAAATAATCTGGTTTACCAAACCCCTTCCCTTGCAATGATTGCGAGGTCAAGTACATAGGTGAAAGCAGTCGAGCAGTGTCGATTAGAATGACAGAGCGAAAGAACTTAGCTAAATCAAGATTAGTAGATCCTACCTAATAAGATAAGAAATGTAGGGAGAAGGTCGGCTATGACTGTGCATGCTATGACAGACAATCACACAGTAGGGTTGGTGGACTAGGGCGACAGTGTTGAAAATTGACGTAGTTGGGTGGAGGGAAGGAGAGATTGATGACGGAATTTTTGTTTATCTATGGCATCGACACCAAAGACATGCAATCGAAATGATTCTGCAAGTGTCCTAGATGTGTGGAAAATTCTACTACGTTTATCATCACAGAGAAGGAGAGAAAATTCGGAAGTTGTGGAGTTACTTGATATGAATATAGACAATAAATTGTATGCGAGACGTTATCCAATGAATGCTACTGTTTCACTGTGTGGTATTTCTAATAAACGGACTAAAATGTTCTGTATTAAGTATGGCGAAATCCGAAACAGTGTATAATTGAATCGATGGTTACCGAGTGTTTTTATTTGTTTGAAATTATGAAATCTCATAGTCTTTATTTACTGTACAGTATCTGTCCCTTTTCTCTGAATCTCTGGTGTTTTACATACAAGCTTCAGGAATGGTTTCTGCCTTACTGGTGTAGGCCTTTTCCTCCACTAAAATCAAAATTCAATTTGTTTTAACGGTCATTTCAAAAGTATTATTTCTCTCTTTTAGGAGTTATTCAGTTGCATTTACTGGGATTGCTGTCGGATAAGTTACCTGCAGAAGGCGGGGGCGAAGGTGCAGGCGGAGGCGGAGAGATACACACACTGCAATCTTCAGAACTGTCGCCATGCTAGTATGCATGAGAATGATGATAAACACCGTCTGGTAAATCTTATCCATCGAGGTTTCGATTTAAACCATAAACTGATGATATGGTATGCAAACTCTTACAGTCTTTTGGATCAGTGGCAGCGCTTAACCGATCAGGTGGAGTGGTTTAATGGTATGTAAACTAAACTAAAATGATTTTACTATCTGGAGATATTTGTGAAAGTTTATCATTTGATTCTTTTTTATGTCGAAATTGATCATGGAGAGAAATCATTTAGAGGAACATTGGAAATCTAGGAGCACTGGATAGCTGGTTTCGTCCTAGTATGGGACTCCTTAGCAGTGCACACCCATGACCCATCCCCCCTGGGATCGAACCCAGGACCTTCAGGATGCATGACCAGCACGTTACCATTGAGCCACTGTGTCGAAATCCTGTGATATACGTTTCTTGCCTCTGTCATTTCACGATTTAGCGCGACCCACACTACTGAGGAGTCTCATACCAGGACGAAATAGCTATCCAGTGATGCCAGGTTTCCAATGGATTTCAACCCAATAGAATGTTAATATTTCTTTGTAAAAATTAGCCTACAATTTTACTTACTGTGATTTGTGTGGGTCATGATAAGATCAAATCACTTTCGGTAGAATTTACCTACTATCTTGTTTCCTTGATTCACACACAAGACAGGTCCCGCATCCCTCATTTCAAGTTGATCCTCTCATATCGTATTAGACAGCGCTGTTGAAGATCTAATTCCGAAAAGAAGTGCGCCACTGTGTCATATGACTTGATCGGTGAACCTTAATCAATAATCATGACTCACCACCTATAAGGGATAAATTCGTACAGGTTCATGGGACAAATAACCGAACTTTACTCCATGGTACATTTTCATCTTAGAAAATGATTGTATGAGTTGTTGCAATAACAACATTCTCCGCAAGATTGGTGAAACATCTTGTTGACTAGTATCAACAAACACAGCGGGGTTCTCTGTTGATTGATTCTTGGTGCATAAATAGTCGTTATTAGGTTTTATCGAAAAGTCACTGAAAAACACTTTTCCACAATTTTGCCACCACTGGTTCCCTAGGTCATGATTGCGATTTGATGTTTCTAGTGGACTTGTTTTCATAATTTGATTATCGAACGTAGTATATTGCATAGGAATGGCTCACTCTCTATTATTACCGTTATCTGTTCTTAAATGGCTGGTAGATTGAATGTTCATCAGTACTTCCAAGGGCTATCAGTTGAAATGAGCTTCATTCTTGCCAATGTATTTGAAGCGTTCCCTATCATAAAATTCTATTACTGAACTGCAGATTTCGTCAACCAGCCAGATCAGAGTGATCCAAACACCAGACTGCCTTTTCGCTCATTTACGGGTTACCCGGGACAAATTCAATTCATGAAGCCGAATTAGTTCAGGTCACTTGAAATCTAGCTAACTGACGGCTCTATGAGGTCAATTTATCCGGGTAAACCGCTGATGAGCTCATCCGCAAATGAGCGAAACAGCAGCCTGTTGTTTAGATCACTCTGACTTGGCTGATGAAATACTACAGACCAGCCTGAGTGATGTCTAACTAACTACCCAAGTTTCTCAGTAGTAAAGTCTTTCGCTAATTCATAATACTTTTGTATCAGATATCACATCTTGTGATTTTGGCTACGAAGGGGTTTCCAGCGGAAACCATGTTGACACCACAGTTGGGAAGTTGAAGAACTACTCAGCTGTAAGAAATATCAACGTGGATCTTGGAATTTTTGAATCATTTGCAAATTTATCATCCTATAAGTCTACCGATTTTCCTATAGTTGTATTCTCACCTTTACTTAACTATTCATGTATATCGAGTGGACAGAGAATACACATGTCGTGTAGCGTCATGTCCATTGGTAACGACATTCCGTGTAACGAATTTGATAGACAGTATTAGTTTCGCCTTTTTCTGTTTCCTTGTTCAATTAGCTCAATATACGCTTGAAGCTGATGGATAGGCTTATTTTCGAAATGTTTCAATAGTTCATTTTCGCCTGTCTTGTACAATCATAAAACAGTTTTGCTTGAGTTCTGTTGTTAGGCTGAGGTGAATTTACTAACACTAAAGCTGTTTGATATTTTATATGAGATCAGGAAAATGTAACCATCTGAAATTATTCATAAAGGATTTGACACGTGATATCAAATCACTGGTAACTAACTGTTATGATTTGGAAAACTGTGATATGCTATGACCGCTAACGATGCATGGATATCGAGTATCAGTCAACAACATTCAACAAATTCCTAGTTGATTCCTGACCCGACTTATTAATGGACGTGCGGAAACGTGTATTGGGATCGAAAGACCGAAACAAAGGGGGAAATACAGCCAGTATATTAATAGCTGGCCGTTTAATACAATCCTGTTAATTGGCTGATCCACTGTTTGTCCGTCTATTGTAGACGTGATAACATGAAGTGCATTTTGGTTGGTCCCTTTCCAGACTGATCTTTTCTCTCTATCACCATATCCGTAACTTAACCAACTGTAACTCTGTCTTCGTTTAACCTGTATAAAGCAGTTCACGGACTTGACTTTGTTTTAAAAAGCTATGCAAGGGCTGTGACCACTCAATTTCGACGATCAACTTTCAACCAGTGGGTCATGAATTAAATCGTCAGTGAAGTAAGCTGCACTGACAGAAGTTCAAGAAATCAAGTAGTGTCGAGAAACTGTCATATTATACGTGTATGACTCATTACTAAGTACACGTATCTGCACCAGACTTCTAAGTCACATTTTATTTCATTTTAGGATAGGTATGTTGTTTGGTTAGTCCAGTGAAAATCTACCAACACTGAGGGTTCGTATATGTACATTTACCAACTAAGGTTATCTCTGAGATAGCCTAGTGAATAGTCAACCATTTATATTCAAAGCAGCTGTCCAGTGCTCCCAAGTTTCCTTTGTTCCTCCAACTGATGTCAGTCTACGATGAATAACAACTTGCAATATATAGAAAACCGGAGAGTGGGAAGATAAATTAAACAATTAACACAGTAGGCGATTAAAATTAAGAAGGATGAGGACAAACAGGAAGGGTGAGATGGTTGGTCCTAATCTTCATAAGAAAATAAAGTTTATCAAGGTAGGTGTGTAGTGTGTGTGTGTAGTGAGAGATTGTTCTAGTAGACATCAAGGTGATTTCAATTTGTGTATGACTACCACTTCTGCAAATCTCAGTATGCGTCCCTCACTGACTGTTTGCATATCAAACATTGAAAGCAGTTTGAACATTAATTTTGTGACCCTTTTCTATGATATGTATGAAGAGGGTCGTCTTCCACCAGCGTTTATCACGGTTTCACATTGGATTTGTTTTTGAAGCCATTTAGCTACATGTTCTCCCACCCTCAACTGCATGGCTCGATTACTCCTCCTTATGTATGTGAGATCACACACACATGTGAAGTGGTAAACACAATGGAATGTCACGTAATCATTTTGAGGGGTATGCCTACTAAAAAAACTTAACAGCACACAAACTCACATCAGACTGACTTGTGACGAAGAGAATAGTAATTATCTGCTATTCCTAGATATACACCTGAGTCGATGAGAAGATGGTTCAATAAGACGGTCAGTTTACAGAAAGCCTACACAGATAGGACAATAGCTGAATTTCCACAGTTTTTTGTCCAAAACAATATAAGCAAGGTTTAGTAAAATACTTGTTTAATAGGATCTATTGCATCAGTACATCAGATACAATGAATGGAAATATCAAATTACTTATGGAAAATGGATATCCGTTCAAGTTTATGAACCGTTGTAGAGGTGAAGTAGCATCAAAGACAACTCTATACACGGTCACTAAGAAAACCCTCCATATCACTCTGCCATACAGAGGGGAGGTGTATGGTATCATTTTGAGACGAAGGATGGCATCAGCCATTAAGAAAACATATATTACGCGGCTAATCTTATCACTGAAGAAAAACAAAAAACATACCTCACCAAAAACCTAAGCACATCATCAATTATTACGCCACATCTCATTGTGTTTACCACTTCACATGTGTGTGTAGTCACATATACATGAGGAGGAAAAATCGAACCATACAGTTGAGGGTGGGAGAACATGTAGCTAAATGGCTTCAAAAACAAATCCAATGTGAAACCGTGATAAACGCTGGTGGAAGACGACCCTCTTCATACATATCATAGAAAAGGGTCACAAAATTAATGTTCAAACTGCTTTCAATGTTTGATATGCAAACAGTCAGTGAGGGACGCATACTGAGATTTGCAGAAGTGGTAGTCATACACAAATTGAAATCACCTTGATGTCTACTAGAACAATCTCTCACTACACACACTACATACCTACCTTGATAAACTTTGTTTTCTTACGAAGGAAGATTAGGATCACTCTTTTTGTTTCTTCTCATCCTAATTTTAATCCAATCTGCAAGCATGTCAGGATTTTATTGATTTCATGTCCGATATTCATCATGGACTGATATCACTTGGAGAAACTTTAGGAACCTGTTATCAGTACATACCTGTTTCGTGCTAGTATCGGACTGCTCAGCAGTGTGAACCCATGAACTCACTAAGAATCGAATCCAGGGTGTTCAGGTTCCGTGACGTGTACGTTGCCACTGAGCCACTGGGTCGTCAGAATCCAATGAACCATATTTCCTACCTCTCTCAGTTCACGATATAGCACAACTTCTATCCAATACCATCATATTCAATAACCAGTTTTCATATTCGACTTGGTTGGTCTCACTGGTCATGACTTCTCAGTAGAACTTGAAGAATCATCTCTCGAAGCTCTGTGGTCACCAATGAACACAACACTAGATTAATTCAATTTGAAGGTTTCTTTGTGATTCATTGATTACAAGTTGGATGAAACAACTATCCTATCAATCAGGTGCTCTCTCTCTCTCTCAGGTTCCCGAATTGAGATGTCTAACTCATGTCTGTCTGTGTATGATGAATACCAATGTGAAATTAATTTTAATCTCCTATTATCTTAATTGTTATAATTGTCTTCTCATTCTTCAGTTTAATATGTATGTATTGAGTTGGCAAGTGAATGTCTGATCAATTTGTTGTTAATGTATATGTTATTGCACAAATACACGAGACATTGTTAAGGTAAACTTCGTCTTCTAACTACACTAAGTAAACTATCATTTCGTCTAGTGAATTGAAGGTATTTTATCCTCTGAAAAGAATAAAGAAATTTCACTGCTGAAACATTTTAAGTCTGAATGAAAAATACAATTATGTAATCATTCTCTTACAGTTGAATCATTCCATATCGTTGTTTTTCCTATTTTATTTCTTATCGATTTTAGTACGTGTACAAAATTTATGGAATCGTTTACCTGAACCACCATTTTCAACACCGCCTCAAATAAAATTAGATCAGTTCTCTTATATAAACAAGTATGATGTAAATCAGCTTGTATTTGTGTCACCAGATCAAGTACTACGCAACATCTTATCTTCTACGAACTCATTTGATGCATTATTAGTACATAAAAGTTGGATAGAGAATATTTTCAAATGTTTTAAAAGCTTAACTCCTATATGTGAAGCCATTTTATTTCAAGGTCGTTTATTAACCAATGATTTATTTCATTTAAACACATTGAACACTGACAATAATACTACTGATAATGAAACTACTCAAAACTTTTTATCCCTCAAATATGATGATAATCAATTTTGGAATAAAGAATATGAAATCCTCTGGGATTTAGTGATTGATTGGATTACTCAACTAGTGATTAAGTTCAATCAACAAATCTTTTATGCTAAACTATTGAATGAGTGTACAAATGATTTACAGTCATGGATCACCTTGACAAAAGAGAAACTAGATCGTACTGTACACCATTTCAAAACACAACTAAAACGATATCCGAATAATTTATGCCAAATTATGAAAGCATTTGATAGCGTTGATTCGATTATGACTGAATTACTTGTCGATAAAGAAGTAATTCAAATAAATTATCTTAAATTGTATACTACTGAAATGAATCAAGAAAATTTTCAACCTCAAAAACACTCATTCTATTCAAATCTTATTAATTCTATAGAAAGAATTGTTCACTTCTACGAAGACTGTCTTCTACAGTATTCTCAATTATTATGTAAGCATCAAACTGCACTTCTCGGGATTATTTCACACCTGTCAATTATTGATGATAAATATTCTACAGGTTTAAAAGTAATGGCTTACTTTCATAATTGGTTTCGCTTAACTTTACAATCTTTTCGACGTCATCAGCAGCATACTGACGTATATCTTGTTCAATCGAATGAGAGGATTCACCATACTATACTATATCATGTAGTAAATGATACTATTCGTCGGTTAGAAATTCGTATGCCTATTCTTTTAGCACTTTCTAGCCTAGAACAGCATTACTTGAATTCAAATAAAAATCGCGGTATTCTGACAAGTAACCCTTATAATCAACTGATTGTTCAATGGAAAGAGAATATAAAAACAGTGAATATGCTGAAATCTAACTTGTTAGATAACCAATCAGAATATCATAAATTAGAAAAGTGTTTGAATCAATTATTGATTGAAATTGAAGTGTTCAATAGTGAATATCCTTCTACTATGAAGGTTTTAACAAATGCTAAGAAGAATTTTTTCACCAAACATATTTTCAATGCATTATTGAATGTGAAAAAGGTGAGTTTTATATACATTTTAATTTCAGTGTTAACTACAGTTAAACAAAAACTAGATACACACACACACACTTTGAGGAATCGAAAGTTGATCATTCATCATTTAGAGTAGATTGTAATCTTTTGAAATAGGGTAGTAAGATAAAGTTGTTTGCATGTTTTCAGTTTTTTTTTCATTAATTAATTCACCAGCTTTACTTTGATTACATTATAAGCAGTTAATATGATCCAAGTTGATACTTTCCTATCCAATTTCTTAATTCAACAGTGATTAAGAACATTGAATTTTCAGAGGATAGTTGTCTGGAAGTCTGCCTTATGACTCCTTGAGTTAACCACTGTCAAGTCAAAGCAGAACAGGCTGCAATAAGTTTGCTGGCAATCAAACTGACAGTAGAATATTGATGATAATCCTGATGATGGATAGTGACTAGGAGTGGAATCCACGACCCGTGTTTCATCCTCTGTGAGACTCGTCAGCTGAATATACCTACCTCCTAGTGAATGATGTTGTTCCCACTAGGACTCGATCGCTCCAAACGCCAAGGCGTTATATCCACTAGACTACAGAGTCACAACAACTACTTCTTGTGAGACGCGTGTAGTTGTAATGTTGTGCAGGAGACCATACTTTAATAGGGACCAATCAATTCAGTCCACTCAACGATCGGATAATACAAGCAACAATGTCACTGTATTCTGTCTGCTAAATGTCTTGGAGAGACAGAGACAGAGAGACAGACAGACAGAGAGCTGTTTTTTCTTCCCAATTGGCACTTCTTAGGTGTCATATTTTTGAAATAGTTGTTCACTTGCTTTTGGGAATATTTGACCCAGCTATGGTTTGCTAGACGGGGAGGGTTTGAAGCAGTGATCTGCAGATTATCGACCCAGCAACTAACCAACTGAATTACAAAATCCAGCTGCTGACCATGTTTTAGATTGACTTCAACCACTGAGGGTGTTGCTTGGCTGTCCTATGACTACATGATGCGTAACTGTCTGTTTAATCACCATGCCATATTAATAATAGGAGTTTGATAAACTATGGTGATCTCATGTGGTCCCAGCAACAATCAATACTACGCTCCCCGTCCCTAATTCAGCTCTATTCGGATTTGGGATGAGTAGTCGCGACAATGGCATCATAGATTCAGCGATAGCTAAGACCTGGTAAGGAACTAGTTTGCAGCTCACCTGGCATAGTTCTTGGTCAGTAATCTGAACACTGCTGGGATGAATCCTTTTCATTTCACCTTCACTTACCATTCTGTGTCAATAATCGTTCCTACCCACCTTACAATTAGAATCGGTTATTTTTTTGTAGGTTTTGTTGTCACATTTACCCCCTCCCCCTAAAACATGGTTTGACTAAATTGTCACCTCAAAATTAAGGAACTATTGCTTAATCAAGCGTTGATTACATTAAGATTCCTCTTCCTCTTATACCTACCGCAACCAGTTTATTCCCCTGATGTGGATAGGCTGTGATTAGGTACGTATTAAGTGGACTAGGTTGGAAGAAGGTTCAGGGTGGCCATATCAAGACCGTGTCACCAATCCATGAAGTATCTGAATGCTGGTCTGAGCCGTGTTTAGAGGTATAAACTAGCTGACTGGGATCCTAGGGATGATGGATGTCAGCGGTTGCGAATTCTTGGTGAAATGGCTGAAAATCGGTCACAATCGTGCAGGTATACTCACTCTATGATGTCTTCTAAAGCTTGTATAGTTGTAGTAATCAAATTGATTATTCTCTCACACAGCTTATTTCCTATCGACCTGTTCTTTGTGTCCTACTGTGAAGTAGTGTGGTAAAGTGGGTCAATGCATCTATGTGCGAGGTTCTACGTTGATTCTGTCTGTGTGCGTACAACACATTACTTAATCATCGTAATCTACGTAGGTTTAAAGATTATTCCTATCAGCTAGATAACCATTATGGGTGTACAATGATGACTAACCGTTTGCTTTTTACCCTCAACCTTATCGAAAGTGTATGCGAACGAACTCAGCTCATAGAGCTCTACTTCATATCACGGTTTTGCACTACCGAGGAGTCACAAACTAGGAAAAAGAATCCGTCTCCTCTCAGGTCTTATTGTTGTAAGTTATTGATGAAAATTACTTTCTTCAAATCAATAAATTCCTATAAGCTAACAATTAAGTTACTACCCAATGCTAACTAGTGACATATCTATCTGTATTTTGAAAATTCATGACCTATAGGGTTGACTGAGCCTGGGGTTAAGTGGATGCCCCTTGATGACATTGTCTAATGCCTGGCGTATATCGAGAATTGACAGAAGAATGAATGATAACGAACTTTCTTTGAAACCTGATGTTCCTGAGCTTAGCCCTTGGTGGTCAGGCCAGCTGTTAAGTACTCCCAGGTTTTCCAGTGATGTTGAACCTTGATGAATTTCATTTTCTTTTCACATAGTTTTGTGTTGATCAACTAGCTTAGAGAAACCAGTACACCTTCAAATACAGTTTTCGCTGTATCTATTAAACGTTTCTCACACCTAAATTGTTTTCCCACTTACAAAGTCTTAATCCCTACAGAGCGTCCAGTTGAAACTATCTACCCAGTCCTTGAACAGTTACTCAACTGTGAAGAATTTAGGCCAAGAATACGTGAGTAGCTGTAAAGATTGTGGCAACCTCTAAACTAATTGTGTACGCGGTTTTATTGGTGACCGACCTAACAACTAGACAGTGCCGACAAACGGTTGTGTTGGCATTATTCGTAAATGTTACTCCTGATGCAATAGTCACACAACCAACACGCCGTAGTTACAGTTAGTTTGAAAGCTAAAGTAGTAGCCCGTACAAACAATCATGAATAATATCCTTGAATCAGATGCTTCATAAAAATAACCTGTCGTGAATGCGTGAAATAATAATGACTAAGAACTTGGTAGCTACGTTGGCTTTTTACTCATTAACGGATTTGTGTATACCCCATCTAGTCCTACAGAGAGTTTCCTGTGTATCATTTCATCACCTGTTAAAATAGATTCACATCTACCATGAATTTGTTCAACTGTTTAGATACACTCTGCTGATGAGTATCTTTAGTAACGAAATCTACGCCCAGGGTTAGGTTTGACAAATATTAAGGATATTCTGACTAAAATGTATGACACTAGTCCATGAAAACTAACTGTTCGTCTGAATGGTTTAGGGAGATGTAAGCTTCTATGTTGGGTCATATCTAAAACCTACGGTCGTAGGTACAGCTCAGAATTGTTCGCAACAGCTCAAATACATCCACACCTAACATTCATACTAGCAGTTAGTTATATTTTATCATTTACTTTGTCGCCCATTGTCCTTCATCGTTTCGGCTTATATCTTGATGTACTGATATGAGGTGTACCAGCTTAGGTGGTTACGCAGTAGCAATACCAGGTGCGCTATGTTATCTGACCGTGACTCCTCACCCCGTGGTGGTGATGAAAGTGGGCTACATTGCACACCTAATCAAAAGACGTCGATTAGCAATTTAGACGTAGAAAACTGACGTTAGTTACCATTCTAAGACTAACCTGTTTATCTTAGTAACTAAATGAGATAGACTTTAATGATATTGAATTTTTTGAGGGAGTTGTGGAGATTTGGAAATATTTTAAGTTGTTATTCATCGTAGAGTAACATCAGTTGGAGGAAAGAAGGGAACTTGGGAGCACTGGACAGCTGCTTCGTCCTAGTATGGGACTCCTCAGCAGTGCGCATCCATGACCCCGCCGGGGATCGAACCCGCGGGCCTAATCAGCTGTCCAGTGCTCCCAGGTTTCCTTTGTTCCTCCAACTGATGTCAGTCTACGGTGAATAACAATTAAATTATTTTAATGATTTTGTTCTACATTTCTTCATTGTTTTCCTTTAGAGTAACAAGATTCTACACAGAAATCTCAATTCACGTCTAATAACGTTGACAGACAAGATTGAACAATTTATATCAACGTCAAAATCAACTGAAATGAATACATTGAAAGCAATTTCTATTATCTATACAATACGTGAAGATGAAATATACAAGTATCTATTGTCAACTGGTAGTTATAATGAATTATTGAAGAGACTGGAGTACTTGAAGAATAAATTTCATCACATTCAACATAATTCCTTGAATAACTGTCAGCTGATTTCATATACTAACTTGATGTTATCATCTGTGACTAAATTTTATCATCTACTGTGTGATTTACTACATCGACAAGGTTGTACGATTTTTATGATACATTCTGGTGAAAAATTTAACTTTATAGAGCAATTGTCTAGTAACCAGATGTCGCTTAATGATTCCATTTCATCTGATATGTTTCATTTTATGCATGAAATTGACAAGTTGAAAGAATATTGGTCAAATAGTGGTAGTAGTAGTTGTAGTAATGTTGATCAATTATACAATATTGAAGATTGTTCAAATCAATCAGTATTCAACCAATTTATAAATTATGGTTATACTATTTTGGATTTAATCGAAAAGACCGAAGAGAAGGAGTGTACTATTTGTAGCTACCTAAAGGTAATTACATAATTTTCTTATACAAATAATCCAATGTCTATGCTTCATAAGTTTAAATCACAAGGGTAAAAAAGTACTCAGTAGTTTCTGCATATTTTAACTTCCTTTTTAAGGTATCCGTGAACAACAGTGAACATATTGGCTAGTTGTTTCATTTATGTTTTATAATCGTTAGGAAATTTACATTCTGATAATATGTTTTAGTAGTCTTTAAGGTTTGATATTTTGTCGTAAACTGTTGTGCTTTCGAAAACTGCGATATGCTATGGCCGCTAACGATGTATGGATGATATCGACTGTCAACTACCAACTTTTAACAAATTTCTATTTGGATTCCTGACTCGGCTAATTCATAGGGAAGATACGATGGCGTGTAGTAGCGTGTGTTAGGATCGAAAGACTGAAGACCAAAACCAAGGAAAATGTAGCTAATAATACATGGATAGATAGTTCGCTGTTGCAAATAGTAATATTGATCGACTGATCCACTGTGTGTCTGCCTAATTGTAGACGTGATGACTTAAAGTACATTTTGATTGGTCGCTGTTCAGACTAGTCATTTCTCTCTATCCCCATATCACCTGTCTCTTCATAGGAATGTTTTATATGTTGATACTGGGCCTCACTGTTTGTTTTGCATCTGTCTGAGCGATGCGGAGGGAGTTTCTGTTTGTTTACTGGGTGATGAGTAGTGTTCTCGATATTCTTTCGGGGTGCTAATACATGAACATGGAAATCAGCTATCAAGCCAAGAGATTTATCTACCAATCGAGAGTGAGATATGCGGCGGTATCTAGAAGGTGACCTTTGTACATGTCGTTGTGTGTGTGTTGCTGGCAAAAGGCGTCCTGATGGCCCGCAGCATTACAGTCCCAGTGGATAAGATTTGACGAAATGCCAGGCACCACAATGCCAGCAAGGTGATAGGGGTGTCTTCCTCGAGGGTCGGTTAGTATCGTATGACTTACTGGGTCGATGAACCGGAGAGATAAGGCCAAGTGGTGTATGACCAGAGGGTGATGCGGAGGAATGAGATGTGTGTATGTACTTCAGAACCACCCTGGCGTTCGGATTGGGCAGAACTCGTATCACACTACAGGTTTCCCAGTCGTTGATATTCTACAGACGTGTCATTCAGTGTCTGGACTGTGGCGTCGAAAGTGCGATCATGTGGGTTTAGCGGCGAAATCATGCTGCAGTACTGGTCGAGCTCAGATGGAGTAGGTTGAAGTGGGAGACGTACGTTCCAGGAATCATCTTGGCGTATTAAAGTGCACTTCACTTGTTTAATCCTTCAATAGTGTGTTAGAATTTAAACAAGGAAAATTTTATGAAGCATTTATTTTGCTTGTTCTTATACAGTTTTCCAGGAGATATAAGTAAACTCTACTGAATACATCAAAACGGCACTTCATCTTGCTTTCCCGACACGAGAATAATTTGAGATGATTACTTTGACTACTTAAAAGTAGTGTAAGTAAAAACATAAAATTTATTCATTTATCTTCGATATGTAAAATTAATTTGTATTTTTCTATTCATGAACTTTATTTCAGATATCTACAAAGATGTTACTGAAAGAATTCATGACAATTCGTCTTGATATGATTGATAAGTTAGATAGGCTTCATTCCCATCTCCATATGCGCATCAATCACTACTTTAAAGTACAGACATCTTTCACAACTATTATGCATCAATTAAATCAGACAAAAGACAAGCATACAAAAATGGTTATCGATTTGATAAACAATCATAGTGAAGATATCTCAAAGACATCTGATGATATCCCCAATTTTTATGGTCTAGAATATACACCCACTAGCTTATCACTGATCAATTTGGCTAAATTAGCTTGCCAGCATACTTTACTATCTAATTTAAAAGATGTCAACATTTCATCAATTCAACAATCGTATTCACTTGAACATTCTTCTACTGAATATCACCGAACTTATTCCTATTGTAACAGACAAACATCTAAATTGACTAAATTGACTGAATTATGCTTATGTCGAGTAAAGCATCAACGTATTCATTGGATAAAATCAATGAAACAATTAATATCAATTAATTTATACTCTGGAAATGTATTGTTAAATACATCAATTGATAAGGAACAGGAACTAAAGATTTCTTCCTGTATCGATCTATTGTCTATACTCAAGGAAACTCTTAAAGATGGTAGTTTAATCGCTAAGAGTAACAGTTTGTCACATTTGTTCACTTCAATGATATCCAATTTACAGATAAAAAATATCAATAACTTTATTGAAAATGTAACTGATATATACAAGTTGAATTGTTTGAATTCATATCTTTTACAATGGCTTAATACATTTAAACAAAATATAATGAATACATTGAACAGTTTAACAGGGAATGAATTAAACATATTCAATCTGGATGATATTATCACGAAGTATATTGATGTAAACGTGAGTTGTCATTTTTTTCTATTTTTGTTGAAAAAAACTTGGATTTCTTAAATAATTTGACGAATATATTGGAATTTCTTTTTGGTCAGAAAATATCGTGAAATTTCTTAAATTCAACTTTCTCAAAATTTCCATAGCGAAATTACAAGACGAACCTTACCTTAACAATGTCTCGTGTATTTGTGCAATAACATATACATTAACAACAAATTGATCAGACATTCACTTGCCAACTCAATACATACATATTAAACTGAAGAATGAGAAGACAATTATAACAATTAAGATAATAGGAGATTAAAATTAATTTCACATTGGTATTCATCATACACAGACAGACATGAGTTAGACATCTCAATTCGGGAACCTGAGAGAGAGAGAGAGCACCTGATTGATAGGATAGTTGTTTCATCCAACTTGTAATCAATGAATCACAAAGAAACCTTCAAATTGAATTAATCTAGTGTTGTGTTCATTGGTGACCACAGAGCTTCGAGAGATGATTCTTCAAGTTCTACTGAGAAGTCATGACCAGTGAGACCAACCAAGTCGAATATGAAAACTGGTTATTGAATATGATGGTATTGGATAGAAGTTGTGCTATATCGTGAACTGAGAGAGGTAGGAAATATGGTTCATTGGATTCTGACGACCCAGTGGCTCAGTGGCAACGTACACGTCACGGAACCTGAACACCCTGGATTCGATTCTTAGTGAGTTCATGGGTTCACACTGCTGAGCAGTCCGATACTAGCACGAAACAGGTATGTACTGATAACAGGTTCCTAAAGTTTCTCCAAGTGATATCAGTCCATGATGAATATCGGACATGAAATCAATAAAATCCTGACATGCTTGCAGATTGGATTAAAATTAGGATGAGAAGAAACAAAAAGAGTGATCCTAATCTTCCTTCGTAAGAAAACAAAGTTTATCAAGGTAGGTATGTAGTGTGTGTAGTGAGAGATTGTTCTAGTAGACATCAAGGTGATTTCAATTTGTGTATGACTACCACTTCTGCAAATCTCAGTATGCGTCCCTCACTGACTGTTTGCATATCAAACATTGAAAGCAGTTTGAACATTAATTTTGTGACCCTTTTCTATGATATGTATGAAGAGGGTCGTCTTCCACCAGCGTTTATCACGGTTTCACATTGGATTTGTTTTTGAAGCCATTTAGCTACATGTTCTCCCACCCTCAACTGTATGGTTCGATTTTTCCTCCTCATGTATATGTGACTACACACACATGTGAAGTGGTAAACACAATGAGATGTGGCGTAATAATTGATGATGTGCTTAGGTTTTTGGTGAGGTATGTTTTTTGTTTTTCTTCAGTGATAAGATTAGCCGCGTAATATATGTTTTCTTAATGGCTGATGCCATCCTCCGTCTCAAAATGATACCATACACCTCCCCTCTGTATGGTAGAGTGATATGGAGGGTTTTCTTAGTGACCGTGTATAGAGTTGTCTTTGATGCTACTTCACCTCTACAACGGTTCATAAACTTGAACGGATATCCATTTTCCATAAGTAATTTGATATTTCCATTCATTGTATCTGATGTACTGATGCAATAGATCCTATTAAACAAGTATTTTACTAAACCTTGCTTATATTGTTTTGGACAAAAAACTGTGGAAATTCAGCTATTGTCCTATCTGTGTAGGCTTTCTGTAAACTGACCGTCTTATTGAACCATCTTCTCATCGACTCAGGTGTATATCTAGGAATAGCAGATAATTACTATTCTCTTCGTCACAAGTCAGTCTGATGTGAGTTTGTGTGCTGTTAAGTTTTTTTAGTAGGCATACCCCTCAAAATGATTACGTGACATTCCATTGTGTTTACCACTTCACATGTGTGTGTGATCTCACATACATAAGGAGGAGTAATCGAGCCATGCAGTTGAGGGTGGGAGAACATGTAGCTAAATGGCTTCAAAAACAAATCCAATGTGAAACCGTGATAAACGCTGGTGGAAGACGACCCTCTTCATACATATCATAGAAAAGGGTCACAAAATTAATGTTCAAACTGCTTTCAATGTTTGATATGCAAACAGTCAGTGAGGGACGCATACTGAGATTTGCAGAAGTGGTAGTCATACACAAATTGAAATCACCTTGATGTCTACTAGAACAATCTCTCACTACACACACACACTACACACCTACCTTGATAAACTTTATTTTCTTATGAAGATTAGGACCAACCATCTCACCCTTCCTGTTTGTCCTCATCCTTCTTAATTTTAATCGCCTACTGTGTTAATTGTTTAATTTATCTTCCCACTCTCCGGTTTTCTATATATTGCAAGTTGTTATTCATCGTAGACTGACATCAGTTGGAGGAACAAAGGAAACTTGGGAGCACTGGACAGCTGCTTCGTCCTAGTATGGGACTCCTCAGCCGTGGGCACCCATGACCCCGCCAGGGACCAAACCCGCGACCTTCCGGTTCCCTGGCCGGCCAGCACGTTACCACTGAGCCAGTGGGTCAGAATCCAATCGTCCATATTTCCAACTTCTGTCAGCTTACGATATAGCGCAACCGACACCCGATGTCATCATTGAGTAACTGTCCTCATGACCATCAGGCTTTGTCCCCACCGGTCACTACTGAGTTTTCAGCTATAAGGACGCTTCGGGTGAAGTAAATATAGTTTCAATCCCGTTGTCTTATTCTTCTGATGTCGGCCGAATATTGTGTTGTTCTGTCGTTGATCGTATCGCGTCAAAGCATTGTATCGTTTTATATACCGTGGGTCATAATAGGTTTTATCTCTTTCTTTCTCTTTCTTTACTGAAGAAGACTTCTAGACTACAGTACTGTCGTCACACCCCTTCTCAGCTAACAGGACGATTTTGCCGTCAGATTGTCACTACACTGTGAATTATTTACACCATGTGTGTAAGCACCATTTTCCAACTGACCTCTCTACCATGCCGAGACCTCGATAGATAATAGTTCCAGGCAGAATAGGTCTTCGAGTCAAGGTGTTGTTTAGGGAATTAATTACTGGTGTTTAACACAAAGATTATAATGAAATGTGAATTCACGTTTCAATTATTATCATCTCTGTTTATTCAATTCTCTTGATTTCTAGACATGGTATACCCAGTATGTTCTTTTTGAACGATTGTTCAATTATCTTTGTATGCTGGAATATTGGATAAAGTTTCAAGAAATCACTAGTGGAGAAATTAATGATGCTTCTCACCTTTATACATACATGGCAAGGACAAGAGACTGGCTAACTCTTGGTATTCGTTTACTTCAACTCAAATGTTCTCTACAGAAGCTGATGAACCAGTGGATATATTTTGTATCTTTATATAATAATGCGGATAGTTTTATAAGTAATGCAGAACTGATTGGTCATATAAAGCAAGTTTATCCACAGCACTGTTCTACATTTCCTCCAGGTAATTGTATTTGTTGTTGGTTTTCTTAAGTCTTCAACTCCTTTTTCATTTTAATCATTTCTTTGTAAAAACAATGAGTACTTAAGGTTAGAATTCATCATGGACTGACGTCAGTTGGAGGATTATTGGCAACGTGGGAGCACTGGACAACTGCTTCGTCCTAGTATGTGACTCCTCAGCAGTGCGCACCCATGATCCTACTCCACCGGGGACCGAACCCATGACCTTCAGGTTCCGTGGCCAACACGTTACCACTGATGTCAGTCCATGATGAATTGCAGGCTAAAATCCATTAATAAACCGCCACAAACTTCCAAATACGATGAATATATATATATATATATATATATATATATATATATATATATCATCCACTCCTACTGGGGATCAGTCATGACCCGAATAGCCCACTGGTAACATCTGTGACTGCAGCAATGGATAACATGGGCTAGAACCTTTGAGGGTATATCATATCCTTCGAGGGTACAGATTCGCCATGCTACCGAGTGATGAAAAGCAGGAAAACTAGATCGAGCAGGACATCTTGGCAATTGCTACCAACCAATTAACACCCATCAACGTGCACCACGATGATAAGCCGCCTAGTCTGGTGGCTAAATTACAAAATATGATCGGTCACCACTCAAGACTATACAATGGGAAATTGGTTGCTCTCCAATGACTAATCAATGTAACTTCATTTTTAGCTTTCTTGTGAGTATCATGTCTAATGGGTCTCAGGAATAAGTTTGCGCTTTCACTTGATTCTGATCCACATATTTATGAGGATAGCGTCGAGCAAGAAGTAATTTGGCGACTGCCTCAACACTAAGGAGTTCTACAAACCTGTATCAACCTCATTCAACAGCTATTTGAAGACGCAACATGCCAAGTCATTCACAATGGTAAGCTTAATGATGCCTTTGAAGTGAATACAGGAAGGAGTAAGACAAGGCTGCCACCTACTATCACCAATCATCTTCCTCATTGTGATCGACTGGACTGGATCATATAACAAACAACTGTGAGGAGCGAGAAGATGGATACACGCTGTTTGACAAATAAAAATAACCTAGAATATTTGGATTACGACAACGACGATGATTTATGTCTAATGTCTTGTTGCACAAACTCGAAGACCTACAGGCGAAAAACAACAAGTTAACAGAAGAGGCGAGACAGCGAAGGAAGACACGACTTCTCTCAGGTGGACGTATGCAGAGAAGACAGAGGTGATGAAGATACCCAGTCAGCGACAACAACAACAACAACAAGCACCAAACACAAATCACCATGAACCGGAGAAACCTAAAGGAAGTTGTCTCTTTCACCTACCTACCTACCTACCTACCTACCTACCTACCTACCTACCTACCTACCTACCTACCTACCTACCTACCTACCTACCTACCTACCTACCTACCTACCTACCTACCTACCTACCTACCTACCTACCTACCTACCTACCTACCTACCTACCTACCTACCTACCTACCTACCTACCTACCTACCTACCTACCTACCTACCTACCTACCTACCTACCTACCTACCTACCTACCTACCTACCTACCTACCTACCTACCTACCTACCTACCTACCTACCTACCTACCTACCTACCTACCTACCTACCTACCTACCTACCTACCTACCTACCTACCTACCTACCTACCTACCTACCTACCTACCTACCTACCTACCTACCTACCTACCTACCTACCTACCTACCTACCTACCTACCTACCTACCTACCTACCTACCTACCTACCTACCTACCTACCTACCTACCTACCTACCTACCTACCTACCTACCTACCTACCTACCTACCTACCTACCTACCTACCTACCTACCTACCTACCTACCTACCTACCTACCTACCTACCTACCTACCTACCTACCTACCTACCTACCTACCTACCTACCTACCTACCTACCTACCTACCTACCTACCTACCTACCTACCTACCTACCTACCTACCTACCTACCTACCTACCTACCTACCTACCTACCTACCTACCTACCTACCTACCTACCTACCTACCTACCTACCTACCTACCTACCTACCTACCTACCTACCTACCTACCTACCTACCTACCTACCTACCTACCTACCTACCTAGACCTAGGTAAGGCAACATCGTTTCAACTACGGACAGTGTAGGTGGTGGAACAGGTGACCATGTCAAAGCAGCCACAATCGGAAAGACAGCAAGACAGACCTTCATTGATTAATGTGAAATAAACAGTGTGGAGATCTACTGCACTCAGTATAAAGCGTGAACAACATGCGGATTCTCATCACTAATGTCAAATAAGTCAGTCATTCTATGTGATGGTTGAGAGACTTGGCGCATTACGAAAAGCATTTTCAACAAACTGCAGACATACATCACATCAACAACTGCCACTTTAGCTCACTCCATATTGAAGATGAGATGGCGAGAATAATAAGAAAGAGAAACAAGGAACAACTGTGTGTGGTCTGGCAACGAACCAGCCAACAACCTATCACCCAGTAAATATGGAGAAGGAAGTGGAGATAGATTGGATTGGATTGGAGTGGATTGTATTGGACATACACTGATACCGATTGAGGACATGACGTGTCAGACCAGACCAGACTAGGCCATCGAGTGGAACCTGGACGGGGAAGTGACTAGCTGGGCATCAATGCAGAGGGTGACATGGTGTAGATGGTGTGAGGGAGAAATGAAAGGTTGTGTGCAGTGGTGGAGCCAGTTTGAAAAGACTGTTGAGAAGAGAGTGGAATGGAGGCGTGTTACTGAGGTTGTATGTTCCACTAGGAACCCAAGGGACAAATAGTATAACATAATAATAACGTCTATGTCCTTCATCAATATATTCCATAGATTCTACGAGATTGAGAAATGCTCATAACTGTATACTCTTACTTCACTTGTAACTTGTAACTTGATTCGAATGAAATTTCACCTTCATACTTGATTCATTAAAATTTTTTAAAGATATTAGAGAATATTTGTAGCTGAGGATGAGGCTGTTAATTGTTTTACGTTCTCTAGGCCTTGAAGTTTGTTCTTATGCGATTTCTATGCGAAGTCATTGCTGATGAAGTCGCTTAGTGTAGTGATGAAATATCCAAGAAAAAACACTAAACACTTATCGAATAACTTGTCTCCTAACTAAATAGAAATAGTAAAGATTGGACGGAAAGAGTTGCACTGTTTCAATTTCTTTTCTTTTTCGAGTTTAGATTTTAATCAGTCCTCATTGAACTTTGAATGTCAAAAGATCGCAGGTGAATTGGAAAAGCAATACATTCTACTCAAGACTCTATTCTTTGTCGACCAAGATGATGATAAATACTCTGACAACCAGTTGGAAACTGTAGCATATTCCTCTTATAATACTCTTATCGGTAATGATGATGATGTTGACAACCATTTTTATGACATCATAGATGATAAACTTATTTCATCACCATCTCAAATATATTGTACTTTATGTCATGAAAATCCACTTCTAAGGATATCTTCATCTTCTAATCTAAAGCTTTTAACTAAAGAAACATTGAAGCGATTGAAAACATGCCAAGAAATGTTTAATGGTAAACAGAATAGTCAGTTGACTATTGAACAGCATCAAAATTGTTTAGATACTTTAAAGCATCAAATAGAAATTATTTCAAGGTGGATTATTCAATTTAAAAAAGAAATAATCAAATTGTCATCCCATGAAATCCGATTCAATGAAGAAGTGAGTTGACTCACCCTTGTTGTTGTTGTTATTGTTGTTAGAAACACTGAGGCTGTAGGAACTTATTTCAGACTTACAGCATCAGACTGTTAGCCTACGATAAAGGAAGCGAATTCAAATGTATACTGAACGTAACATTTCAAGTAATAGACTAACTAGGTTTAATACTATTAAGGTTCCTTTAAGGAATTGATGTCCAGGTATTCGATATCAGCAGTCAGTCGATAGGAAGGCCTTCTTGATCTGGTGGCAGAGTTGTGGCACATCGGGTCACCGGTTCTAACCCCACCCCGCCTACTGAGGTTTGACCAGTCAGGTAGTAGTATCATTATCCTTCACATAATAAGTGTCGCTGGTTGCTTACTGCACGTATATGCATAAGGTTACTGAGTGGATTTTGATTTAGTTATTGACCTAACTTTCGTGCCCGTCAGCATCGATATCTGCAGCTTTTAAGGAAGTCATGTTGCCTCGGAGACTTTAAGTAAACACTTAGTTATTGAAGTCATAACTTACCCCCTGAATAGCTAGCTATATGACTTACATGAATCCTCTGCGCAATCTTGACGATAATTGGAAACTGGTAGTAAGATAACAGAAAGTGTACTACAACGTCAAAAATATGTACAAAATACGATGGTACACATATTTACAATGACCTTGACTATTTCTAGGCCCTTTAAGATTTGAATACCCTATCGGTTTTTGGCTTCTTCAACCAACCCGACATTTACACGTTGGCTCACATGCTTCTTCTCGAAACTTTGAGGCAAAACGATTGTCTGAGAAAGGCTTCTAGAGAGATACAGCTTATAGTGAAGATTTTGTCAATTTTATTCCATACTGTAACGCTCTCCTATACACTTTTAAATGATAGTTAAAAATCCTCCTCGTTTTTCCATTGAATATGCATTTATCTTCCTCTGGATAAAGGTATTAAAGCTCAGGTAGTGTTTTCGATATCCTTCCAAAAGTACCGATATTTCTTCACATCTAAGATGTTAAAAAGCATTTGACATATAGTAAAATCATACTTTATATTTTGGGTTGGAATTCATCATGAACTGACATCAGTTGGAGGAACATTGGCAACCTGCGAGCACTGAACACCCGTTTTGTCCTAGTATAACTCAGCTCAGTCAGGGATCGAACCCAGCACGTCATCATTGAGCTACTGTGTCTGAATCCAATGGTCCATATTTCCAACTTCTGTCAGTTCACGATATAGTACGACCTACATCCGGCTGATCACCACCACGGAACCTGAAAGCTCTGGTTCGGTCCTTGATGAAGTGGGATCCTAGGAGTTCCATACTAGGAAGAAACACCTGTCTAGTGCCGCCAGGTTCCCAATGTTCCTCCAACTGATGTTAATCGAAACCTCCAGATACTTTATATTGTTAATTTAATTTGTTCGATCCAATTTCGTTGAACTGGTTAATAATTGTCAACGCATGACAAATATACCATTGTAATGTTAACATGTTCTCTACACTTCTGCTTTACAGGTTTTACTACATCAATTGAAAAAGGTTGAAGCGTTACTAAAAATCTGTCATCATGAGCATGAAAATATTGTCATTCATTTTGAAAATAATAATTCATTGAAATTTGACAATCAATCTTTGAACATAGATTTAATACAATTACTACTGAATTACTTACAAGTATACATTAAACATGTTGGCGACCGACAAAGTGAACAAGATGAACACAAATTATGCATATCTATCAAGATAAATGTTAAAAATTTAAATGAACGAATAAAACAATTGTTATCCGATAGTACATTTAAACAACTACGCCATCAAATGATCCAGAAAAGGACTTCACTACTCAATTATCTTGTTTACTCGAATCATTTGAATGTTCAATATGATTTCAGTAGTAATTGGGTAAGTTTATCTATGATTATTATAAAAATAAAAACATTTAAGTAACTATACTATGATATAAGTGTAGTTGGAAATCATTCCTACTAAACAATATTGTTCACTAGCTGTGATCTGCTCAATGAATCTGTGGTACACCCAAACTGATCAATAAAGTGTTTAAACTATCTTAGAACTGGTCATTTGTTATTTGGGGCATCCCTCTTTAACTAACGAGCACTACTGATGTCTGTGCAGATCCCTATTGCACATACCATGAAGTTCTTTTTTCCGCTTTTTTTTTATGTCATTCTTGGTATTAGAGTAATAAAATAGCTCACATATTGTGCATTGAACATTTCAATTTTCAATGATGGCAGTAATAAAATTTCATATTTTATCAAAAATAAAGAAAACCAAACTTGTAGAATCAAGTAAGCTTATTTTATTTTAAAGTTTATCTTCAGTTACCGAGCAAAGAACACATTGATTGAATTTTCTGGCAAAAAAATTCTGTATGATGAATGATAATTTCACACTTATAGGTGACAACGAAGCAAAACATCTATTTATCATTGGTTGCGAAGACGAATTTAAAGTTTTGACAAGCGACTTAATAATCATAATCACTGAGTTAATGAAAATTATGTAAGAAGTACAAGTGAAGAAAATAGGTTGAGGTGACTTTATCTTTCCATTGATTTTGCTTCAACCTTACTTCTCTTACTTGCCTACACAATATATTCATCAGCTCTCTGAATGCAATTAAAAATCAATAATAAAAAAAGCGTATTACTCCGTATGTCATTTGTTAAAACTCTTAAGTCTTCCTAGCTATTTAGTAGTAGATGTTTTACTCTAATGTCAAATATAGGTTTGGTATTATTACTTGTGTTTCCGAAACAATAGAGAATATTTGTAGCTCAGGTGGATGGTCTCGGTTGCATTGTGTTCTTTGAGCTGACTTGTTTAATCGTGAAGCTTTCATCATCTTTCTAGACGACATCATCAGCACTAACTTCAGTATGAAGTAAGCTGTCAGTATCTCTCGTGAGTGATTTAGTGGCTTGCCCTGACGAACTAGTTTGTGATTGGTTGTTTCCTTTGATTGTTATGTCAGTAATCAATAGATATATAGACATGATAGACCCAATCTATCAACCAATCAGAAAAATGATAAACGATACGAAGATCAGAGGAACAGCTAACAGGACAATGTATACAGTCAATGAGACAACAATCAAAAGAAACAACCAATCGTAAACCATTTCGTCAGGGTAAGCCACTAAATCATTCACGGAGAGATATTGACAATGCGCTTCATACTGAAGTGATGTCTGGAAAAACGATGAAAGCTTGACGATTATACAAGTCAGCTCAAAGAACACAATATAACCAAGACTTGTCATTCCGCTGCTTTTCAGAAAATTCCTTCTATTCAACAGGAGTGTGTATGTTTTGATTCCATGAATTTGTTGTATTTTTAGCCTTTCAGAAGTTGTAAAAAGCCTTGAAATAAAATGAGCTTACTTTATTCTGCAATTCTACTCCTCATTGCCTTGATGAATGAAACTTTGTTTTCAAATGAATTTTGCTATTCTCATAATGGATTGACTTATTTTCAAAACATTCACTTTGATTTGAACGATAATATTTCATACAGATGATATTACCACTACGAAAAGGTCATCCATTTCAGACAACTACCATCAACAAGTAAACACAACAATAATAAACTTTGAACCAGTAGCTGAATGAATGGTTAATGCGGGGCCTGAAAGTCCTGACTTTGATCCCTAGCCGGGATTGAGTCCAAGCTACTGAAGAGTCCTATACTAGGACGAAATAGCTATCCAGTGCTTCCATGTCTTCAATAATTCTCCAACTGATGGCAGTCCGTGGTGATGAATAGTAGTACCTTCAGAGAATGATAAGATAATTTACATTATATCAGATTTTCTCCTTTGAAATATAAACTTTTTAAACGTAGCATATTAAACGTTGAGAAATAATTAGGTTCATTTTATCAACCTATAGAAAACAATATGAAAGAGCAATTTATGTGGAATTCATAACGCAGTACTCTTTAAGTAGTTTGATCACACTACTATTGTATGAAAGATCATAAATAAGACAATGAAAGGTCATCAATAAATAAAAAAGGTCAAATGAATTGGCTTAATTATAGATCAAATTACTATTAAAATCAATCGAGAAAAGGTTAATGGTAATAAATAAACTTGTCCGCTAAAACTGAATTGATGACACAAGCTATTTTTTAATACATAATGAAAATTTAAATATGACAATATATCACAATTATCTGTGCTGAATTAATCTACACGAAGAAGAGATAATTCAGCGAAGAAAATTTTTCAAGTTGTTATTCATCGAAGACTGACATCAGTTGGAGGAACAAAGGAAACCTGGGAGCACTTGACAGCTGTTTCGTCCTAGTATGGGACTCCTCAGCAGTGCGCACCCACGACCCCACCAGCAGGGATCGAACCCGCGACCTTCAGGTTCCGCGACCAGCGCGTTACCATTGAGCCAGTGGGTCAGAATTCAGTCGTCCATATTTCCAACTTCTGTTAGCTCACGATATAGCGCAAACCGCCACCCAATATCATCGTTGAGTATTTGTCCTCACGGCCATCAGGCTTTGACTCCACCGGTCACGACTTGTCATTGGAACTTCGGGAATACTTCTCGAAGCTAGTCACCAACGAGCACTAGTTCAATTAAATTTTGAGGGGGTTGTGGAGATTTGGAAATATTTCAAGTTGTTATTCATCGAAGACTGACATCAGTTGGAGGAACAAAGGAAACCTGGGAGCACTGGACAGCTGTTTCGTCCCAGAAGAAAATTTTCTTTTTCGACTATATCATTTTCTAAAGCTGTACAATCGTATTTATATATATCATAATCATCATCCATCCACCCAGATCAACCTAGGACCAGGCATTACTGTGTAACGGTCCGAGTTGCCACACCTCATATCAGTACATCAAGTAAAAAGACAGTGAGGCGCAAGATGAAGATAAGAGAATGTAGTCAGAAGAAGTATAGAGTACAAGAAGAGAGGAACGAAGAATGAGAAAATGCTGAGATTCGGTATAGCGTCGTCAAGATTAGGATAATGAATGTATACATCTGCACCACTGACATCGGTCCCCAACCATGCCATCACCTAAAGTCTCCAACCACTGTTTCCTCTTGTCCCACGGACCCCAACCACTTAGTCTGTATCGTGCCACGTGGCTCAAACCAACAGTCAGAGACTTCATGCAATGGTGCCATGTTTTAGTCTGGCCACCTCGGGCCTATATATATCATAAACACATAACAGTCTGTTATAAAACAATACGGTATAATTACATCATTAACCTAGTGCTAAAAAAAAACCGGAATCAAGAATGCAAAGTAGTTGCGTAATAAACTAAGACAGTAGAAATATCAAGGAAGGCAAGGAGTTTGACAAGGTGAAAATTGTTGGTGGATAAGAAACGCAAATATTGAATGTCCACTTGATAAATAGATGTAAAGAAGATGAAGAATGAGACAAGGGTCATAATGAAGGTGATAATAATAAAGAAATTAATTATAATGAAATCGAAAAAAATGAAAGTGTTAAGACCATGGTAAGATGAGAGATTGAACATACTTATTTTGCACGTAAAGATCAGGCTTGAATTGATGAATTGCCAGTGCCTCCACCGTGCACAACTGGCAAAGGTGTACTCCTTTTGAACTATCCCATCTGATACGATAAATGACATTGAAGGAGGATTCTGGTCTAGCTTTATGTCCAGAGTTGACCAAATGTTCAAGAATTGAACTGTTAATTGATTTACATTCTCCCCTCGACAACCATGCAGGATGGTGCTCCAAGATACGCTTGGAGAGCGTGCTCTTTATGCGGCCTATATAACTAGCTCCACAGGAGCAAGTAAATTTATAGACACACATCGAGGTGGCCCAAAGTGACAACTTGTCCTTAATGCACTCCGGAATGAGTTGTTGACTAGAGGAGCTGATCTGCAGCTTCGCAGAGAAGAATGTCTTCTTCAGTAATCTGGACAGCTGATTTTTCAGGATCTCTTCTGCTGTATCGCCTTTGAAAACAACGTTCATAAACAAGGTCTTCTTAGGAACTGTAAGTACTCACTCCGTATTCTGATTTACTTTCAAATTCTTATCGATAAATCAGGATGGATATCCATTTTGCATGAGGATCTTCCGTAGTGTGAAGTAAATCTAGGGGAAATATCCATCCGGTGTATTCACATTATTTGAATCTGTTTAGTGAAGCATGATTATGTAGGTCTATGCTTACTCATAAAGCAATTAGTGGTATATACATCTCAATTTTCCAACTATTATCAAACAGATTAAACATCAAACTGTGAGTATTTTGACTATCTCAGTAAAGACAACAATGAAACTATGCATGAGATTTCACATTAGTCATACGGGTCATCTCAGCTGGTTATTTTTTGATAAAGTCTCTATAGAAACCATTTATACAATCTTTCATTTGGAATAAAAACCATAAAGAAATACTAATTGCAGATCATTTCCAAATGTTTTCAGTTTGTACAAAATTTATCAAAAGAGGTTTATTGAAAGGAGGGAGACACAAATAAAACTATATCCCGTTCTTCTGAATTCATCTTGAGTAACCTAACTCGAAGGCATTTTGAACATGGTGTTGACATGGTAATTTAGTTGGTTTTTGGCTAGGAGATGAATCTACAATCAACTAAATTACCATGATTATTGACATTCAGGCAATATTAAGGCATCCGTATAGGATCCCATATACCAATAGAGATTGAACAATTCAATCAGTGAAATAACGGAGAATTACAAGTATATCAGAAAATAATGTTGACATGTTTCGCAAAGAGTGGCTATCACAAGTAACTGTCTTAGGAAGATGTTTTCACTTTTGGTTTAGTGAATCATGAATTCCTAGTCTCAGCAGGAACGACTGTGTTCAGTAGGAACAGTTTGATATTTTATTCTTATGCTTGCTAAACCGCTGCAGGGAAACGAATTTTAATTGTTTTGGATTTCCTGCTTTACTTCAAGTACTCACCTCATTAATTCATTGAATTTGTTTCTACATTTCTTTAAACTATTCTTTACATCCAGTTATAAATGAACGATTTTCTTCCAGTATCACTTTTACCACCAACTGGAGACGACTAAAATAGAAATTCATATTTTTTCAATTAATGAATACAGTTAAATGTGACACTGTTGTGTTTACCCTATTTGGTTTAGGGTTTTATTATTATTTTCCCTTGGGTTCCTATTGGAACATAGGGCTTCAGTAGTACGCCTCCATTGCACTCTCTTTTCTGCAGTCTTTTGGACCTGGCTCCATGACTGCCCAGAAGCTTTCATTTCTTCCTCACATCATCTCCTCCATGTCACTCTCAGCTGGGATGCCCAACTCGTCATTTCCCCTTTGGATTTCACTCGACGGCCAGGAGCATGATGTCCTCGAATGGTCTTCTCAGTGTATACCCAATCCATCTCCACTTTCTTCTGCATATTTGTTGAGCGATAGGTTCTCGGTTGGTTCATTGGCAGGCTAGAGTGAGTTCCTTATTGCTTATTCTTTTGGCTATCTGATCTTCAGTATCGAGCCAGCGTAGGCGGCAGCTGTTGATGAATGTCTGTAGTTTATTGGAAGTGCTTTTCGTTACGCGCCAAGTTTCTGAACTATATAGAAGCACTGACTTGACATTGGTGTTAAAAAACCAGGTCTTGTTCTTTGTGCTGAGTGTAGTGTAGGAGATCTCCACACTGATTTCAGATTAATGAAAGCCTGTCTTGCTTTTTTGATCCTGGTTTTGACATCGTCGTTTGTGGTTTAGGGTTAAGGGATGAACTTTCCTTTTCACTTCTAATTTCAATACATATGACAATTGGGAGAGGGGGTTTCTTTTCCTCCTAGATCCAGTTGAAAAACAAAATTAACTAAACTCCTATTCCATAAAATATATCGATTGATGTTATTATGATAATTGTAATTACTCAACGTTTCTTGACAGATAGGGTCCTATGCGGATACCTCGATACTGCAGGATATTCATGATGTCATACTGATATTGATGACTAGCATAGCAATCCAGGATGTGCATTTATTTGTATTTGGCACTTGTCAGCTGTACGTAGCTGCACTCCGATACTGAGTATTGTTGTTCCACCGAGGCTCGAATTCAGTACCCATTGCTTCAAACCCTAGAGCACTATCCACTAAGCCACTGGGGCACGATAGCAACTTCTCGTGCAACTGGTATCATCGTTGTTTTGATGCTTGTAATTGAAGCTTTCTGGTAGGATTAAAGGGATTCGAGCTTTGGAGGCCTACTGTTCCTTTCATCTTTAAGCAAATATACAATATTAGCGTATTTTACTATCTATTTCTCACTGAGTCTTAGCGAAATTATCTGCTGTTTGTAATCCACTTCTGTTCAAGCTATAAAAACCTCTTCATACTTATTCTCTGTTTTGTTTTCATTGTATACAGCAACTTCGATTCAAATTTCTGCATACCATATGTAATTACAACCAACTAGTTCGATTGTGTGAAATTAATTGGGATCAAATGAATGATCATTCTATAATAATCCGACAAGTTTACTACGCCAACTTTGTCGTTTGTTTGCCAGTTTGAATCAAATGAGTAAATATATTCAGCATGATGATAAGTAGGTGGTCTTTATGATTTTTAACATGGTTAATCATATATTTTTCTTATCATAATTATTTGGTAATGAATAACAAATAGTAAGAGCTAGGACATGTTTCACCTTCCTACAGGGATTCGAGCCAAGAACATATCATTCGAATTATTTACTCTGTGATGAACACTGCTTAAACACTCTTCTAATTCTTCGGAAATTATAGATCTGGAATTAATTAATAGAGCGTAGAATAGTGGTCTCAGAATGTTATAATGAGAAGCTGTAGCTAACAAAGTGATTGATTGCCCTACGATATTGAACCGAACATTGTACCATACGAAGAACTTAGAACTATTGAACAAGACTTTGAAGTCGTTGCACGGAATTCTACACTTTTTATTGAATCAATTGATTTTATGTCTAACATATATCAAACCTATTTTGGGGATCACTTTGAAATTCCTGTTGGATGTACACCATGCGTTTATTCCCTTTATTCAGTTCAGTAGAGATGTTTGCAACCTTCAATGTCGAAGGTGGCAATGACACGATTAGATAGCGTCATCCTCTTGGTCCATTATCGAATTTAAGACTAGAATTATGAAGGCTACGTTATACTCGCAAACTATTTGCTTAGTTACTGACAAGGTTCAAATAACCTAAGTCCTGAATCACTGTTTCTTTCGTTCACAAGTGAACTCATCAGCAGTGTATGATAAATGATGCAACGTAGAGAGTTGACTATTTAAGTCATTGTTACTGTCAGTCTTTGGTATGTATCACACAGGTTTTATGCTCACACAGTTGTGGTTTCCAAATGAAATCACAGATGAGGTACAACATTGGGCTACATATTAATTTTTAGAACACCGGAACTCGATCTACTTACAACTTATCTGCTCGAGTAATTAGTCAGAATTAGTCTGGCTTGTAGAATTTGGTCATCTAAATTGAATCATTTTGAATCCATTCCTAATTACTTTGTTCTTAAGCGAATTGAACCGCTGTCGAGTGTATAAACCACTTCTATCGATTAGGGAATCATCACTAAAAGGTATAAATGGTTTCTAACGGCGGTGCCAATTTTTATTGTTCTCTTTTCTTAAAGTGGTAATGAAATTATCCTTTAGTCAATATACCTTTTTCTGTTTTCACAGAAGTCACTTTAATGACGAGAACATGTATTCGATAGAAGCAGAAACTTCCTGTTCGTCTGCTGTAGATTCACTTCAAGGTGAACTAGCACCGAACAGAAACATCGTAAGTGACTGATTTATTCTTGTCTAGTGTTTTTTTCATATTCGACTGCATAATCTCTCATGAATCAGCTAGCTGGTTTGAATGCAGTTTTATTCAACAATTAATATCAACTAGAAAGGTAGTGAAAACCAGTTGGTATTAGTGAGACGTTTTCTCCTTACTCTGTCCTCTTCAATAGTTTTCAATGAGTCAAACTGACAGACTTCAAGTCTCATAGTTAAATTAGGGTTATTACATTGTTTGTCCGTGGGTTCCTAGTGGAACATACAACCTCAGTAACACGCCTCCATTCCACTCTCTTCTCAACAGTCTTTTCAAACTGGCTCCACCACTGCACACAACCTTTCATTTCTCCCTCACACCATCTACACCATCTCACCCCCGGGAAGCCAAACTCGTCGTTTCCCGTTCGAATTCCACTCGACGGCCTATTCTAGCCTGGCACGTCATATCCTCAATCGGTATCAGTGTATGTCCAATACAATACAATACAATACAATCTATCTCCACTTCCTTCTCCATATTTACTGGGTGATAGGTTGTTGGCTGGTTCGTTGCCAGACCACACACAGTTGTTCCTTGTTTCTCTTTCTTATTATTCTCGCCATCTCATCTTCAATATGGAGTGAGCTAAAGTGGCAGCTGTTGATGTGATGTATGTCTGCAGTTTGTTGAAAATGCTTTTCGTAATGCGCCAAGTCTCTCAACCATCACATAGAATGACTGACTTACTTGACATTAGTGATGAGAATCCGCATGTTGTTCACGCTTTATACTGAGTGCAGTAGATCTCCACACTGTTTATTTCACATTAATCAATGAAGGTCTGTCTTGCTGTCTTTCCGATTGTGGCTGCTTTGACATGGTCATCTGTTCCACCACCTACACTGTCCGTAGTTGAAACGATGTTGCCTTACCTAGGTCTAGGTAGGTAGGTTGGTAGGTAGGTAGGTGAAAGAGATAACTTCCTTTAGGTTTCTCCGGTTCATGGTGATTTGTGTTTGGTGCTTGTTGTTGTTGTTGTTGTCGCTGACTGGGTATCTTCATCACCTCTGTCTTCTCTGCATACGTCCACCTGAGAGAAGTCGTGTCTTCCTTCGTTGCCTCGCCTCACCTCTTCTATCAACTTGTTAGTTTTCACCTTTAGATCTTCGAGTTTGTGCAACAAGACGTTGGACATAAATCATCGTCGTTGTCGTAATCCAAATATTCTAGGTTATTTTTATTTGTCAAACAGCGTGTATCCATCTTCTCGCTCCTCACAGTTGTTTGTTATATGATCCAGTCCAGTCGACCACAATGAGGAAGATGATTGGTGATAGTAGGTGGCAGCCTTGTCTTCCTCCTTCCTGTATTCACTTCAAGGGCATCATTGAGCTTTCCATTGTGAATGACTTGGTATGTAGCATCATGTAGCATATAGCTGCTGTTGAATGAGGTTGATAAATGTTTGTTGCACTAAAACCGTAGTTTTGAAGCAGTTGACAAATAACTTCTCGGTCGACGTTATCGAAGGAAGACAGGCCTTTTCAAAGTGGATTTAGTTGATGTAGAGTGTAGGAAATATAACTTTGGTTTGAAATGCATTAATTAAAGTACATCATTCTCATTCAATTTCTGAGATGGCATCAAACTTGCACTAAAAATATGATACTGTTGTTCTAGCGTTCCTGCTGTTTTTCCACTGTCGTGTTGTGTAGAAACCGTTTTGGAAGAGAATTTTTTTTCGGGACATTTGTGTATAACAGCTTAGTTAGGAAGAGGTCGTACTAGTCATTTGGTGGACTTGGTAAACATTTCGTTTACCTTCATTAATCAGAATGGTTATTTCCCCGAAAACTCCAGTTTTCATGAACACTGCTCTGTTAACGTAAGTGGATCTCCCTCAGGGAGTCGGATGCATGTTTGACATTTTTCGGTCGTAAAAGAATAAAGACTTCAGCAAACAAATTTGTTTTCGGCTATATTAGTGTCACTGTTAGCCGCCAGTTTAATGTGCATATATCAATCCACTGGCTGCTGTGGAGCTATGTACATAGTCAATACATAGAGGTAGATTTCAAAATATCGTTGCCAACACCTTACAGAATGGTTCAATAAAGGTCAATACATATCAATCAACAGTTTCATATCTCAACATTTAGTTGACAGTCAACGCATAGTTCTAAGAGATTCGTTTCCACTAGTGTATAAAGTAGAAAATAATCTTTCGAAGAGTGTAAGGAGACGTTTAGTCTACATTTTTGAAGCGTTATGGCAATACTAACAATGGAAACCGAATTTTTGTATATCTAAAAGCAACTTTATCATTTCTTGTGCTTATTTACTTTTCAATTCTTAAGCGTAATTAATCTTTTAATTTTCATGTTCTTATTTATGTAAATGATTTTCTTTTAATAATATTCCCATTGTGGTAATTAGAAGACAGAGTGTGAAGCGAATATGTCGTATTTTCGGTAAATTCTTGTCAGGATTTACATTTACATTCACAAATTATTCAGCATACTCTTCATTTGATATCAACATGGTTAAATTTATTTCAGGTATACATATTCTCAGTAGTCAATCCTTGTAGGTATGTCTGTGCACTGCCTTCAAATGGTGCCGAAGAAACGTATGTATCTAGCCTTATCGTTCAAAGGAGATGGAGCTGCAGAAACACTGACACACTGAAACTCAGAACTCTGATATAGAAAACCTTCTTTGCCGCCACATTGTATTTGAAATTTACTACTCGTTGTGTGATGCCAATGGAGTTGAAGGAATAGGCTTCTGAATCTCATCACATCTCTGCTGATTTATAAATTTAACTACTCCTGTGGAGATAGTTACATAGGGAGAACGACTCGGCAAACATATCATAGCTTCATTGAACACTGTCCAGCGTGGTTAGGCAAAGGAACAGTGAAATCCATCAAAAGCTCAATATTCACCCATCTAGTAGATACTGAGCATAGGATTGATAAAACCTCAGCATCTACTATCATTTACGAAGTCCCATCACAATAATCCAAGTTTGTGCGCCTCCTATCGCTAAGCATGGCAAAAGCCATAGTAATTAAAATTTTCTCTTTACCTCCCATGGCCTTCAACTTCAACCCTGACACAATTACAATAAATTCCTTCCCGGTTATCCGGATAAATATAAATATTATTTCTCTCTGTACTCTTATTATTTTGTTTTTCACCTTTAGTTTCATAATTGATTATGAATTTTAACATTTTATTATCTCTAATCGCTATATGGCAATAATTTTATTTCCCTCTAACCCTGCATACACACACAATTCACTCATACACCTACAAGGGTTGACTACTGAGAATATATATAAACTTCCTGAGACTTTATAATGATGATGGATAGTGGCCAGCGGTGAGAGCCAGGATACGCATTTCGTTGTATTTGGGACCCATCAGCTGGATGTACCTGCCTTCTAGTGAGTGGTGTTGTTCCCACTGGTATTCGAAGCCTGAACTGACCGCTTCAAACGCCAGAGCGTTATCCACCAGACCACTGAGCTACGATAGCCACAAGAAGCGGCTTTCGAAGCGATGGGTCTCGAGTTCGAATCCCGGTGGGAATAACATCACTCACTGGGAGGCAGGTACATCCAACTGACGATTCCGAAATAGGATAAAATGCGCATCCTAGATTCCACTGCTGGCCACTGTTCATCATTACTGTATAGAATTAAAACATAGACAATATCGAGGCATCACTTCAGGATCCTATATACTAATAGAGACCGATCAATTCGATCAAATCAACGACGGTATAATACAAACATTAACACTATTCCTAAGATTTTGTTTTGTTATTATCACCCTTACTGTTATCTTCTGGTTTAATTCAACCATGTTGGTATCAAATGAAGAGTTTGCTGAATAATTTGTAAATGTAAATGTAAAGCCTAACGGGAATTTACCGAAAATACAACGTATTCACTTCAAACTTAGTCTTCTGATTTTCTTTTAGTTCAGTTACAAATTTCTCATTCCCTTTTCTTATTGACATCTGTCTATTCCTTTTTGTTTTACTAATTTTTTCAATTCACACTAACACTACCAAATAATTTTTATATTTCTTATATAATTTCCATTCGTATATTGTTTTCATCTATTGTTGTTGTTTGTATTATCCCATTGTTGAGTGGATCGAATTAATACGTCCCTAATGGGACACGGTCTCGTGCACAGATACGGATAGCGGGAAGAATAACGCTCAGTGGGAGGGAGTTACATCCAGCTGACGAGTCGCAGATAGGACGAAACGTGCGTCCTGGATTCCACTGCTAGTTACCATTCGTCAATAACGCTCACAGCTATTTATGAACAAAGAATAACACTTTTTTTTTAAATGTACACCCAGTACATTTCAATGTGATTCTACGGCTAGAGAATGATATCAGCGAAAACGAATTTGTTCGCTGAAGTGTTTATTCTTTTGCAGTAAAGTAATACAAGTCATCTGAAAATTACCATATTCTAGAATAAATCATTGGAAGTCCCCATTACAATTCAATAACCATTTGACTATCATGCTGCTGTTCAACCCAAGCAAAATAATAAGCCACATCATTCTGAAGAGGCTAAAAGATGCGCTGGATTCAAAATTACGACTGGAACAGGCTGGCTTCAGAGAGAACAAATTATGTGCGGATCAAATTGCAACGCTAAGCATCATCATAGAACAGAGCATAGAATGACAGTCAACCCTCTACCTCAACTTCATCGACTTTGAAAAGTCCTTCGACAGCGTTGATAGTGAAGTAATTTGGCAGCCAGCTGCTTCAGCATTAAGAAGTGCTACAAACCTGTATAAACCTCATTCAACAGCTATTTGAAGACGCAACATGTCAAGTCATTCACAATGGAAAGCTCAATGATGCCCTTGAAGTGAATACAGGAAGGAGGAAGACAAGGCTGCCACCTACTATCACCAATCATCTTCCTCATTGTGGTCGACTGGACTGGATCATATAACAAACAACTGTGAGGAGCGAGAAGATGGATACACGCTGTTTGACAAATAAAAATAACCTAGAATATTTGGATTACGACAACGACGATGATTTATGTCCAACGTCTTGTTGCACAAACTCGAAGATCTAAAGGTGAAAACTAACAAGTTGATAGAAGAGGTGAGGCGAGGCAACGAAGGAAGACACGACTTCTCTCAGGTGGACGTATGCAGAGAAGACAGAGGTGATGAAGATACCCAGTCAGCGACAACAACAACAACAACAAGCACCAAACACAAATCACCATGAACCGGAGAAACCTAAAGGAAGTTATCTCTTTCACCTACCTACCTACCAACCTACCTACCTAGACCTAGGTAAGGCAACATCGTTTCAACTACGGACAGTGTAGGTGGTGGAACAGATGACCATGTCAAAGCAGCCACAATCGGAAAGACAGCAAGACAGACCTTCATTGATTAATGTGAAATAAACAGTGTGGAGATCTACTGCACTCAGTATAAAGCGTGAACAACATGCGGATTCTCATCACTAATGTCAAGTAAGTCAGTCATTCTATGTGATGGTTGAGAGACTTGGCGCATTACGAAAAGCATTTTCAACAAACTGCAGACATACATCACATCAACAGCTGCCACTTTAGCTCACTCCATATTGAAGATGAGATGGCGAGAATAATAAGAAAGAGAAACAAGGAACAACTGTGTGTGGTCTGGCAACGAACCAGCCAACAACCTATCACCCAGTAAATATGGAGAAGGAAGTGGAGATAGATTGTATTGTATTGTATTGTATTGGACATACACTGATACCGATTGAGGATATGACGTGCCAGGCTAGAATAGGCCGTCGAGTGGAATTCGAACGGGAAACGACGAGTTTGGCTTCCCGGGGGTGAGATGGTGTAGATGGTGTGAGGGAGAAATGAAAGGTTGTGTGCAGTGGTGGAGCCAGTTTGAAAAGACTGTTGAGAAGAGAGTGGAATGGAGGCGTGTTACTGAGGTTGTATGTTCCACTAGGAACCCAAGGAGAAAAAAATAATGGTTATATATATATATATATATATATATATATATATATATATATATATATATATATAAAATCAGAATCTCTCTATTGTTGATGCAAAATTCCTGAATATGTACACATAACTTTATAGCTTGAAGAATTCATCGAAAAGAATATTCGTTATCCTAGAACATTCTAAATATTTTTCGCACCTGTTGGTCCATCCCTCATCAGTAAAGAGCGGTAATTCCTGAATGGTGAAAAGGACTTATTCATTATCCACATAATAAAATGAATGACCTGTGTTATGTGAATAAATTTCCATCTTATTGATTATTTATTTTATCGATCCAAACAATAGTTTCAAATGACACGTGATACACGTGACACATGTACGCAGGTGCTTAGGAAAAGGAAAAGAGATTACTCAAGGATCATTCAGTTCATTTTAATTTGTATTAAATTCCCCTCAATTATTCATTTGCCATATGCGTGTATATGTTGAACAATGAATAATGGCGGTATTCAAAAAGATCATCTTTTCAGTAATGATAAAGACTATGACAATAAATTATCGAGATATTTTATTCTAAAACTACAACACGTACAAACATCTAAATTTACCGAGTATATTAATAATAATGATAATAATAATAATAATAATAGTAATAAGGATTATTACTGTATATTTGTAAACAGATTTAGTCAAAATAAGCAATATGTAAAAAGATATCATTTTTCCTCATATCCTATGCAATGTGAACTTGAATCTTGTAATAATCACACAGTGAATAATCAGCAGCAAATATTTGCAAAAGATTATCTGATCAATGAAGAGAATTTTAAGATACACAAAAATCTTAAGCACATACTAACGATAAATGATATAGATATTTATTGTCCTGTAATTTTTTCAACAAAAAGCCTCATTGGTAAATTAATACAGTATCAGAACTTGAAGAAAATTATACCACATTTTTCTTATTCTTTCATGCATACAAAACAATTCAGAGAAAAGTATACCACTTATATCCTAGGTGGTAATATTAAATACTGGTATTTATCACAGAAATATTTCGAAACAAAACGTTTTCAATTACAACGACAATTGAGACAAAAACCAGTTAATTCATTAACCGATTTGTTACAGTTTAAAGCAGAAACTATTCCTACTACTGCTACTAATGTTGATGATGATGATGATGATGATTGCTTATGTTCAGATGAAACAATGATGAAGGTGACTATTAGAGATTATTTATGCGCAACCAATAATAATGGCTTAACCGCTGAAATGAATTTCACTGATCATATAATCGAACAACATAAAATTCAAGGTCAACAACAGAATGATAGTAATAATAACAGTAATACTAGTAATACCTCTAGGTTAACGTTACCTATCAAACCCAGATGTTTGCGTAAACGTCTAGGAAGAATTGATTCAGTTGAATATGGTGAACAATTTGGCTATTCTGATTTGTTATCTCCGCCAACTATAACTGAGCCAACAACAGATAGGTATATCTCTGAAAAATGGACAAATTTTCAAAGAACTGAAAGTTTACTAGATAACATTTTATATATGGATGACGATGGAGATGAAAGTATACCATCAAACCCTGAAACTAATAACGGTGAATCTATAAGTTGCAGCATGAAAAGTCAGCGAGAAGCATCAAAACCACCTTTGTCGCCTAGGAAACCAGCCAATCAACTAAGTTCCAGCCCTAAGCGTAAAAGAAGTCTTGTTATACAGGCAAAAGATTTAGTCATTAATGAGAAACTGAAAAATTCGATTTCAAACCATCATCTGTGTGATACGTACAGTCGAACTCCGAAACCGCGCTCAAGACAAAAATTTTCAGCAATATTACCAAATGTTACTCATTCTCCTCCTCCAGTTACGGATGCAAACGACTCCCAATCTGTTGTACCCTTATTCAACCAACATACTGTTACCTCATCAAAATTTGAATCTGTTCCACAAAAATATTCAAGAGTTAGACAAACTTTTAAACTAGACCCATGGGTTTTATGCATAGTTATTAATGAAGCTGTTGATGATAATCCTCTAAACTTACCGATGTCAGATTATTTCTGTAAAACTCTTCCTATAAACCTGGTTGAATTTGATACTGTATCTATGCGTTGTAGTTTTGTTACTTACTGTATTGAAACACAACATATAAATTTGTCTGTATCAAACGATTATTCAGTTTTGCATTGTTCTTCAACACAGGTTATTATTCCTGAAAGCGACATGAAGCGTGTACCAGCTATACTCCTGGATACTTGTTATTCGACAGACCCTATACCATTGAATAAAGGTAATTTTATAGTATCTTAAATTTTTTTAATATTTCATAGTTTACCTAGGCTATATAGTGTCTAGAAATATCATATCTATTACAGGATTTTATCATTCTTCAAATGACTAATCGTGGAGGAAATACAATTATATGGTTCGTCTATGAGTTAGGTTCAGTGTTTGGGTCAGGTTTTCTGACAGTGATTGACTGAATTACAACGAAATACTGTAGTTTCACACTGTATCTATAATCAAATCAATCGTTGGAAGTGACGTAAAGGATTAACAAAGGTCAACTGATGGCCTATTATTGTTATCGCTAAAGACTTCAAAGGTAGTAGTACTGTTGGAGAATATCTGTGGCTCAAGAAGTGGATGTTCTGTAAGCTAGGGTTTCAGTTGACGAATATTTCAATATCTTTCTAGAAATCGTCTTTATTGCATCAATATTTCATCGGTTACTCTCTAGGTTTCTCCTTGTTGGCTTTCATACTTCCCAACATCAGTGTAGTTATTTTGTGATTAGGTGGTTGGTTAATCTGTTTGTTTGTCTGTAGAACTAATCTAATAAGTTCTCATTCACTGACCGTTAATGTTCTAAGAATCCTGAAATAAGATCCATTGCAGAAAGAGAGTGAGGAAAGGGAGATATTCACCAGAAAGCTTTTGTTATCCTTAATCACGATGACGTGTAACTATGTTGTAATAGTAAATAAACTAGTTAACTTAATTCATGTGATGTGAGCCTATAATTGAAACTACTTCGCACATGTACACATATATTCGGAGTTATTCACCCCTTATACACATGACTTTAAAGGTTATCGTAACAACTAAAGAGCTACTGAAAATTGGGTAGCTCTAAAAGCCACTCTAGCAACTAGTGAAGTAACCAATTAAGTTGCTTCATTTCATGAAAACACTATCGTTTCAACTAGAAGAGAGAAAGCTTGTTGGTTATTTTGACAGTTGTTCGGAGGTGGGGGGGGGGAAAGAATGAGTAAATCTCAAAATTGGAGTTATTCTAAAGCCTATCATTACTAACCACTGAAATAACCAATTAAGTTTCTTCATTCCGATTTGAAAGGTGTATTTTCTTAAAGTAGAAGAAATTAACAATTGATTTTAAAGACCACTATAGCAACTACTCCAACAACCAATTGAGCTTTCTTTTTCATTTATGAAAAACTACCTTTTCAGCCGAATTGAAAAAATCCAATTGGCTATTCCACCGGTTGCTGAGGCGGCCTTTAAACTCACTCCAAAATCGTTAAAACTTTTGATTAGTTTTCACATCTATTAGTCCTTATCTAAATTGAATCGACTCCAAAGTACCACCCCACCAACTACTGAAGCAACCAATTAGATTTCATGAATAAAGAAAAGTAATTGGTTATTTCAGTAGGTTGGTAGGGTGGACTTTAGAGTCACTTGTAATTTGAACACAAGACGTGATGTTTATATCGCTTTTACTGCCAGTTCATTCGTTTTCTGAAGCTCATAAAGTCATATGCATATAAGTAATAGATCCACAACACAATTAACAAATACTCAGCCAAGTTATATAGGCTAGAAAAGTGCATAATATTATGCTTTGCAGTTGAATGATTGGTTTTGAACAGTTAGGCATACAAAAATACTTAACGGCTAGAAATGGAGCTTATAAAAGTGATCACAAAATTACTCACTTACACGTAGAATATCTCTTAGATTGAATACAACACTGGATCAAAATATATTTGTTGGCTCGGTCCCTCATCCTACTTCTTTTCAGCTGCACTAACAGGTTACATAAGATGTATGTGAGTAAATAAACTGACGTATCAAAGCTCAGGGAACACCAAGCCATCATAGCAATATGTCAAGTAATACAGTGTAACGGTGGGATGTAAAAATCGCCGGTAACCAGGATAAGTCGTTTTCATTTTTGCATTCTTATTAAATAAGCTTGCTATAGCTTATACTGAACCATGGGTTACAAAGTGGCGGTATTCTTATTTTGCTGAAAAGAAACAGTATACTGACTGCAAGGGGGGGGGCCCTCCACTCCATCGCTTACTGAAGCTGGTGTGTCTCAAGGTGTTGTACTTTCTCCTTTTCTGTTTTCGTTCTTTTCCACGATCTACATTATTCTGTTGAAACTAAGCTTATCAAGTATGGTGATGGCCTAACGGTCTGTATTCCAGGTAACTCTCACTTAGATTGCTCTGAATTAAGTGAATTCTTGTCTGTAGTTGACCAGTGATCTCTCTCAAATGATCTCAAGTTAAATTCTTCTAAATATCAGACTGTTCATTTTAGCCTCAGGCGTAAACAAAACTTGTGTGAGCTGCTTGAGTCTCAATGATGCTTGTTGCTGTTTCTGCAGAAAGTAAGTCGAGTGTTAACTATCTTGGATTGAGTTTTACTTCTGATCTTTGTTGGTCGTCTCATATCTTATTGACTTGTAAAAAATCTTTCGTTGAACGTATTACATTAAAAAACTGAGACTGTCTGGTATAACTCAGTTGACAGATAACTTCACTGTCAACGCTGTTGAATGCCTTTTCAAAGTATATGAAGTTGAGGTAAAGATCCAGTGTACCGCCATTCTATGCAGTGTTCTATGATGATATGAAGCGTAGCGTAGCGTTGCGTTGGAATTTGATCCACCCATGTTTTGTTCTTCATGAATCCAGCTAGCCAGCATGTTCCAGCGGTAATTTTGAGTCGAGAGTATTTTCTAGTCTCTCTAGGATGATGTGGCATGATTTTTTGCTTGAGGTTGATAGGAGCATGATTCCATACTGGTTCTTACAAAGAATTAGGTCTCTCTTGTTTGGGCGTTTGACGAGGTAGCCATTCTTCCAATCAGTGGGCAGGTACCTTTCCTTTTTTCCTTGCAAACCTTCTGTAATACTGGTGTGAGGATGTTTTCTGTTGTCTATGTGTCTGTTTTGACTGCTTCTGGAGGAATTCCATGTGGTCCTGTTGCTTTCTTGGGTTTCAGCAACTTTATGGGGTTCAGGACTTCACTTCTGCTTTTGTCGGAGAGTTTGTGTTTACTGGTAGTTCTGTGGCTTCTGTTGGTAAAGAAGTATATATATATATATATATATATATATATATATATATATAATGTTGCAATATATCATGCTGAGAATTCCAAATAGTACCAAACATTGTTTGAAGTGAACATTAATACTAATAATGGTAATAATAATAATAACAATAATAATAATGAGTTTTTAGAAAGATGAACTTTCCCTTCTTTCCCTCTCTACTGTGTGCGCGTTTATCAGGAACAATATCGAAGAATGAAAATCGGACAGATCTGGATAATTCCTATCTAAAGGAGACTTTTAGCTCATTCCATCGGGCATCACGTGATCTGCGGAGTGAAGCACCATCAGCAGCGGCACCACCACCACCACCACCGCCACAGGTCAAGGATAGACAACGATCTATTACTAAATCAAAAATTAAAAAGTCAGTTGATTTCTCAATAAATACTGACATTCATTCAAGCTTCAGCAAACAGTAAGTCTTTGTTCTTAGGATTAGGCAACTTCCTTCATTTGTATTATAGTGGTTAAGCTTATTAGGTTCTATACCTATGTTGATTTTAAATCATAAATAGTTCAGTAGTTCAGTCATTATAATTTACTTGAAATACCTTGCAGACTGTAGTCAGTAGACGTTCAGTTCAGTCAGACGAGAATAGACAGTGGGTGACCTCATGAATCCATGTGATATTTTAATCTGTTTATACGAAAGTAATTTTTAACTGTTACCCTTTGATTTTTTTGTCTATCCAAAAGGCAGAGTACTGTTGTAAGAATATAGGCGAGAGGACCTTTACCGGTTGAAGAATAACTCTAATTGCTTTGCCCAAGAATATCATACTATTTACTACTTATGTGTATCCGTATGAGTAGCAGCTCACCACATTACTACACAATGACTTCATGTCTAAATGACTGATTTGTGTAGTTTGGCATAATGTCTCCAAGTTTTAACGCAAACCACGACACTTTTGATATCTTGGTTAATGATGCTGATTGTGGTCCAAGGGAGCGACTGGCAGACATAAATGTAGTTAAACTACTATGACTCTCTTACTTACTGAAGAGTATGTGGAACAAGGCAGAAAAAGTAATCGACAAAGCTAAATTGCTATAAAACTGAACGTAGAAGAATTGATTATCAAGAAGGTGGATCAACGGATCTTATGCAATCTAATTATTAATTACATCATTTGGCTATCTGAGATAGCCGTAGTTTGGCAGGCTAGTATTTGTACTGGGTGATGATTGAAGGTGAGATGGAAATCTGGTCCGCGTTCGGATTCGAACCAGCGACCACCGGTTTACTGGCCCGGTGCTCTACCAAATGAGCTATGTGGTCTATCTGCTGACCAGGTTTTTATTTCACTTCAATCACCAAGGGTTTTCGCCCAACTACCATGTGAATTCGTGATACGATACTACCGCTTGTTCACACTAGCTGCCTAGTCAGGACTTCTCATCCCAATCGAAATGTGACTGAATTAGACTGAGAGGGGGAGCATTATATTGATTATCATTTTGATTATCTGAGATAGATAGTCGAAGTCTGGCAGACTAGTATTTATGCTGGTTTACATTGGTTTGCCTATTAAAAGTTTAGTTAACAAGACTACTTGACTTCAAAGATGTCAGAATGTGCGAACATCTGTGATCAATCTTATCTCATATATAATTAAAAGTTCCTAAGAAATGATTCCTGTCATCTCAAGAATGTCAGTCAGGTAGCTTACATATCCTTCGACCAAATAGTCAGAGACTTCGTCGACTACTTCCACGTCTTAGTTTGGTCACCCTTAGACTTCTCTCAATTCACTCCTTGTTCAGTAAACATTGTGCATCGAGGTATACAGTGGCTTAGTATGCGTCACACGTATATGTCCAGGCCACCTAAGTCGATGAAAGTTCACAACACCATTGATTGACCCTCTACACCTAACCTCGGCATGTTCTACATGGTGATTCGACCACATTACTAGAGAGACTACAAATGCATATGCGGCAGAAAACCTGTTACACTTTCGTTTCTTCTACCTTAAAGAGTCATGTCTCATAGATTTATGATAGGACAAAATGGAATGCTGTGCCAGGATACTCGTAGATACTCGATACTGATCTACAGGTTTTTCATCACAGGTGTCTTCGTAGCACTGCTCCCATATAGTTGAGTTACCATGTTACCAACGTATAGATTAGGCGAAATGTACTAGACAAAGAAAGTCGGTGGATGATGTGGAACTTCATCAACTGAGGTAGCTTGTACATATGCTGCACATGCTGAGCCACCACCTACCTTGACATGCGATTCTAGCAGAAATTGGATTAGGTTGAAAGAGGGTTCAGGATGACCGGATCCAGACGTGCCACCACTCTGTTAAGTTTCTGACTGTTGATCTAAGTCGTGTAGGGGTATGGAGTTGTAGACTGGTTAGTTGGGGTGGGGTTCCCTGAGATGGATGACTAAAATCAGTGGTTGAGGACTCTTGATGACATGACTGTAAACCGGTCACCCTTTGAAGTCTTCTAAAACTTGAAAGTTTTGACTGACCAAAGTTTTTGAATTCCTCATCCTCCCATACATCCGTGTCTACTTTGATATCAGTGTTCTCCTGTTCACTTGTTCTTTTTACGTTACTGTTAAGTGTGGTAAACTGCACTGATATGCTCCAGATTTGTAAACATGAGTGGTTTTTTTCTTCAAATACTTTGTGATGCTTGGATTCACCCATTATGTCAGTAATGCAGAAGTCAGGCGTAGAGTTCCCCTGAGGAGAAGATAATCAGTCGATCTGGTTGTGAACCTTCATCGATTCAGATAACTTGGACATATGATGCTTTACGTATATCTAGTCACTGTCTATCTCGTCACATGGTGTTGGCTGTTGTTGCTTCAAACTGGAAAAAGTTTGAAGGTAGCCAGACTAAAACGTGGTGTCAGTTTGTAGGATCTCTGATGATTGGTCTATGGGATGTAGAAACATGTATACTTCCATGTTGGAGTCCGATGTGAAAACCGAAATCGGAAACTCTAGATGGTATCTCTGAGAATCAATTTCAGTGGCACAGATACACTGACACATTTTGTTGTTGCTGCATCCCTTCTTTTATTCCTTTGGTGACTTTCTACTCCTTTTTGTCACCTTGTTCTTTGTTGTTTTTTTTATCACCCTCTACCTTGATGTGGTGATGTGATTGTATTTAGCTACTTCAACTTTCATGTAGTAACTCTAGGTCAGGTCCTATTGTGATACTGACTGTCTGATTCGCTTATGTTAACTGCTTGTAAACAGTTGAGGCAGGAAGAGTTCAACTAAATTGAAATCTGTGAAAATATGAATGGCTTTAAAGGACACCCAAGCAACTACTGAAGCAACCAGTCAGGCTTCGGTATTTCTCCTGGGAAGGTACTTTTCTATAAAATAAAGGTATGTTATTGGCTATCTCATTAGTTGCTAGGGTGGTCTTTAAAGTCATCCGAAAATATTCTTTATTACAAAGTGATTCTATGCCAAGTAATCATCATTCTCTGCATGACTATCTACTGTTTTCGATTCCATCCAGCTTTCTTTCATCTTGCTTTACTGATATGCGGTCTGGCAACATCATCCCAGCCTAGCACTTCCATGCCATACCTTCTCATTTCTTTTGCAATGTGTGCAGGCTTGCCAGCGAGCTTCATATATGGTACGGACATTCCATGTCCCTATTTTTACTTTTGCTTTGATCGAGAGAATAGAAGAGACATCATCCAATTGGCTTTTTGATGGCTTTCACCAGGTGGCGTCATTTCGTCTCTGATTTTAGCGAGGAATAAGTCAATTTCTATTTTTATATTTTCTTTGTGCCGTGAAGGTTTTCTTTAGTGATTGGATTGGTTTTGCTGGATAGGGTTGCTAGCTGTATGCCCAACCTTCCCTGTTTATCTGGGCTTATGACTGGCCAGTTACTAGTGAACTAGTTAACGAGGCAAGGTTTTACAAACAGATACAACCATTTTTCCAACTATAAACATCATTTAAAGTACATATATGTCTTTCAACTTGCTTATTCAATTTTTTTTTGTCGAATCTTAGCGACCACTTATCTTGAGTGATGAAATTTATTCCCCTCCATCTGAACTTTTACAATCTTCATCTTGTCTCTTCTAATGATTTCACATTTCTATTGATTTTTCCATCTGTGTGTGTGTGTGTGTGTGTGACAGGTTGATTTGATGCCGTTTTTGTAATAATCTTTTACGTTGAATAAAGTGATAAATTTGCAGATTACTTACAAACTGAATATAGTATGCTCATATTTATCACAAGTACCCAGCTATGAGGTTAATATTGTTTCTGTTGGAAACCATCCTGCAGCCAACATCACAAGTCGTAACCTCTAGCAAAAAAGTATCATGAACTGACGATACATACTACTACTACTACCACTACTACTTCTGAACACCTTGAGTAGTTTAAAACCACTTCAGTGTTTAGATCAGTCCGATCGGGCTGGCTGAGAAAAACCTACAGATCAATCTGAGTAGTTTTTAACTACTCATCAAGTTTTAGTATTATTGCTTGTATTATACCGTCGTTGATTGGACCGAATTGATCGGTCTCTATTGGCATATGGGCCCCTGTGTGGATGCCTCGATATTGCCTGTGTTTTAATTCTACGTGGTAATGATGGATAGTGGCCAGCAGTGGAATCTAGGATGTGCATTTCATCCTATTTCGGAATCGTCAGGTGGATGCGCAGGAGCCCATCTGCCAATAGAGACTGAACAATTCAGTTCAGTCAACGACTGTATAATACAAGCAATCATACTAAAAACTATACCTGTTGCACAAGAATTAGCTATCGTGGCTCGGTGGTCTAGTGAATGACTCTCTGGCGTTTGAAGTGATCGGCCTCGAGTTCAAATCCCGTCGGGAATAACATCACTTATTGGGAGTCAGGTACATCCACCTGACGAGCCCAACATAGAACGAAATGCCCATCCTAGATTCCATTGCTAGCCACTCTCCATCATTACTATTTACTCACCAAGTTGTTCAATAGCATATTTTGTTAATATTTTACTTTGTTACGTTAGTCTTAGCAATTATGTGGATAATAAATTGGGATGACGTCTCCATGGTATGTTTACAAAGAGATACTTAGAAGACAAGTATTCATTGTTCAATAATATCATTAGACAGTTTGTTTATATTGTAATTATTAGATGATAGTTGACAATATGAAGGAGAATCGATAATCTTTAAATTGTTTTTTTGTTTTATTATTTCTTTTTTATAGTACTTCTGTAAAATGTATCTCTGATGAATATAACACTCAGTCAACTGTTCCACTTATCATCGATAGATTTCAATGGAATGAATTAATTTCTCAAATGAAAATTAGTCAAAGTAAAGTGGAACGTCATTTAAAAGAGTTGGACAGTCATGAGAATAGTAATAATAATAATAATAATAATAATAATAATAATAATAATGGTGATAAGGTTGATGAAGATGTGAAATCAACTCATTTGGCTACATCTTGTGATCAATTAAAAAAGTTTCTTGGTGAATTGAAAGCTTATGATTTTCGTGTACATTCTATACAATCGATATTCATTCAATCAACTGAATACAATTCACTAGTTAGTAAACAAGATGATGAAGTATTGAATGAATTGACTAGTATTTGGCAGAGAACTATTTTAGCTACAAAACAATGGATAAGAAAACTACAATCTGTGAGTAAATTCGATTTTAATATTTTATAAACACATATTAATCAAATGAACACTATTAAAAACATTTATAAGACTATTTCACTTGTTTTGAGTAGATTCTCATCGATAAATTCTCTGACTGTTGGTCTGAGTCGTGTAGGAGGGGGAGGGGGATGGGGAGAGATGTAGACTGTCCAACTGGAGTCCCCGAGTCGAAAAGAAACATTGGTTGAGGACTCTTGGTAAAAATGACTGAAAATTGGTCAGAATGGCTTAAATGTATTCACTCCTTGACTATTTGCACTGATTGTTACCTTTATTCTTTCACATAGCTTCGTCTACTTTCATATCACGCCTTTTTCTATTCATCTATTCTTTGTAAACTACTATGAAGTGTGACAAATTGAACCGATGTACATGTGTGCCAGATTCTTCATTGATTTTATCTGTGACTAACTAGCAGTTAAGTCACTCACAGCCTGAACGAAAACTTCTTGAACTGTTTTTGATATGGTTTTACCGGTTCGACTCACCTGATTAGATCAGATTGATCTGAATAAGAAACATTGCTGGTTTCTAGCTGTTAATACCGCACTCATAACTAAGCAAATTGTGCACTTTTTGAGCTGACTTATTTGACATCAATTAATAATAATAATAATAATAATAATAATAATAATAATAATAATAATAATAATAATAGTCGCTTTATTCCAAACAATATGCATGACAGTATAGAATTCTCAGCATGTAACTGTTCAACAAATTCACTCCCAGAACAATACTTTCAGACAAAACGGTTATTGCATCTGCATGATGTTAATAGTAACAGTATTCACGGCAATAATGTGAAACAGCCAGCTGGCTCTGGATGTGTATCCGATCCATAATGCAGAATCAATAGAAATTGAAGTGTAATTTTGGTGGTGGTACACACTGATTTATTGCCCTGCAAATATTTCTGCATTCAATCATCTAGAGGTTTATTCATAAGTCACTAGGATAAAGGTAATATAGTTCCATATTAGATTTGTTTATTTGATATAAAGCGCACAGTGATACAGTATTATTTACTTGATTACGTTTCGAGCATAAATTATTGCTCATAATCATATCAATGTAATCACACTTCTTTCGACATCTGATCTTATAGTCCTGTCACCTGATCTCTCTTTGTTTTTTTGTTTTTTGATTGGTAGTAAAGTTTTCCATATCTCTGGTATAGGTGTTGCGTCATTCCTATTACATGTGTTAGGTGTGGATTCGATGAACAAAGATTCAGTAATTAATCTCTCTCTCCACCTAGCTATATTAGACTTAAGTACAGTGGTTTTGTCCCATCCTATTGTGTGGTTGTGTGTTAATGAATGTAATGCAATGGCTGAGTGTTTTTCTAGGTTATTGATCTTATTGGGGTCTGTCGTTCTATGTTTAGCTAAATTCCTATGTTCTGTTAATCTAACTGACCCCGACCGGCTAGTTTGACCTATGTATTTGACTTCACAGTCATTACATGGAATTTGGTAGATTATATTATTTTGCTTAATTGGTTCTATCGGATCTTTTAGCCGACAAAGCTTACCTCTAAGTGAGTTTGTTGGTTTAAATGCCACCCTAATTCCAACCTTGTTGAGAATCCTACGTATGGTTGGAATTAGGGTGGCATTTAAACCAACAAACTCACTTAGAGGTAAGCTTTGTCGGCTAAAAGATCCGATAGAACCAATTAAGCAAAATAATATAATCTACCAAATTCCATGTAATGACTGTGAAGTCAAATACATAGGTCAAACTAGCCGGTCGGGGTCAGTTAGATTAACAGAACATAGGAATTTAGCTAAACATAGAACGACAGACCCCAATAAGATCAATAACCTAGAAAAACACTCAGCCATTGCATTACATTCATTAACACACAACCACACAATAGGATGGGACAAAACCACTGTACTTAAGTCTAATATAGCTAGGTGGAGAGAGAGATTAATTACTGAATCTTTGTTCATCGAATTCACACCCAACACATGTAATAGGAATGACGCAACACCTATACCAGAGATATGGAAAACTTTACTACCAATCAAAAAACAAAAAACAAAGAGAGATCAGGTGACAGGACTATAAGATCAGATGTCGAAAGAAGTGTGATTACATTGATATGATTATGAGCAATAATTTATGCTCGAAACGTAATCAAGTAAATAATACTGTATCACTGTGCGCTTTATATCAAATAAACAAATCTAATATGGAACTACATTCTACCACAGTGCCCAAGTTTTTCACTTATATTAAAGGTAATATATTTCACATGGATATTTTATGCATGATGAAGTATTAGTAACATTCGTTTCCATTTGATCTTTTCACTTACTGAAAGAAACGATTATATGGAGATATTTTATGCAGTAGTCATCAAATATTGTACTTCATTTCCTCTTCTACTTCTATCTCCATTTGCTTTTAATACTCCTACATCATCTTTTGGGTTTCTCTTAGCAGAATCTTTACCTATTACTGCTAACTATCTATGATTTTTGCCGCCTTCTCAACATATACTACTTATAGCCATTTTGATCACCAACGCCCACTACAATACAATGTCTTCTCAAATTGACTTTTTTTTTTTTTACCTTTTCAATAACTAACTGGTGTCCCCCCTACCACGGGATATTTTTATTCATTTTCACAATATACACATAGTTGAGAATAACTCACTCTGTTACCAGTGTACCATCTCTACCACTAATATTTTAAATAAAGTTTAATAACTTTTCTATGTTAAATGTATTGGCCAATTTACCATTATGGTATATAATCAATAACTCACATAATTTTCTAATTAATACTAAATGATCAATTAGAAAGATATGCACATATTGTCGTCTGATGACCTTGTTGTTTAAATGTGTGCATTCAAAATGTATGGAATGCTTAGATAATAAATATATATAGTCTATATATGTAGTTTTTAGTTTATTGATTTACTTGTGCACTAATCAATTGATCAAGTTGATTGATCGATCGATCGTATCACTAGTAATGATAGTAGTACTGCTACTATTCATCTTCATATGACTTAATTAAATAAAACTGTATAAATTATTTATTATCCGTTTAAATTAACCATTGATTCTTATAGAATTAAGTAAGCCAGATAGTTATAGTTGTGTTATGATTGGAATATTAGTGTTAGCCACTATCAAGTAAACTATAAAAATGAATATTCCAGCAACATCAAGGTATCTGTATTGGAGACTGTATGTCAAAAGAGGTCAACAACTGATACCCATTACACACAAGAGGTGGCGATCGAGCCCCTAGTGGCTTAGTAGACAACACCTAGGCGTTTGAAACGATGGATACTAGGTTCGAGCCCTAGTAGGAATAACATCACTTGCTGGGTTGCAGGTACACATCTAGCTGACGAGCCCAAAGTAGGAAGAAATGCGGACATCGTGGATTTTCTTACTAGCCACAGTTAAGTAAATATCCTGGTAGTATTGGCTCAACTAGTCACAGTTTTTTGAATGCATGAGAGAAATGAAGTACATGATGTTTGTATGCTTCTTCAATTATTTCACCACGAAGGTTGTGCGAATGATTATGATTTATAGCGAATAAGAAATTCTCCAGAGCAAGGAGTGATTGAAAGTTGTATACCCAGTGAATTATGCTAATTTTGTAGCATGATTAATTTCATCGAATGAAATAAGCTAGGAACACTTATAGAAACTCAAAGAGCACTGAGCAGCTATCTATTCGGCTCTAGTTTAGAACGTGTCATTCCCTAACCAGCTCTCACAACAAATGCATGTTATCCATCGGTTAAGTCATGAGTGATGGTGGATGCTACTGTGTAACAACCAGCTCTTGATACATTTCCGTCTAGCTTGTAGGTGGGTGGGTAGGTACGTTGTTGCAGGGGATATGTAGAACAGTGTGAGTTTATTGGTGGTGGCCACGAGAATCTGGAAGGGAAGAGACGAAGAGAGAAAAAGGTGAGCAGATGACTTAGCAAGTATATAGGATGTACTTACACTTAATAATAAGAGATAACAGTCAAACGGTAGAGCTTGACAACGAAAGAGGTGAGACAGTGCAGAAATCGAGACCTGGAAGGTGAATAAGTAACATTTCTAATGCTGTCATACTACAAGTGGTTAATATCGTGAAGTTGCTACTTTTTAAGTCAAAGTTTCATGTTACAATGCTAAATTGAGCCTTTTCATTTCAGTACTGTAGAATACCATTTGATAGAAAGAAAGTTAGAAGAAACTCTATTAGTTGACTTAAACAGAGAATAAGATCTTGAAGGTTTCTATACAAGTTGGTCTCATAGTTATTTCCGAGCACTAGATGATCTCCTACACCGGTAACCATTTGATAAACTCAAAGAACATTATCATTATTCAGTTATTCTGGTTACAACTGACTTTCAGTAAGGCTAGATCAAGCCTTAAAGACTAATCATAGATATTTTGTTTACTCTTTTGAATGTCAAACCTACGAAGTTAAACTATTTTTCTTATAGTGTTGTGCTATTTATTAAGTTTTTCTCATTAATAGAGTAAGTAGTATAACTTACAGTACATTTTAATGATTGAATAATCTATACTCCATAGAGTTGTGTAGAAAAATAGTTGATCTTAAAGAAGATATCTATTTAAAAAAGATATTGTTCTAGTTTCTTATCTTGATTTCTTTTAAAATATTAATTAGGCTTTCATTTATGGTAAAAGTTTAAATCATTTAATTGATGAATTTCAAAAACATTTGGAGTATACAGAAAATCGATTAAATCATTTCAATAATAATAATGATAGATTTTCAAGTCAATTATACTCAAATAAAATTCTACATAATAGTAATGATATGAATCTTTCTGGTAATGGTGATTCATATATCGATATATTGAAGATATATAACAATTATTCAACATGGTCAACAGTATCCTCGTCATCATCATTGTTGTTGTCGTGTATACGTTTGTTGGAGATCATCAAATTACGATTAACTGATTGGCTTACTTATACTACTCTATTATTATTACCGATGGATAGTGATAATATTCGTTTAGAAGTATTAAAAGGTTCAATGAATTCATTGAATGACTTCAATTTAATGGATGATGATGATGATGATGATGATGTAATTAAGAATGGTCTTATCAATTTACAAAATCATTTTTTTTATCTATTAAAGAAAAATGAATGTCTACTTACTGAATATATTGTATTGTATAATTCTATCATTGGAAGTGATAAACAACAACAGGGGATAATAATCTCTTCAATGAATACAACCACACTAAGAAGTCGTTCAAATTCAGAAAATTTAACATATTCTTCAATAGTATATAATTATTATAACAATGTAGAATCAAATAGTCAAGATAATGAAAGAATATTGAAGGCAAAAAATTATTCACAACGATGTAATCCACGTTTAAGTTTAATTGACTCCATGTGTTCTACAAATGTTGATTCATTTCATTATCCATATCTAAAGGTAAATTGATAAAGTTTCCGTTTCATTTACTGATACTTTTAATTAATATACTAGGTCGAATTGTTCGATTTCTGTTGGTAGATAGACTCCTTCCTATGCAGAGATCTTCATACTACCCTATCATTCATTATACTACAGTTTACTTAGTAGTGACTGGTGGAGGAATGCATGATACGCATTACGTCCTATCTAAGATTAGTCAAATAGATCTACCTTCACCCTCAGTCAGTGATAGTGTTCCAAATGACACTGGAGACTCGATTACCTGTCTCTTCAAACTCCAAAATGGTATCCAGGGTACACGTTTAGTTAGACACTGACTTCAGGCTGCATTAACTGCCGTATCACAGTGATCTTAGTGTTAAGATATGACAGTTATTCTGATTTCAAACTGAAGTCTATCAAAAAGATTCCCGATAAATGTTTGACTTAGACGATGAATATATTCAGGTCATTTGAAAGTGCATAGCTAACTTGGAATACTACTCATTGTATCACTATTTTTAAGGATTCTTAAAGTGTTTATAATGTATAACAAATTGTTTGTATGTGTGCGAAAAATCAGAATGTGTTCTATTGTAACTTGGACTCAATTGTTTTGATTGTCTATGCTTTGAAGTTTCTTTAGCGATTGCATTGGTTTTACGGGGTAGGGTTGCTAGCCCTATGCCCAACCTTCTGTCTTTATTTGGGCTTACTACCGGCTAGTAACTAGTGAACTAGTTAACCACGCTGAGGTTGATTGTTTTGATAACTATAAGTAAATATTTAAATAAAAAAAATATTCATTGACATTTAAAGATGTTATTTATTTTACATTTATGTCCTCCTAAGTTGTATATGTTGACAGTTAAGTAGTATTCAATAGCATTTCGAGTGAAGGGGTTCTCTGATTTCTTATTTCCTTTATCAGTTTACTATAAAGTGGATTATCAATGACACTTTGAAAAGATTAGGGTTGTTCATTGTTGAAAACTTCCACAAGTTGAAAAAATATCTATTCTGATGCTTTTTATCTTCAATATTTGTTAGATATAGACGATTTCAATATTGGGATGAAATCGAATATTACAATATCATATTCAAAAATACTAACAGGAAAACAACACATATCTTCGCTGACTTACAAATGGATATTGGACGAAAAAAGTTATTGTGGAATGAAGTAGAGAAGAAAGGTGAAGGACACCCTTTGCTGATTTTTATTCCAAGTAGGATTGTTGGCGTTAGCAATAGTAACACAATTAAACAAATGATTAGTAGATATTGCATCTTCCTGATTGTGGTGGACTGGATCATGCAACAAACAGTGAGGAGCGAGAAGGGGATACGCTGAAACCGGGAAAAGAACCTAGAACATTTAGATTTCGTCGATGACTGGTGTCTAATGTCTTGTGGCACAAACTCAAAGACCTACAGACGAAAACTAACAAGTTGACAGAAGAGGCGGGGCGAGGCAGAGAAGGAAGATACGACTTCCCTCAGGTGAACGTAGGCAGAGAAGACAGAGGTGATGAAGGTACCCAAACCAACAACAACAACAACAAGCTGCCATCACCATCAACGAGAGAAACTTAAAGGAACTAGCCTCTTCCACCTACCTAGGGCAAGGCAGCATCGTTTCAACTACAGGTGGCGGCACAGATGAGGACGTGAAAGTAGCCACGACCGAAAAGGCAGCAAGACAGGCGTTCATTAACCTGAAACCAGTGTGGAGATCTACTCCACTGCACTGCACTGCACTTCACTTCACTTCACTGCACTCAGAATAAAGCGTGAACAACATCCAGATTTTCAACACTAAGTTGGTGATGTCAGTGCTTCCATGTGATGGTTGAGAGACTTGACGTGTTACGAAAAGCATTTGCAACAAACTACAGATATTCATGAACAACTGCCTACTCTGTCTTGTCAATGAAGTTCAGATGGCCAGAATAATAAGAATAAGCAACAAGGAACTCTTGCTTGTGGGCAGTTATGGAGCCAGGTTGAAAAGATTGTAGAGAAGGGAGTGGACTGGAGACGTGCTACTGAATCCCTATGTCCACTAGGAACCCAAGGGACGAATAATGATGATAATAATAATAAGATATTGCAAATCGGTTCATATTGGCTGTGAGATATGCACAATGTAAGAAAGGTAGACGGACTCGATCGTAGATGTCTTCTAAACAATGCTGTTGTGAAACGGTTCACTTTATTGGTGTTATCGATAACTGGAGTCATTATTCATTCATTAATCTCGTTCTCTTTCTCTTTCTCTGCTATAATAAATTGTAATAGTTTGAATCAGCGTACGAACTTCTACGTTATTTTTGTCATAAATTTATAGTTATTCAATTTGGAGATGGTATTCATCATGGACTGACATCAGTTGGAGAACCATTGAAAATGTCAGAGCATTGAACATTTGTTTCATCCCCGTATGGGACTTCTCAGCTGTGCATACACGTGACCTAGCCAGGGGTCGAACTCAAAACCTTCAGGTTTCCAGGAGAGCATGTTGTCTTTGAGCCACTTGATTAGAATCCAATAGTCAACATTCTTCTGCTATATGTTAATTCATGACAATAACGTGACCTCTATCCAATATCATCGTTGAGTTAGGAAAATGCTCGCCTCTGATGAATACCAACTTGTAATACTTATATTATGCTATTTATGTACTTACCTTCTGGTTCCTCAAGTTATTCTGAGTTATCCTGATATTTTCTCCTTTACGTTGACATTTTATCTGTGTATTGTTTAGAACTATCTTAACTCTAATCCTTTAAACTGTTGTACAAGGGTTTATATTGTGTGTTTTCCTTGGTTATCTCGTCACCTCTGCATGTGGGATAGATTGTCGTTGCCAATTGTTTTGCCTTTCCAGAGCTTTCCAGATTACTATTTATTCTGAACGGGTTGTTGTCAGAGCCGGTGTTGTGGCTGACAAACGTGTTTCAACCTTTTAAAACTTTATTCCTTTTCTGTTAGGTCTTTGAAACAAAATACTATGTAGAGGAACAGATAGAGACATTGATTAGTCACTGGCAAGCAATTAATTTCATTTTATCTAGTCGTGAATGCTGACCGAATCCAATCGATCATTTTGCAATGTGGCCCGAATAGCTCGATGGTAACATCACTGAGTAGTACAACACTGGGTGACGCGAGTTTGAATCTCAAGTAGGACATCAGTCCCGTAGAGATTACAGATACACACTGCTTGACAAGTGCCAACAAGCAAACTGTGCTTCCTGCCGATCGCCTCCAACCAACTAACATCCTTCAGCAAGACAACAATAACTCGGAAAGCAATGTATTACCTATATCCTCATCGGAGTTACGAGGATACACCATTGTTTCAATACTAGTTACCAGTTAGATAACTTTCTTTAGTTGTTTACGCCTAATGAAATTCATAATTTCTAACTTTGCCTAATTTTTCTTTCTAGGGAAGTAGTCTTCCAAACACCCTGGATACAGATGACAACATAGAAGATTTGGTAAGACTTTAATTGTAAAACCACCTTATTATTATTATTATTATTATTATTATTATTATTATTATTTATTGATATACTTGTAGTGCTCCGTTGTTTTATTGGATCTAATTGTTCGACATTAGACAATAATGAGGCATTCGCATAGGAGCCCATATGCCAATAAAGGTTGAACAATTCAACCCAATGAAACAAATATATCAATAAATAGTAATTACTAATACTCGTTGTACAAGAAGTGGCTATCGTGCCTCCGTGGCACAGTGGGTAACGCCTTGACGTTTGAATCGATTAGTACGAGGTCCGAGTCTCAGTGGGAACAACATCACTCATTGATGTGCAGGTACATCCAGCTGACGAGTGAGTACCAAATAGAATGAAATGCCCGTCTTAAATTCGTCAGCTAGCCACAACTAAGAAAATTACCATTAATATTATTATTGCCATCTAGATACACTAACTTGAGGAATCTGGTAGATCAGTTTACCTACAATAGCACAAAATAGAAAGAAAGTTGGTTTATTCAAGCTTGACAGTTTAATTAAGCTTAGAAATGAATCATAAAAATGAGTGAGAAAGTCGCTTCTGGATAAACATTTCTGCTTTGAATTTTTATATTACACAGGTTCAGCAATGCAAAGCAAACTTTTTTCTCTCGTTTGTATTTTATTCGATAGAAAATAACACACAAATAATTCTATAACTAAGTTTCTATTCATTAACAAGAACAAGGCATGTATCAGCGAAGAAATATTTCTATTCAACGACTTCATTATCAAGCTGTACAGTCGTATTTATACTGAATAAAGTGATAGATAATTACACTAAAAAGTTGCTCAGTCAATATGTAAAATATACAATCGGTGTAGGTGGTGGAAGAGATAGAAAATGGGTTGTTGAAAAAGGAGGAACGAATTTATAACAAGTGGTGAGATAAGCAACAAGTGCTGACAAAGAATTGTAAAACGGTGATAATTGAACTCAAACATACAAAATAGGTCAATGAATAAGGTATGAATTGATATTAAATAGTGAAATATGGATCAAATGTTATCAATGAAATGAAAATTGGTGATAATGGTGATTAATAGAGAAGAGAAGTATACCAAAGTGAAGTGAACTGAAATTGACAAAATCAACAAAATGAATTGTTAAGGTCAAGGTAGAGAAAGTGGTTTCACAAAACGTTTTTGAGTGTAAAGTTTCGGTTTTTGTTCATGTATAGAGAGAGAAGACAGAAGTGATGAAGAAACCACACCACCACCACCACCAACAACAACAACAACAAGCTCCAACCACCATCAATGGGAGAAACTTAAAGGAAGTAACCTCCTTCACCTATCTAGGAAGCACTGTTTCAACTTCAGGCAGCACAGGCACAGACGAGGGCGTCAAAGTCAGAATCGGAAAAGCAAGATAGACCTTCATTAGACTGAAACCAGTGTGGAGATCTTCTGCACTCAGCATGTGGAACAATATCCGGATTTTCAACACCAACCTCAGTCAAGTCAGTGCTTCTGTATGGTTGAGAGACTTGGCGCGTCACAAAAGGGATTTCCAATAAACTACAGACATTCATCAACAACTTCCCCCTACGCTGGCTCGCTACTGAAGATCAGATGGCCAGAAAGAATAAGCAACAAGGAGCTCTGGGAACGAACCAACCAAGAACCTATCGCTCAACAAATATGCAGGAGGAAGTGGAGATGGATTGGGCATACACTGAGAAGGCCGACTGGGGACATCACGCGTCAGGCCAGTTACTCGAGTGGGATCCCCATGGGAAGCGATGAGTTGGACGTCCAAGGGTGACATGGAGGAGATGGTGTGAGAAGGAAATGAGAGCTTGTGGGCATTCGTGGAGCCAGGTTCAAAAGATTTCAGAGAACAGAGTTTACTGGAGACGTGCTACTGAAGCCCTATGTTCCATTAGGAACCCAAGGGACTAATAATAATAATAATAACAATAATAATAATAGCTAATGCTTCAGTTATGCATACGTGGTGGAAACGTAAACCTTTAGCGTAGTTCAATTTAACTTTGTAAATTACTTTAAAGGATGAATCTCAAGGTGCTGAATGTCCCAATTCAACAAGGTGTTCACACATGAATGAAGTCGTTTTCCTTTGCTCACCTCTGGTAAGCCAAACCGGGTAGTGTTCAACAACACGTTTTCGGAGGGCACGTCCAATATAGTCAACTCCACAGGAGCATATAAACTTGTAGATTGTCAGCCAAATATTGTAAGATTGTAAAAGCATGAGTTGTCGATTGGTATTCCTTATAAGCAAACTTTGTGCATATTCGTGTATGAAAACTGATTGATATGAATAACTGTAACTGACTCACTTCGATCAACAGTGCTAACTAGCTGAATCAAGATGATCTTAGTAGTAGTGGACTACACTACGATTTCGTTCATTTAATGCTGAACTCATCAACAGTGTACTTGAATTGATTCAACTCAGAGAACCGAAGTGTCAAACCAACCGAGTTCTGTTTAGTCAGATGAATGAGTCCAGGTACATCGCTGTTGAACTTGACCTCATAATGATTGAAACTGTAGTTGAAGTGCTTACAACACCTTGATCTGACTTATGATCACTACTGATCGAGATGAGAGTTGTCTACAGTTATTCGCATCAATCAGTTTCTATCTGCAAAGGTTGTCTAAGCTTGTTGATTAATAGTAGTCTCCGAGTATGAAGATCATATGTTTCATTGATATAAGAGTAAAACTTGGAGACTATTTTAGCATATTATTTCATAATTAGTTGATTTATTAGATTATATCATAGTACTAAGTGAACGTAGAGAAGACAGAGGTGATGAAGATACCCAACAAACAACAACAACAACAAGCTGCCATCACCATCAACGAGAGAAACTTAAAGGAACTAGCCTCTTCCACCTACCTAGGGCAAGGCAGCATCGTTTCAACTACAGGTGGCGGCACAGACGAGGACGTGAAAGTAGCCACGACCGAAAAGGCAGCAAGACAGGCGTTCATTAACCTGAAACCAGTGTGTAGATCTACTCCACTGCACTGCACTTCACTTCACTTCACTTCACTGCACTCAGAATAAAGCGTGAACAACATCCAGATTTTCAACACTAAGTTGGTGATGTCAGTGCTTCCATGTGATGGTTGAGAGACTTGACGTGTTACGAAAAGCATTTGCAACAAACTACAGATATTCATGAACAACTGCCTACTCTGTCTTGTCAATGAAGTTCAGATGGCCAGAATAATAAGAATAAGCAACAAGGAACTCTGGCTGGCTGGCTGGCTGGCTGGCTGGCTGGCTGGCTGGCTGGCTGGCTGGCTGGCTGACTGACTGACTGACTGACTGACTGACTGGCAACGAACCAACGAAGCAAGAAGCTGTCGCTCAACAAATATGCAGAAGGAAGTGGAGATGGATTGGGCATGGACTGAGAAGACGATTTGGGGACATCATGTGCCAGGCAAGGCACTCGAGTGGAACCCAGATGGGAGATGACGAGTTGGGTGTCGGTGACGAGGTTGACATGGAGGAGATGGTGTGAGGAGGAAATGAGAGCTTTTGGGCAGTAGTGGAGCCAGGTTGAAAAGATTGTAGAGAAGGGAGTGGACTGGAGACGTGCTACTGAATCCCTATGTTCCACTAAGAACCCAAGGGACAAATAATAATAATAATATCACAATACTGTTTACTGGACATGATATGACTATGGACAGTAAATTGTGTCCAAAAGGTGTATCCCAGTAAATAATACTGTCCTATTGCGTGATACATGTAATAAGTCAACTAAAAGTGGAGTCATCTACTTGGTGACTAGCAGATGGGTCCAGGATGTGCGTTTCATCGAATTTGGAACTCGTCAGTTGGGCGTACCTACACTCCTATATGAGTGATAGCGTTCCCACTACGACTCGAGGGCTATCTACTAGGCCACCGAGGGATGAGAGCCATCTTTTGTGAAAAGGGGATTTGGTACTTGTAATCTCCCGTTGCCCTACTGGATTGAATTCTTTGACCTTTGTTGAAGTTATAACCTAGAGCCATGCAATCATATTTATATTTATCACATAAAGATAAAAGTTTATTTTTGAGTAATAGGGCAGACGTGTTGCATCATTATGGTAACAAAGCCAAAAATGAAGATTGGATTCTAAAAACAGAGGGAAGTTGCGTAATGTAACTTGTAGGATGACTCAAATCACGTGAAAGGTAGGCGATTTGGCAACTACTGAAAACTACTATTTGGCATGTAAGAGAGTGATTGTAGTTGCTATGTTAATAAAACTATTGCAATCAGCAATTAGGTTTCCTACTTTAACTGAAAATGTAATTTATTTTTTCAGACGAATGGACTGACATCAGTTGGGGAGCCACTGAAAACATGGGAGCACTGGATAGCTGTTTCGTCCTAGTATGGGATTCCTCAGCAGTGATAGTCGCACTGCATCATGAATTGACAGAATTTAGAAACTGTGAACCACTGAAAACTGACTCAATTGCTGAATGGTTAACGCATTCGCCGTGAAGGTCGTGAGTTCGAGATCCCTAGCCGGGTCACAGGTGCATACTGCTGAGGAGTCCCATTCTAGGACAAAACAGTTGTCAAGTGCTCCCAGATTTTCAATGGTTCCTTAAATAATGTCAATCCGTGATGAATATACTACCTCTGAGAATGTAATTGTTTTATGCTTACTAAAATGAAGCAATGTAATTGATAGCTTCATTGGTTGCTAGAGTGTAACCTTTAAACTCATATCAATGCATCTACGGATACTTGTTATTAGCATACATATTTATAGTCATTTATGATTGTAATTAATGATGCAACCTGTCTATGTGAATGTGTGTGTGTGTTCTTACACAAATTTAGGTTTCAGTCACATCACATTCTAGTGTCTCTATGGTCTCTGACTCAGCAGAAGAATTAACCAAGTAAACAACCTAACAAACAAGATAAACAGATGACTTAATTGCCACAGTTTTTTGTTGTCTCATTCTGTTTATACTGCTTGTCTGTTGCTTTCATTATTTTCGCTGTTGCTTTACGTGTACACTTCGTATTTGTTGTTGCCGTTGTTGTTACTGGGGGCTTTTTTTTTTATTGTTGCTCATTTACATACGCATTCATATTACTTAAGTGTCATTATTTGTATTTACTTAGTGTATCTTTGAATTATCAAGTGTTTGCGATTCAACTGTTTGTCTCGGTTCAACTTGTGGCTTTGGCGATTGATGAGTTTTATTCCTAAAGGATAGATGATATACACTCATTTGGTTTAGTTAGTTGGGCATCATTGATCAGAGCAAGGATATGTTCGTCAACTGCAGTCAGTCAGTGGATTGGTCTTCTAGTCGTTCATTCAGCTGTTATTTGCGTACTTTCGGTTTGGTTTAGTTCAACATACAACCGGACATTACTGTGTAACAGTTCAACTTCCTACAACTTATGTGAGCGCAATAAGATAAAAGGTAAAAGAAAGAAACAGAAAAATAATAACAATGTAATCGAAAATCGTAGAAAGTAACGAAAGAAATAAAAGGAAGTTATACTGGGTGATGATTAAAGGTGAAATAAAAATGTGGACTGCAGCCGGAGTCGGACTAGCGGCCACCGGGTTACCGGCCCGATGCTCTACCAAATGAGCTACGAGGTCAGACTACTGATCAAATTTTGATTTCAATCTAATCACCATGGGTTTTGCCCGACTACTATTTGAATTCATGATGCGATACTACCACCTGATCATACTCACACTGGGTGCCTAGTCAGGACTTCTCATCCCAATAGAAATGTAACTGAATTAGAATGAGAGGGAGAGGATGATATTGATTATCATTTGATTATCTGAGATAGACAGCCGTACTTTGGAAGACTAATATTGATACTAGGTGATGATTGAAAGTGAAATGAAAATTTGAACCTTCACCTTCAATCATCACCCACTATGTGAATACCATGGCTATCTCAGATAGTCAAATGATAAAAGGAGGTTAAGGAAACAATGAAGTGTGTTATAATTATTGAGATGCATTTGGGCTACTAAGATAGATCCTATGCCTAACACCCTAGAGTTTCTAACTATCGATTTCAGTGATTATATCAATCGCAACCTATAAGTCTATATTTCCGTGTACTCCTCAAGTCAACAGTCAGAGTCTTCATGAACTGATGTCATCTTGTGTTCTAGTCACCTTTAATCTTTTTTCCAACTTGAAGCTACTTCAGACGACATTGTTCAATGAAGTAGATGATAGATGACCGGACATAGTATCACCTTCAACAACCAGGTTTCACAAACACAAGTATATGTTATGATGCTTTTACTCAACAAGCTTACAATGTGAAAACAGTCCTTGTCTTATATCATTCCCATCTAAGGCTTGAAATTGTCCTAAAGCATGGTTTCTTTTCTAGCCTGTATTTCTGCTATTTCGTGTTTATCTGTCTATATATATGTATGTATGTGTGTATATGTGTATTTTGTGTATACATCGTGAACACATACTCATGTGTTTATCCAGAATGTTTACTTTTAGCAATTCTGTAAACATTTCAATGTAAACATGATTTTATTTGAATTTTAATCATCTTGCCAAATTTTACTATAATTTGACTGCATATTCGTGTCGAAATCAACTAATCCGTTTACTTTACTCTTTGGATATTTTATTTCTGGTGTTTATTATTATTATTTGCCCCTTGGGTTCTTAGTGGAACATAGGGATTCAGTAGCACGTCTCCAGTCCACTCCCTTCTCTACAATCTTTTCAACCTGGCTCCACTACTGCCCAAAAGCTCTCATTTCCTCCTCACACCATCTCCTCCATGTCAACCTCGTCACCGACACCCAACTCGTCGTCTCCCATCTGGGTTCCACTCGAGTGCCTTGCCTGGCACATGATGTCCCCAAATCGTCTTCTCAGTCCATGCCCAATCCATCTCCACTTCCTTCTGCATATTTGTTGAGCGACAGCTTCTTGCTTCGTTGGTTCGTTGCCAGTCAGTCAGTCAGTCAGTCAGTCAGTCAGTCAGTCAGTCAGTCAGTCAGTCAGTCAGTCAGTCAGCCAGTCAGTCAGTCAGTCAGTCAGTCAGTCAGCCAGCCAGAGTTCCTTGTTGCTTATTCTTATTATTCTGGCCATCTGAACTTCATTGACAAGACAGAGTAGGCGGTTGTTCATGAATATCTGTAGTTTGTTGCAAACGCTTTTCGTAACACGCCAAGTCTCTCAACCATCACATGGAAGCACTGACATCACCAACTTAGTGTTGAAAATCTGGATGTTGTTCACGCTTTATTCTGAGTGCAGTGAAGTGAAGTGAAGTGCAGTGCAGTGCAGTGGAGTAGATCTACACACTGGTTTCAGGTTAATGAACGCCTGTCTTGCTGCCTTTTCGGTCATGGCTGCTTTCACGTCCTCGTCTGTGCCGCCACCTGTAGTTGAAACGATGCTGCCTTGCCCTAGGTAGGTGGAAGAGGCTAGTTCCTTTAAGTTTCTCTCGTTGATGGTGATGGCAGCTTGTTGTTGTTGTTGTTGCTGGTGGTGGTGGTGGTGGTGGTGGTGGTGATGGTGTTGTTGTTGGTGGTGGTTGGGTACCTTCATCACCTCTGTCTTCTCTGCCTACGTTCACCTGAGGGAAGTCCTGTCTTCCTTCGCTGCCTCGCCTCGCCTCGCCTCTTCTGTCAACTTGTTAGTTTTCGTCTGTAGGTCTTTGAGTTTGTGCCACAAGTCATCGACGAAATCTAAATGTTCTAGGTTCTTTTCCCGGTTTCAGCGTATCCTCTTCTTCCCTCTCCCCAGTGTTTGTTGCATGATCCAGTCGAGTCGACCAGAATCAGGAATATGATGAGTGACAGTAGACAGCCTTATCTTAATCCCTCCTGTTTTCACTTCAAAGGCATCATTGAGCTTCCCATTGTGAATTACTTGGCATGTAGCATCATGTAGCATATGGCTGCTGTTGAACGAGTTTGACAAAGGTTTGTGGCACTAAGACTGTAGTGTTGGAGCAGTTGCCAAATTACTTCTCGGTTGACGTTATCGAAGGAAGGCAGGCAGGCAGGCTTTTTCAAAGTGGATGAAGTTGAGGTAAAGATCTAGTTGACTGCCATTCTATGCAGTGTTCTATGACGATGTGTATCCTAGCGTAGCGTAGCGTTGCGTTGCATTGCAATTTGATTCGCCGATGATTTGTACTTCATGAATCCAGCCTATTCTTGTCATAATTTTGAGTCCGGCGCATGCTTTGGTCTGTGTTCCTGGTGTATATTGCATCAAAATACTCTATTCTTGGTGCTCCAGATGATAATTGATTGTTGAACAACTTGGCCTTTAATTCAGCAGTGTGATGAGAAGGGCATCTATCAGGTTTAATTGTATTATAGACGATTTTATAGGAGAAAGCAAGATTTGATATGACTTACTTGTACGCTTAACTTTTGACGGATATACTAAGCGATACCAGTTTATTTCTGTGTTATTTGAAGGATGAGTTAGCGGAATGCTTTCATTTTAAGAGTGTAATGAAAAGACTTTTGAAGTATTCTACACTCATTTTTTAAAAATCTGGGCTGTTCAACGAAGTATGTTTATATTTCAAGAATAGTGAAACTTTACAATCGATTGACTACCGAATATATTATATTTTTACCTACGATTAACATCTACAACCTTATAGTTTCTAAAAGCATTTATGCTAGTTAGATATGTAAAACATTTAGATAAGAACGATCATTGGGAGATAATGGGATGTAATCATTGGTCAGTCTTGTCTAGAAAACGAATTACTTAATGGGCATTAAGCCAGTGAATGACAACACTGCTCAGACCAACAGTCAGGGACTTTATGAACTGGTGCGACGTCTTAGTTTAGCCACGCTGAACACTTTCAACCTAATCCAACTTCCCCTAGTTTTGCAGGTGAGGTAGCTGGTGGCTGGGTATATGCAGCATATGTTCAAGCTACCTTGATCACTGAAAGTCGTCATCAATCGACTTGCCTTCTGTGCCTACTATACTTCATCTAACCTCGATGACATTTGAGTACAATACTTTTTACAGTGTAGTCGGTCCTTTCGGCAAATTTACATGTAAACAAATTAGTCGTCAGCACTGGCTAAAATTTCGAGTGTGTTCTCTAAACCACTTCAAATGACTCTATGGTGCGCACTACATTTTCTTACCAATTCTTAAACACAGTGCAGTCCTAAAGGCGTTTGAACCACCGAAGAAACATCAGTTTCCTGATAGTTGCAGCTATGCCTCCATGATAAGTGCTAAGAAAGTAGGAAACTTTAGTCCCACAAGGCTTCCTGTTGATGGACGCATAACATCTGATATCACAGTTCATGTGTACTTTTTTATCCACTCCTACTTAGAATATTCCTTATTGTTTGCCTTTTTTCCCTTCTTCTTGCTGTGGATTAATATTGTGAGCACGTTTTGAGCTCAACTAACTCTAGAGCTGTTTATGCTCAAAGTTTTTGGTACACCTATAGATACTAGTCGTTATCCAAATGGTTCTTCAGTTGATAAGCCTTCTTCATAAACAAGTCGTTTTCCAGTTTGCCTTGATCATTTCAAGAGTTAATAAGGCGTTTCACGATCATATTAGTAAAATAACTTGATTCTAGTGGATGAAGTATTCAAGTTATTTTGATTTGAAATAATCTCCAAAATTATGTTACTGAACAACTTCAGTAGTCAGAAGGCACTCGAACCGATATGTAGCTCTCACCAGGCGACTAGATCAGAGTGGTCTAAGCATCGGACGGCTGTTTCACTCATTTGAAGTCCCACTTATCAGTGGCTCCATAGTTGGGTGGACAGTTTCAAAATTACACAGTTGTGAGAAATGTCAACATAAATCATGCAATTTATAAATCACGTGTCAACTGAACTGAACGTCATCAATCGACTTTTTCCCTCCACTTCTTTATTATGTAATATCTTAATTTGTGCAATCCATCTATTGACCATTGTGTTCGTTTATTATTTTTCTGTCTTGTTTAGTGTACATCAAAGTGTTGAATCATCATGGGCATCTGAAATTGTGACAACACCTGATATGGTAGATTCACAGACTACATCAACTGGTGCAAGTACTATTCAAGGTGTTCATCGTTTTTGGGCTACACCCAAAACAAAATCGCATAGATTTGAAGAGACTACTATCTTAAAATCATTTTCTCCACATATATCTCGTCAACATTTAAATTCGATCATCAATGTGTCAAGAAAATCATTAGATAAATTTAAACAACAACAAATCTATCCTGTTTTTTCACTGAATCCAACTCAAGATGCATCCGAAATGATAAATACAACAATCATCAATAATTCTTTCAGTTCATCAAATTATATCCCTATCAATGAACAACTCTGTGAACATGATACAATAAAAACAGGCATTTTACACCCATTATGTTCAAAAATCAATCGATTTTATGGAACATTGAAGCATTTAACATTGAACAGAAACATTACAGCCTTGAACAACCTTGACTTGAACAATGATGATGATCCACCTACTTGTTCAAATTCTGTATATCATCATGCTAATTCATTTCAAGGTGTACTTCATCGTTGTATATTATTCATTCGGAGAAGACTGTTACACTATTACACAAAGATTATTATCCAAGAGAAACTGAAAATTTCTACTTCTTCTTGCTCATCATCATCATCCCTCTTAACAAGTCTAGGTGTTGCTAGGCAACCGAGAGCTATTTCCTTTAAAACATCATATCACTTGAAATATCTAATCAAGCGTGTAGGGAGTATTTTAATCAAGCTCTTAATAACTCTTTTATTTTTATTCTTATCATTATATTTTATCTCTTCTTTAATCACATTTTGGTTTCCTCTACCCGATGGTGATGATGACGACAATGATGTGAATATGTATGATTATTCAACAGATTGTAGAACAACATTTCCACAGATTATTTTCTATTACTTTTTATCGTTATTTGAACAAAGTGAAAGTATTTCAGTGAATATTGCCTCACCTGTTGGTGATACACTGACTAAGACATGGCCAGATAGTGCACCACCGTTTTGAATGCAGGCGAATTGTGGGTGCGTGGGTGGTCGCTCACTCGATCGCTTCCTCATATGTGTATATTGTCACTTTACTGTTTGAAGAGATGAAGAGAGTAGGAATATTTCTTCTTCTAATTGTCTGTTGTATAAACACTATTCTATGGTCAATTAGACAGTGGTAGAAAGTACCAACTGTCTGTTAACTAGAAAATTGTAGTTGATATTTCTTAAGCAACTTTCTGTCCTTAGTGTATATGTATGTCACATATATTAATGAAAAAATTGTAAAAATTATTTGATTGTGCTTACTGTTCTCCTAAATGTTTCATTCTGCTAGTTTGAAGAGATTGACTGACTTTTAAGGGTCACCCCTAATTACACTTTGTTATTTAAGAAAAGTCTGCCTTTCCACTCGAAACAAAGAAATCTAATTGGCTATTTCGCTCGTTACTAAGGTGAACTTTAGAGTGACTCAAAAAACCCAGGATCTGATAAAGAAGTACATGGTACTGTAGTAAATTTTTGTTGGATGAACTATTTGGTAAACTGCTTGCAGATCATTCCATTCACGTTGATAATTCTCTCAATTGAATGGTTGAAAAACAACCTGCCTGTAATTTTAGTCCGGGAACTGCTTAATCAAGATCAGAGACTGTGATATTTTGTCACAAAAGTGTCATATACTGGTAAAACGATCCACAGATTCAATAAATTTGAAAAATGCAAGTTTGTTAACCAAATTCCTATGTCTGCACAACTGATGAACTTCACCACAAATGAAGGGAACACATATCTGGTGTTTAAATTATTATTATTCTGAAGGTCACCTTGGGTAGTTTCTAACTAGTCATGTTGCGAAGTAGTTTTTCTTAACAGTTCTGATGAGGTTTATTAATATGCAAACTAAACATCATTAAGTAAGATGATTTAATCCATCGGATTGTATAATATCAATGTCACAGGAACTCGCCTGAGTCAACCATATTACTTATAGATATGTAGAATTGTACAAAACCACACGGAAATGAAAAATACCTGAAAAACAACTTAGCGGTAACCCTGAATTCAATTACGCACATCTATTTTGTCTTGGTTTCGGACTTCTCACCAGTTTTCATCTGCAAAAACTTGAGGCATCTAGCCAAGAACCGTCAGGTTTCACGGCACGCACATTACTTCTCAGCCACGGGATTGAAATTCAATGTTCTACATTTCCTTGCTACTCACACTTCATTGCATAGTGTGATGATTATCAATAAGTCCGCGGAAACCACCAACTGAAACAAAGTAGTTCAGAGGGGTCAAGCATGAAGATCTTGGAAGATATAATGTGTGTTTACCTTGATATAAATACCGGCGATAGTTTTTGTCTGAAATATTGTCCAACAGATAACATTGTTTTAATTGGGTAATCACCACGGATTGGCATCTGTTGGAAAAACGCCGAAAGTCTGGGAGCACTGCATAGCTACTTCGTCCTAATATAGACCTCCTTAACAGTGTACAGCTACAACCGTAACAGGGATTGGACCCAGAACCTTCAGAGCTTCTGTGCCGAGCATGTGACGACTGACTGGGTTGTTATCCAGTCGTCAACATTTTCCTGCTTCTGTTACTTCACGATATGGCACAACATTCATCCAATGCCGTCGTTGAGTACTTATCTTGATGCTCCACTTTCTCTACCAGTCCCGAGTTTGTTCCCTGGTGAGGTCATAGGTACTTACTGTCGGCGAGTCCCGTATTAGGACAAAAAAGCTATCCAGTGCCTCCAGGTTCTCAATGGCTCTTCAACTTATGTCAGCCCATTATGAATAACAGCCTAAAATCAAAAAGTCCCCACCAACTTTCAAACTGGAATACTTTTTATAATATTATTACTATTATTATTTGCCCTTTGGGTTCCTAGTGAGACATACGGCTTCAGTTGCACGTCGCCATTGCACTCTCTTCTCTGCAGTCTTCTCAACCTGGCTCCACTACTGCCCACAAGCTCTCATTTCTCCCTCACACCATCTCCTCCATGTCGCCCTCGCCACTGACGCCAAACTCGTCATTTCCCATTCGGGTTGCACTCGGGGGCCTGGTCTGGCTCGTCATGTCCCCAAACTGTCTTCTCAGTGTATACCCAATCCGTCCCCACTTCTGTATATTTGTTGGATGGTGGGTTGTTGGTTGGTTTATCGACAGCCTTGTTGCTCATTATTTCTGGCCGTCTGATCTTCAGCATCGAGCCAGCGTAGGTAGCTGTGCATGAACGTCTGTAGTTTGTTGGAAATGCTTTTCGTAACGCACCAAGTTTCTGAACCGTATAGAAGCACTGACTTAACATTGGTGTTGAAAATCCGGATGTTGTTCACGCTTTATGCTGAGTGCAGTAGATCTCCACACTGTTTATTTCAGATTAATGAAGGAAGGTCTGTCTTGCTGTCTTTCCGATCCTGGCTGCTTTGACGTTCTCATCCGTTGCGCTGCGTGTAGTTGAAACGATGCTGCCTCGCCTAGATAGGTGAAAGAGACAACTTCCTTTAGGTTTCTCCGGTTCATGGTGATTGGTGCTTGTTGTTGTTGTTGGTGGTGGTTGGGTACCTTCATCACCTCTGTCTTCTCTGCCTACGTTCACCTGAGGGAAGTCCTGTCTTCCTTCGCTGCCTCGCCTCGCCTCGCCTCTTCTGTCAACTTGTTAGTTTTCGTCTGTAGGTCTTTGAGTTTGTGCCACAAGTCATCGACGAAATCTAAATGTTCTAGGTTCTTTTCCCGGTTTCAGCGTATCCTCTTCTTCCCTCTCCCCAGTGTTTGTTGCATGATCCAGTCGAGTCGACCAGAATCAGGAATATGATGAGTGACAGTAGACAGCCTTATCTTAATCCCTCCTGTTTTCACTTCAAAGGCATCATTGAGCTTCCCATTGTGAATTACTTGGCATGTAGCATCATGTAGCATATGGCTGCTGTTGAACGAGTTTGACAAAGGTTTGTGGCACTAAGACTGTAGTGTTGGAGCAGTTGCCAAATTACTTCTCGGTTGACGTTATCGAAGGAAGGCAGGCAGGCAGGCTTTTTCAAAGTGGATGAAGTTGAGGTAAAGATCTAGTTGACTGCCATTCTATGCAGTGTTCTATGACGATGTGTATCCTAGCGTAGCGTAGCGTTGCGTTGCATTGCAATTTGATTCGCCGATGATTTGTACTTCATGAATCCAGCCTATTCTTGTCATAATTTTGAGTCCGGCGCATGCTTTGGTCTGTGTTCCTGGTGTATATTGCATCAAAATACTCTATTCTTGGTGCTCCAGATGATAATTGATTGTTGAACAACTTGGCCTTTAATTCAGCAGTGTGATGAGAAGGGCATCTATCAGGTTTAATTGTATTATAGACGATTTTATAGGAGAAAGCAAGATTTGATATGACTTACTTGTACGCTTAACTTTTGACGGATATACTAAGCGATACCAGTTTATTTCTGTGTTATTTGAAGGATGAGTTAGCGGAATGCTTTCATTTTAAGAGTGTAATGAAAAGACTTTTGAAGTATTCTACACTCATTTTTTAAAAATCTGGGCTGTTCAACGAAGTATGTTTATATTTCAAGAATAGTGAAACTTTACAATCGATTGACTACCGAATATATTATATTTTTACCTACGATTAACATCTACAACCTTATAGTTTCTAAAAGCATTTATGCTAGTTAGATATGTAAAACATTTAGATAAGAACGATCATTGGGAGATAATGGGATGTAATCATTGGTCAGTCTTGTCTAGAAAACGAATTACTTAATGGGCATTAAGCCAGTGAATGACAACACTGCTCAGACCAACAGTCAGGGACTTTATGAACTGGTGCGACGTCTTAGTTTAGCCACGCTGAACACTTTCAACCTAATCCAACTTCCCCTAGTTTTGCAGGTGAGGTAGCTGGTGGCTGGGTATATGCAGCATATGTTCAAGCTACCTTGATCACTGAAAGTCGTCATCAATCGACTTGCCTTCTGTGCCTACTATACTTCATCTAACCTCGATGACATTTGAGTACAATACTTTTTACAGTGTAGTCGGTCCTTTCGGCAAATTTACATGTAAACAAATTAGTCGTCAGCACTGGCTAAAATTTCGAGTGTGTTCTCTAAACCACTTCAAATGACTCTATGGTGCGCACTACATTTTCTTACCAATTCTTAAACACAGTGCAGTCCTAAAGGCGTTTGAACCACCGAAGAAACATCAGTTTCCTGATAGTTGCAGCTATGCCTCCATGATAAGTGCTAAGAAAGTAGGAAACTTTAGTCCCACAAGGCTTCCTGTTGATGGACGCATAACATCTGATATCACAGTTCATGTGTACTTTTTTATCCACTCCTACTTAGAATATTCCTTATTGTTTGCCTTTTTTCCCTTCTTCTTGCTGTGGATTAATATTGTGAGCACGTTTTGAGCTCAACTAACTCTAGAGCTGTTTATGCTCAAAGTTTTTGGTACACCTATAGATACTAGTCGTTATCCAAATGGTTCTTCAGTTGATAAGCCTTCTTCATAAACAAGTCGTTTTCCAGTTTGCCTTGATCATTTCAAGAGTTAATAAGGCGTTTCACGATCATATTAGTAAAATAACTTGATTCTAGTGGATGAAGTATTCAAGTTATTTTGATTTGAAATAATCTCCAAAATTATGTTACTGAACAACTTCAGTAGTCAGAAGGCACTCGAACCGATATGTAGCTCTCACCAGGCGACTAGATCAGAGTGGTCTAAGCATCGGACGGCTGTTTCACTCATTTGAAGTCCCACTTATCAGTGGCTCCATAGTTGGGTGGACAGTTTCAAAATTACACAGTTGTGAGAAATGTCAACATAAATCATGCAATTTATAAATCACGTGTCAACTGAACTGAACGTCATCAATCGACTTTTTCCCTCCACTTCTTTATTATGTAATATCTTAATTTGTGCAATCCATCTATTGACCATTGTGTTCGTTTATTATTTTTCTGTCTTGTTTAGTGTACATCAAAGTGTTGAATCATCATGGGCATCTGAAATTGTGACAACACCTGATATGGTAGATTCACAGACTACATCAACTGGTGCAAGTACTATTCAAGGTGTTCATCGTTTTTGGGCTACACCCAAAACAAAATCGCATAGATTTGAAGAGACTACTATCTTAAAATCATTTTCTCCACATATATCTCGTCAACATTAAATTCGATCATCAATGTGTCAAGAAAATCATTAGATAAATTTAAACAACAACAAATCTATCCTGTTTTTTCACTGAATCCAACTCAAGATGCATCCGAAATGATAAATACAACAATCATCAATAATTCTTTCAGTTCATCAAATTATATCCCTATCAATGAACAACTCTGTGAACATGATACAATAAAAACAGGCATTTTACACCCATTATGTTCAAAAATCAATCGATTTTATGGAACATTGAAGCATTTAACATTGAACAGAAACATTACAGCCTTGAACAACCTTGACTTGAACAATGATGATGATCCACCTACTTGTTCAAATTCTGTATATCATCATGCTAATTCATTTCAAGGTGTACTTCATCGTTGTATATTATTCATTCGGAGAAGACTGTTACACTATTACACAAAGATTATTATCCAAGAGAAACTGAAAATTTCTACTTCTTCTTGCTCATCATCATCATCCCTCTTAACAAGTCTAGGTGTTGCTAGGCAACCGAGAGCTATTTCCTTTAAAACATCATATCACTTGAAATATCTAATCAAGCGTGTAGGGAGTATTTTAATCAAGCTCTTAATAACTCTTTTATTTTTATTCTTATCATTATATTTTATCTCTTCTTTAATCACATTTTGGTTTCCTCTACCCGATGGTGATGATGACGACAATGATGTGAATATGTATGATTATTCAACAGATTGTAGAACAACATTTCCACAGATTATTTTCTATTACTTTTTATCGTTATTTGAACAAAGTGAAAGTATTTCAGTGAATATTGCCTCACCTGTTGGTGATACACTGACTAAGACATGGCCAGATAGTGCACCACCGTTTTGAATGCAGGCGAATTGTGGGTGCGTGGGTGGTCGCTCACTCGATCGCTTCCTCATATGTGTATATTGTCACTTTACTGTTTGAAGAGATGAAGAGAGTAGGAATATTTCTTCTTCTAATTGTCTGTTGTATAAACACTATTCTATGGTCAATTAGACAGTGGTAGAAAGTACCAACTGTCTGTTAACTAGAAAATTGTAGTTGATATTTCTTAAGCAACTTTCTGTCCTTAGTGTATATGTATGTCACATATATTAATGAAAAAATTGTAAAAATTATTTGATTGTGCTTACTGTTCTCCTAAATGTTTCATTCTGCTAGTTTGAAGAGATTGACTGACTTTTAAGGGTCACCCCTAATTACACTTTGTTATTTAAGAAAAGTCTGCCTTTCCACTCGAAACAAAGAAATCTAATTGGCTATTTCGCTCGTTACTAAGGTGAACTTTAGAGTGACTCAAAAAACCCAGGATCTGATAAAGAAGTACATGGTACTGTAGTAAATTTTTGTTGGATGAACTATTTGGTAAACTGCTTGCAGATCATTCCATTCACGTTGATAATTCTCTCAATTGAATGGTTGAAAAACAACCTGCCTGTAATTTTAGTCCGGGAACTGCTTAATCAAGATCAGAGACTGTGATATTTTGTCACAAAAGTGTCATATACTGGTAAAACGATCCACAGATTCAATAAATTTGAAAAATGCAAGTTTGTTAACCAAATTCCTATGTCTGCACAACTGATGAACTTCACCACAAATGAAGGGAACACATATCTGGTGTTTAAATTATTATTATTCTGAAGGTCACCTTGGGTAGTTTCTAACTAGTCATGTTGCGAAGTAGTTTTTCTTAACAGTTCTGATGAGGTTTATTAATATGCAAACTAAACATCATTAAGTAAGATGATTTAATCCATCGGATTGTATAATATCAATGTCACAGGAACTCGCCTGAGTCAACCATATTACTTATAGATATGTAGAATTGTACAAAACCACACGGAAATGAAAAATACCTGAAAAACAACTTAGCGGTAACCCTGAATTCAATTACGCACATCTATTTTGTCTTGGTTTCGGACTTCTCACCAGTTTTCATCTGCAAAAACTTGAGGCATCTAGCCAAGAACCGTCAGGTTTCACGGCACGCACATTACTTCTCAGCCACGGGATTGAAATTCAATGTTCTACATTTCCTTGCTACTCACACTTCATTGCATAGTGTGATGATTATCAATAAGTCCGCGGAAACCACCAACTGAAACAAAGTAGTTCAGAGGGGTCAAGCATGAAGATCTTGGAAGATATAATGTGTGTTTACCTTGATATAAATACCGGCGATAGTTTTTGTCTGAAATATTGTCCAACAGATAACATTGTTTTAATTGGGTAATCACCACGGATTGGCATCTGTTGGAAAAACGCCGAAAGTCTGGGAGCACTGCATAGCTACTTCGTCCTAATATAGACCTCCTTAACAGTGTACAGCTACAACCGTAACAGGGATTGGACCCAGAACCTTCAGAGCTTCTGTGCCGAGCATGTGACGACTGACTGGGTTGTTATCCAGTCGTCAACATTTTCCTGCTTCTGTTACTTCACGATATGGCACAACATTCATCCAATGCCGTCGTTGAGTACTTATCTTGATGCTCCACTTTCTCTACCAGTCCCGAGTTTGTTCCCTGGTGAGGTCATAGGTACTTACTGTCGGCGAGTCCCGTATTAGGACAAAAAAGCTATCCAGTGCCTCCAGGTTCTCAATGGCTCTTCAACTTATGTCAGCCCATTATGAATAACAGCCTAAAATCAAAAAGTCCCCACCAACTTTCAAACTGGAATACTTTTTATAATATTATTACTATTATTATTTGCCCTTTGGGTTCCTAGTGAGACATACGGCTTCAGTTGCACGTCGCCATTGCACTCTCTTCTCTGCAGTCTTCTCAACCTGGCTCCACTACTGCCCACAAGCTCTCATTTCTCCCTCACACCATCTCCTCCATGTCGCCCTCGCCACTGACGCCAAACTCGTCATTTCCCATTCGGGTTGCACTCGGGGGCCTGGTCTGGCTCGTCATGTCCCCAAACTGTCTTCTCAGTGTATACCCAATCCGTCCCCACTTCTGTATATTTGTTGGATGGTGGGTTGTTGGTTGGTTTATCGACAGCCTTGTTGCTCATTATTTCTGGCCGTCTGATCTTCAGCATCGAGCCAGCGTAGGTAGCTGTTCATGAACGTCTGTAGTTTGTTGGAAATGCTTTTCGTAACGCACCAAGTTTCTGAACCGTATAGAAGCACTGACTTAACATTGGTGTTGAAAATCCGGATGTTGTTCACGCTTTATGCTGAGTGCAGTAGATCTCCACACTGTTTATTTCAGATTAATGAAGGAAGGTCTGTCTTGCTGTCTTTCCGATCCTGGCTGCTTTGACGTTCTCATCCGTTGCGCTGCGTGTAGTTGAAACGATGCTGCCTCGCCTAGATAGGTGAAAGAGACAACTTCCTTTAGGTTTCTCCGGTTCATGGTGATTGGTGCTTGTTGTTGTTGTTGGTGGTGGTTGGGTACCTTCATCACCTCTGTCTTCTCTGCCTACGTTCACCTGAGGGAAGTCGTGTCTTCCTTCGCTGCCTCGCCTCGCCTCGCCTCTTCTGTCAACTTGTTAGTTTTCGTCTGTAGGTCTTTGAGTTTGTGCCACAAGTCATCGACGAAATCTAAATGTTCTAGGTTCTTTTCCCGGTTTTAGCGTATCCTCTTCTTCCCTCTCCCCAGTGTTTGTTGCATGATCCAGTCGAGTCGACCAGAATCAGGAATATGATGAGTGACAGTAGACAGCCTTATCTTAATCCCTCCTGTTTTCACTTCAAAGGCATCATTGAGCTTCCCATTGTGAATTACTTGGCATGTAGAATCATGTAGCATATGGCTGCTGTTGAACGAGTTTGACAAAGGTTTGTGGCACTAAGACTGTAGTGTTGGAGCAGTTGCCAAATTACTTCTCGGTTGACGTTATCGAAGGAAGGCAGGCAGGCAGGCTTTTTCAAAGTGGATGAAGTTGAGGTAAAGATCTAGTTGACTGCCATTCTATGCAGTGTTCTATGACGATGTGTATCCTAGCGTAGCGTAGCGTTGCGTTGCATTGCAATTTGATTCGCCGATGATTTGTACTTCATGAATCCAGCCTGTTCCTGTCATAATTTTGAATCCAGCACATCTTTTAGCCTCTACAGAATGATTCGGCTTAGTATTTTGCTTGGGGTGGAGAAGAGCGTGATTATACGTCAGTTCTTGCAAGGACTTAGGTCTCTCTTGTTTGGAAGAGTGACGGAGTATCCCTTCTTCCACTTCACAGATACCTTTCCTTCCTTCCTTGCAAACGTTTTGTAATACTGGTGTGAGGATATCCGCTGTTGTGTCTGCATCTGTTTTGAGTGGTTCTGGAGGAATTCCATGTGGTTTTGCTGCTTTCTTGGATTTCAGTAACTGTATGGCGTTGAGGACTTCACTTTTGCTTTTGTCGGAGGGTTTGTGTTCACTGACAGTTGTGTGGCTACATGTGGTATTTCTGGACGAGCTGTAGGTTGTGGTCGATTCAAGGGTTTTTTGAAGTGGTCAGCACATCTTATTCTTTTTTTCTGCTCTTTGGTAACTAAGTTTCCTTCACTGTCTTTTATTGGTTTCATCTGCGTTGATCTTTTCTCTCCAAGATAGTAACCTGGTTATTTGATATAATGTTGTCAGGTCTCTGTCTCTTACCTGCAACCTGTTTTGCTTCAGTTGCAAGTATGTTGTAAAAGTGTCTTTTGTTTTCCGTGCACTGACGAAATATACCCATTTATTCACGAATAGGAACAAGAATTTATCAATGAAGAAATGTTTCTATCCAACAACTTCATTATCAAGCTGTGCAGTCGTTTTTACACTCGGTAAAATGACAGATAATTGCACTAAAAAGTTGCTCAGTCAATACGTAAAATATGCAGTCGGTGTAGGTGGTGGTAATTGTTCAAGTGCAAGAAATAAAAAACGGGTCACTTATCTCACCACTTGTTATCAATTCATTCCCTATTCAGTGACCCGTTTTCCATTTCTTGCACTTGAACAATTACCACCACCTACACCGATTGTATATTTTACGTATTGACTGAGC